CAGGTTTTTCATAAGCCAGGAGAGAGGGTGGGGTATTAATACCAGAGTTTAAATCCCCTCAGTAGGTCTGGCGAGGAAAATAGATCTTATGATGAGTAACCAAAACATCTAATGAAAATCTCCAGTTGCCAGAAAAAAAAATTATTTTACGTAGAAATTAAAAAAATTATGAAATTAGAACTTTCTATCCTGATGTGTTGAACAATTAGGCTAACTTCTCTACTTAGGGAGAGTAATTTTTCCTAAAGATCAATTCCTATATTTTTGAAAATATTAGGTAGCAACTGCGGATCATCTATATCAGTTAGTTTTCGAACTACGTGGGTCCAACCTAATGGAACCTTCCTGTGCGATTACCTAGGTTTCGCAAAATTCTTAGTTAACTATTAATAACTCATTCCTCTCTCTTCCCTTTGTAACATCTAAAATACCAACCCGATAATAAAAAATAACGCACCATATCAGAATGAGCCCTTAATTTCTATTAATAAAGAAAACCATTAGATTGGTATTAAAAATTACATCAATACCAAACACGAAAATTTATGAGTTTAATCCATTCGTCTCCTCCTATTGCCCACTGAAGAGGTTCTGGAACAAGGAACGAATTATTTCGTTGGGTGACCTTGCACCGGTGACATCCACGCATCCGAAGATCTAGCCTTTCTCAACCAGGTATTAAGGTCCACCTTCTATAAGCAACTCGCACCGGCCGGACCCAGGATACCATATCCCCTGTACTAAAATCCGGGTTCGGACGTGGTTTTTCCTGTTGTCAATATAGGTTCCCGTGCGACTACTGATTAATAGCAGCCATAATCCACGGATCTAGACCGATTTGTCACAGATATGTGAGTCGGTGGAAAGGACACCTGGCCCCAAAGGGATCGATTACGGAGGTATGGGTGAACCACTCCAGGCTCTCTGTCTCCCGCAAGGAAAATATGTCATTAAAAAGACCATTGATGGCAAAGATCAACTCGTAGATGATCTATAATTCCAAATTGAAAAAAAAATCGGATAACTGTTGGTTTTTTATTTTATGTATAATTATTTATAATAGATTTAAAGAACAAGAAAAAGATTTTAAATGAATTAGCCCTTTAATTTGTTTTAAATTGACCATTTAGGCATCGTGGATTCTTGTAAAAGAGACCATAATGGGAAAAAAAATGTTTTAGATTGATATTAATATGCTAAATGTTTATACATCTCCCGTAAATAGGATTTTTAAAATACTTATCACTAGGAAATAATAACTAAATAATTAGTAAATGAAATGAGGCTAGTTACCATTATCTAAATAAGATCAATATGTACCAAAACTACATTTTCTCAATGTTAACAAAAATTAATGCTACATCTGATTACTCACTACATCTAATATGAAGCCTATAAGCCCAAATGGATGATGGAAATATGTACAGCATTTTATTTTCAATTTAAAGCATTTGGGTGAGAAATAAAAATATGAACTAGAAAAAAACTAAAATAAAATAAAAAATACGTAAGTGGAATGAGGGGTTGATGAGTGAAGCGATTCCTACAAAAGCTCCCGTGCCCGTTACGTTACTAACCTCCATTGTTGGATGGAATGGAGACGTTGGATGTTGCGTTAAGGAATGGAAAGAACATTTCGATGAGTTTGCTCTCCTCATCCCCTCCGACCGTCGACCGTCACGTCTCCATTCGAACACTTTCTTGTCGGCGGCAGAAAATCAACAGGCTACGGGAAAAAAATACCGTCTTCACTGTCTGAAATTCCAAAGTGAATTCATACTTTGAAGTGTAATATAAAAAACGATGATCAAGTTACATTCAGCTACTTCGGTGAGAAAACAAGAAAACAAAATAAAATAAATTATAAAAAATACAGAAGTAACAAATAAGTAAACGTTTATAAATAACTAACTAATTAATTATTAAGTGTGTAGGATATTGAAACAACTTGGAAGAGGCAGAGATTGGGCATTTAAAATAAATCCAGAAGGGAAATTGGCAATGGAAGTGTAGGATGGTAAACAGATAAAAGAAGATTGGATAGACAAAGATAGATTCTGGGATAAAGATATGTTCTAAGAGAGGAATAGGTCTTGGAATAATCTAGAAGGAGGCTATAGAAAATCTAGATTATAAAAAACAAACACTGGTTTGGTGGACAAATTCTTGAAAATAAAATAAAATAATGAGTATACGTTTCCAAAAATTGAAGGAAATAATTATTTCATTTACAAGAAACGCATTTCAGTTCACCTTTTAGCATAGCTGAAACGCTTTGAAATAGATCATTCCTCAACCATGTCTACATTTGTGTCGACAACAAAAGTTTGAAGCAGTCTTATGAAGGAAGAACAAGAATATCATCAAGGCATCGTAAAACTTGTTCTATGTTAATATATGATAAATACAAAGTCCAAAGAGTAAATAATAGCTTTCATTAAATCAGATACATCCATAAACAGGAGTAATAAAACGAGAGAGATATAATCTATTAATAAATACTTCAAAAAAGCACTTTTAATTAAGTGAGACATCCCATATCTGATAAAGAATAAGAAAAGCTTTTAGGTTGATTGGAGAATTACTAGTAACGTACAAACAAGGAACAATGCTAACAGTTTAGAAAACCACAGAGGCAGAGGACGTGGCAGATAGGAAGAGGATGGCGAAGACCGAAGACGTAGACAAAGAGACTTGGATGGCAATTGCTGGGCAGTGATGCATTGCAACAACCACTCCGCGGTTCAACGCTTCACTGCCCCAGCTGCACTGCTCCGGGTTTCTCTCGCTACGGGCTACATTCACCCAGCCGGTATTAGCACTCTTAACGAATCACTGTACAAATTATTAGTTCTTTACAGTTATAAAGCATAGCGATGGCAAAGAAACTTTTTAGAAAATGGATAGGAAGAAATGATCGGGCTATCTATTGCAATTTTAAAGTCCAAAATAATTTCAAAATGTAACACAACTTAGAAGCCATAGAAGGCATGGTGATAGAGCATGTTGGAGTGAATGTCTCAGAGTGCTCACAGTTGTGGAGGATTCTATTCACTGTGGGATATTCTATTCATACCCATCTCAGAGTAAATATTTCTCGGCAGCCCCGAGCTACCTTAAGGTAGCCGTCATGGGTTCGCAAAAAAGACCGCAAGGACTAGTTACCCCACTAATAACAGTATCAGTAGAAGCTAAATAAAATGTGAGATGATGAAAATATAAATGCATTTTATGTTACTACTTCAAAGTTGTGGACAACCAGTGGAGTAAACAGCCCTCATACAACCGAACCGAACCGATGCATTGAGACAGCGGTTATGGAGGGAGGTGAAGGGAGTGCAGAGCATAGACATTTCAACCAAATGAGAAAAAAAAAACATTATATATTGTAATCGTTAATATGATCTGATTAGTAAGTTTAAGAGTGAGTTGGGGGCGGGGTGGCCGAATAGGCTAAAGCGTGCGTAACAGCACCGCTAGTTGCCTGGCAACCGGATAACAGAGATTTGAGATGATATAAAAAGTACGAGTTCGCGTCCCGGTGCCGGAGGGGATTTTAAATTCCCCGCCCTCACCCCCCGGCCCGGGAAAATCCCGTATAGCCTAAAAGGCGAGGTAGGGAAGAACAAAAAAAAAAAAAAAAAAAAGTTTAAGAGTGAGTTTGAAAAATCTTAGAAGGTTAAGCTGTACCTAAGAAATAAGATAAAAATTGATTATTTGTTATGGAAGGGGAAGGAGCACATAGGGAAATTTATGCATTGAAGTGTAGTCATTAGTTACACCACTGTAGTCAATAATTTTGTACATAATCGTGTTTCTAAACAGCAGATGTAGCAAGATAAAATGACTCAGTTAAAAAATTAAAGCGAAATTCTCAAAACCCATCGAAAACATACTAAGCTGAATTGTAATTCCAGTATAACTATCTTTAATAACTTATTTAATGAAAATCCTATAAGGTAAATACTTTTATTTGGTATTTGTTGTCCCTTATCTAGAAGGGGTTCACAAAATAAATGTTTGTTTGTTTTGGGGTTTGGGGCGTAAAACCCTAGGGTCATCAACGCCTGAGACAAAATAAATGTTGTTCAGGAGCGGATTCTCGAACTACAAAAGATACATAAAAGGGATATATAAGAAACGAACCCACACAGGCGCTGGTCCTTAGGAATTATTGGGGTGCGTACGTTAGTATAACATTATAACAGTTTTCCATTCATGGAAAAAGCGGAATAGAATGCCAAACATAAAAGAGTAGCTAATTCATTAGGTTATTACTAGGATTATTATATAATTTTAACTATACGGTTTATAGAACGGCTGTTATTTTAAAGTAAATGACGGTGAAATATAGAGATAAGGTAGGAAGTGCTTCGTCCTCCCCCTCCCTTCCGCAAATACATCTAACTTATACAATAATACTTATTTAAGTTCAATAACTTCTTAGATATTGCGAGTAACAGTGCAATAGTTCGTGCTGAAATAAATTAATTTATAATTACGACGAAACTGAATCTCGCCTATTTTCGACTGTCATTTCCCCTTTAGATTAAAATGAAAAGTATGACAGTTGTACTTTCCTAAAACCCTATCATGGAGGAAGTAATATCTTCATTCCAAGTGATGTAATATCTAGTTTTAAAGATAAAAAAAAATGTGTATTTTTATTATTTGTTCAAAGAACGCATAGAAGACAAACAACAATGTAATAGCCATGGATGGTACTGAATTTAACGCTCAGCTCATACGTCTCTGAACTGAGTGAAACGATAACATCGATGATTTCAGCGCTGAGTTTAGAAACTTGCTTAAACATCAAAGCTGAGGAACAGATGTAAGGTCGGTAACAAAAGATCGACGAAACAAGGTTAATTGTGACAAACGAAAGTGCCTATTTGTGAAACAATACTGTGCATGAACTGTTGAATTAGCTCCCCAAAAGAGCTCCTTCCCTACGGACAACCCTATGATTAGCCGAGAGGGATAATGATGGCTGATATTCAGAGAGGGGGCAGATTGAGAGCGATAACTCTCGAGAACAAGAGAGATGAATCAGTGGCTACAGGAGGGAGGAAGTTATAGCCCTGGCTGCTGGCAAATGTGTTCCGGACATTGTTTTGGACTAATTGACCGCGGCACAATGCAATGGTTGTCTTCACCATCCTCTGTCCCTCCTTACTTTCACCCTGTCTCCATCTTCTTTCAACAACTGATTCAGAATCACCTTCACGGTCAGCGGTGGGATCTGCTTATTTCAATGTATTCATTACCTGGTGTTATGAAAAATTATAAAAGGATGATGTTTAATGCTACATGAGACGTCTACCAACAAAAACGGAACCATTTCTGTTTTCCAGAAAATTCTGTTGTTTTTTTTTTAAGTTTTAAACCAACAATCTTCACCAACAGGAACTTTTTTGGTTCGAATCAGGCTCGATCTTTCGGAAAACTAGGCTAGAAAATAACCTTTATTAACAGAAAGCAATAAGTACTATGGATTCACTGCTTCTTTGTAAAACAATATAAAAAATATTAATTAACAATTATTCGAGGAAATTAGTTATGAAACCGGTTGTGATCGACAGGAAAACAATTTTATCTTATGTAGTCACTATTAATATAATATAATTTTCCTATGTGAACTAAAATAAAAGAAATAAAATTATTCAACACTACATAATTTTAATATTTGTTATAGATCCACTTTTCATCAAAAGTAGATAAGTACTTCTTTGAAAAGTTATTTTGTACTGAAAACATAATGAAGACGGCAGACAAAGTCGCAAGAAAATTTTATCATCGGCAAATCTTTAATTTTATTTAATTTTTTTTTCAAAATTACATAATATGGAGTTATCCAATTTTATTAGTGGAAGCCTCAAATATGAAATTCAGCTAATCAAAACCCCTTTTATCTAAGCTCTAGTGAATTGTGTAATTAATGGTGGTCCAGATGGAAGTTAAGAATAATAATGATCTGCAGTGATGTTTATTTCGAGTTCGAAAAAAAAACTTGCAATAAGTGAAAAATTCAAATCCAAAAGAGTAAAGGAAATAAAATATATTTTCACCAAATAATGTAATATATATTTTAATTCAAGTTTTGAAATATTTCATTCCAACTATTGAAATATATGTTTAACTTAATTCCACAAATTGATTTTGTTAAAAACTTTGTTTTAACTATTCAAATTGTTCGGAAATTTTAAATTTTTCTTCCCCATAAAAAAAAAAAAATTGATGAAGCGTCATCCCAGAGCAACTTCTTTGTGCATATTACCTTTGATAATCATAACGTAAACCACTTTTAGATTTGTAAGTTATTTTTAAAAATATCTAAGCTTATAAGATGAGTGACATGACACACCAGTGGATATGTATAGGCCAAGTTAACTTTTGTAATGAAAAAGCAGCTCAGATCAGTATTAGCATTATTTCAGTAAAACACTTAAATAAAATTGTTTGGAATTGTTTTTTTTTCCTGTCGTTCACTAAAGGATTCATAGCTTCATAGTGTTTTCTCAATCAATGTTAATGTTACTATAAGGTTATTATTAATCATTTTATAAGATAGAAATAAAGATAACTTCTCAAACATTGGACATGCAACTGTACAATATTTTAAGTGTCCATATTACTTTTGGATATGAAAATTAATAGAAAAACAATAAAAAATGTGATACTAATAACAAGTAAACTTATAAAAATTTTTTTTCAATCTTAGTAAAACCTGACAAAACGAATTTAGAGATTTTCCAAAGGAGTATTTATTTTTAATTTAATAAAATCTTGAAAAAGCTGGTCTGTTTAAAAATGTTAGTCTACATGTCATTATATTTGGTGGAAATAGTAGAAGTAGTCTAATGATGGTTCTATAATCGAATAGTATGATCGATATCACCCGATTTCAACTCTTCTTACATTAAATCATCCCAAATTATTTATTAATGATGAATTAACATTATTCGGATACAATATATTTATGTGTATATCGGATAATATTAATTATTATAAATTAAACAAACTTAATAGAGGTAGATAGATACATAGCCATTAACATATGAAAAAGCAGAGCTGAATTAATGTACTTTCATGAGCCCCAGGTTATAAGGACTTATCAAAAGATAATGAGCTAAAAATAAATTAAAAAGTCAATAGAAAAAGATAGCTCAATATTTTCAAAAATATAGACAAGATACAGTTTCGTTATCCAGGATTTTTTTAAAAATAAATAATGTACTTAATTTAATAAAGTTATTTATACAAGTCAAAATTTCAAATATTTCTTTATTAAACATAATATGAAAAACAATCAACATATCAAGGCTGCCAGCCAAAACCCACAATGCATTAATTTTCAAATTAATTAAAGTTGTAACAAGGGCACTCCACACAATAAAACACGTATGAATTTGAAAAAAACAAGTTTAGGTGAATAACTAAAGAAATACATGAGTATTAATGTTCAGCTGAAACATAAGTGAAATAGAATACAATAACCCATCATTTATACCTAGTGATTACTGAAGGGAGGGAGGGAGGAGGAGGAGGAGTTAATAGACCAATACTCCTGCTTTGAGGGAGGATATTAAAACAGGAAGAAGGCCCCTCCTCCCTATGTTTGCACAGAGCCAAATCACTTTCAGCCACACAATACCATTGTAGTTTCTGTTTCTCATATCAGGAAATGATAACAATCAATCGTTAATGATTGTCGTTCAATAACAAACCTGAGGAATTATTAGACCTAAGAAATTGAATTTATGAGCTGTACGTGAGAATTTATTTAGGTTAAAAAAGGACTTAACTTTCTACATCAGGCAGGGTATGTAGAAAAATTATGCCTATTTTTTAAATTTTTTCAAATACCAAACCAAAAAATGCTTAGTATGCTTTTAATTAGATCAGCTTTTAGCTCATAATTAATAAGATTTCATTATCTAGGTACAACACTCGATTTTTTTTTTCATCAACAAAAAAATATAAGAAACTATAACCTATGAAAAACAAATAGTTATTTTGTATTTATTTAAAAAAAAAAATTGATACAGTTCTAATTATTATAAATAATAGTTAAATACATAATAAATAAGTACTGATTAATATTAAACAATAATAATTACTATAAATAACCATTTTATATAATGCACAGAGAGATATAAACTGTAAAGGCTCAGTTAATAAAAAAATCATTTTCAGAAACTTGTCAATTCCAAAGTTAATGAACAGCAGTCGTTTTGTGTACTCTTAGTTTCTTCTTCTTGTTAAATCTCTGGAAGACGGAATTCCCAAGGAGAAACCTTTTCGGTCTCTAAAGATGATGTATTGCGAGTCTTATGTATAAATGGTTATCAACCTGACTGGGACTTTAAGGTTTTGACCACTCTTGCAATTTCGAATATTCATCATCATAATTCTGACCAAAATAATGCAGTCAAATGAAATCATATTGAACAATCAATGGAATGAAACGTCAAGATGATTGAAGGGATAACTCTAACATAATTGCAATGACAACTAAATTATTTTTTTTCTAAAGAATAACAGTAAAAAGAATAAAAGAATACACCCCTATGTTAATTCAAATTTATTAACAAAACCATTTTTTTTTTTTTTTTTTTTTTGTGTCTTTAGAATTAGTGTCTTGAGTATTTATTTTTTATATAAATTAGGCCATTATCCACCAACATTTCGACCATCACTAGGGCCATTTTCAAGTCTTATTGAGTCCTCCATTAAATTCCATTATTCAGTGTCGTATTTAAGAGTTTGTCCTATGTCATTTCAGTCCCTCCAGAAATGATGTAGGGGAAACTCTAAAATATCAGGACAGCTTAATTTTCTCTGAAAAATTAATAGGACACTGAATAATTGAAATTTAATGGAGGACTGAATTAGACTTGAAAATGGCCCTAGTGATGGTCGAAACGTTGTCGTAATAAAATAATTAATAAATAAAATGTTGGTGAATAATGGCCTAATTTATATAAAAAATAGACACCTCTTTTGTTTCTGAGAGTATATTTATTTGAACAATCCAATGTTAAAATATTGTTATAAATATAAATACATTAAATTTAACTTGGATATAATCAGGTTTTTCAGTCATAATATGTTCGTTTATAAATGGTTTTAAATATAAAATTATTTAAATTAAATTAAAATATTTATTATTTTTAAAGGAATGTAAATGAATGGTTCAACATAGAATCTATGATGTATTATTTATGTAATTCTAGAAGCTAAAGAAAAGGACAAACAGACCTGGGCAAAAAGTATTTTAATTATTGTTTTAAAAAACAGGGGTTTTAATTAAAAAATATTTATTGTTAATACTGTTTATATATATATATATATATATATATATAACATAAATATTGTTTTCAGAGAAGGTATTCCAAATATAAAATACTAAAAATATTTTGTATTTTAAAAATACAAAATACTTCCTGGTGGCCGATCAGCCTATATCACAGGGTTCTCTACTTTATTTAGTAATTTATATTGTGTATTTAAAATATTCTATTTGAACTACTGCCCATGTCTGGGATAAAGTATCTCTGAAATGCCCAAATAAAGCAAACACTATAAATTAGGAGTATTTGTTAAACTATACTTGGGGACGAAAAATGAGAAAAAATAATTAATGAAGGAAGGTCCAGACTAAAAATTAATTAATGTTTATTATGGTAGCTGACGTTTTATATTCTTTCATTAATAAGTATGGTTTATCTTTTTCTCTTGGTTTACTTATGGTATTTTGGTATGGTATGGTAACATAAACATGTTATGACAGAAAATCATAATTGCTTATCATTCAATATAAACTTCAAAACAGTCAACAAAAATTTGTCTCTTAAACATTAAGTTTAAATATATCTATCAATTTTAAATTCTAATTTACCAATGCAATTATTATAGTAAAAAACAAAGAGTATAATGATTTTAGAGCTTAAATATCAATAAATTTTAAATGAATAATTGTCTAACAAGATTATACAATAAAAGATTTGTATTAAGGTTGAATAAGTTGAAACAATTATTAAGAGAGAGAGGAGGGAGTTTTGACAGCTGATGCTTAGCGCCAGTCACCATTATTGGATCAGCCAACCCTTGATCACTTAATACAAGCAATCCCTAGGGACGGGGTGCCAGTCAGTCAAGCTGTCACCCATTACAAGGCTTGTCGTTCAGCCTCTGTTAAATACATTCTATAGCCATCACTATAGGATCACTCCACAATAAAAAATTTCTTCTGCTGCCTAAATTCAGAAAGATAAAATACCATCTACATGCAAGACAAGTAGCAGTAACTTTTTGGTTTTTAGTGGGATTTATAGTAAGGAAAATTAATAGCACTTTTAAAACAGCATATAAGATTTTATTTTACATATGATGGTTGGTGGTGTTATAAAATAAGAATATAACTGTTGGCGACTAGTAAAGATTGAAAAAAAACTTACATCATATTTGTATGATATTAATGATATAATTTTATTCTGATTAGAATGAAGAAAAAATAATAAATTAATACAAGATCTATTGAATAAATAAAAATACATAATTAAAAAAAATGATTTGTAAAAGCAAAATAAGAAAAGAAAAATTAAAGAGTTAAAAAAAAAACACCAGAGGATTTACTTATAAGGAAAAAGAAAGGATAATTAGGTAGTCAAATCTCAGAAAAAAAAAATTTAAAAAACAAACCTTTGAAAAATAAAGTAAAAAATACATATATTTTTTAATCATAAGCATATGTAAGGTATGAAAATAGGAAGGAGATACATATTCCCTATCATCTTTAAGGGTAATAAAATAGCGTTTTATTATATTATATGGTGGTTAGTATGGAAAAATAAAGTTTTGCAGCCATAAAAAGTCCGATTCAGGTTCAGTAATTGGTAAGGCATTGCCTTCCTAGACTAACAGTTTTCCAAGATGAAATGGTCAGCACCCATGTCACGCTCAGTCGCCAGGTTAATTCTTGAACTCAATCAAAGGGGGGACAATGTGTGCCCCATTGTGCCATATTACAAGCAAAATAAGTTAAAGATCTAACAAGGAATAACTTGAACCGAATCCCAAAAGTTAGGAATGCCTTAACCTTTAATTTACCTTACCTGGTTTGCTAAGAAGGAAAGATTATTAAAATGAAAGGAACAGTTTAAGTTGTCTTTAAATAGCTTGAAGGCGGATGAATGACAAGAAAATATGGTTTATTTGGATCAGGGCATAGCACATAAATATCACTACAGAACTATAATTCTTTTATTTAGAGATTAAGGGTATTTTATAAAATAAGAATTTCTTGACTAAAGTATTCTAATCAGTTCAATTTGGTATAGATCAATTTCAATTTTTTTGTCAGGATAATATTATTTAGGAAATTGTCAATGGTTAGAGATATTAATTCGTGTAAATCTTGGTAACTTTTTGTATTAATCATATCCTTATTTTTTGAATGGTTAATTCAAATTAATTTAATAACATACTACAATGAATGTAAGGTGTCCTCTAATTCAATACCCATTTTTTTTTTTTTTTTTTTTATAGTATAGAATTTGATGGATAAAATAATGATGAAATATTTGAATCTGGGAGCATTGGAAATAGGGAATTTACTTATAGCAGTTTTGAGGTATTTGAAAAATACAAATAAATAAAAATTTACACTAAAAAAAAATTACTAATTTTTAATTTATTTCAGAAAGAGGACACAGATATATATATATTGTACATACCAATTATTTGTTAAAATATTTTTTTTTTTTTTATAAAAATATCAAAAATAAATTTTAGATATCTGAAACAAGAAATTAGCAATCCAAAGTAGACACTTTTATTTCCACTATTCCACCTTTCTTGAAAAGCAATCATTCCGCTAATTATCTTATGGTGAATTTTTTTTTTTTTTTAATTGTAACTGGCATTAACTACAGCTTTGGGAGAACTACCAGATCTAATCGAAATATCACTTTTGGTCAAAGTGGAGATTTAGTCAAATACATATAAATGTATACTTCATTATTTTACTATTTAGGGAGGTAAACTATTAACTACTGAAGGTTGAACTACTTAAAGAGAACCTTACAGCACTTCAAAGTAAACATTAAATTTTATATTTTATTTTCTCTCTGCGGTATAGGTGAGCACTGGTTATCTTCACCACCTGATTTGGATAAGTTGTCTGTGGTAAAAGTGAAGCCGGGCAGACTGCGGGACATGGCAGAGTATCTCTCTGACCTGAGCATTCACAGTTCGATAACTTTCTGAAGCTCCCATCCCGTATTGCCCACCAAGTCTTCACTTTGCATAATTACTTTAATTTTTCAGATCTATTGATGTTTATGAAGAATATTCTATGATGTTACAAAGCCAAGATATTAATAAAAAATATTGAAGTGGATGGTCATAAAACCCCTCACATTATAGACAGAAAGCTGAAAGTACAACTCAATTTAGGACTAAGGTATTGTTGTCTGCCACCATATTCTCAAAACTTAAACCAAATTCAACAGATATGACAATTAAACATATGATCTACAAAGAATCATTAGAAAGAAACTCCATAAAAAACACAAATGTTGAATACAGTTATTTCTTTCAGTCTTAAGTATTGAAAAAATAGTGGATATAAAGAAATGTGGAATATTTCTTCATTGGCTATCTAACATCATTTTGAAACTTCCGCAGCAATTAACTTACAAATGATAGTAGCCAACACTTTAATCTGAAAAGATGACCAAGAAACTTATCCAACTGAGCTCTTTTTGAATGTTGGCATATTTGATTATTGTAGAATTAATTGTCAACTTTTCATTATAAAAGAAGCATGGGCTATTGTCATAAATAAAATAATCACTAAATGTGTATTTTGACCAACAGTATAGCTGTTAGTTAAAGAAATTGTAGTTTATATATTTAAAATTAATTTCCAATTTCCATTTTTAAGGAGTCCTATGATGCCTTACCCTTACTGCTAAGAACTCAAACAAGAAATACAACTACTGAGAAATCATAATAAAAAATTTATACTCATGTTATCTATAACATTTACCTTTAGATTCTTTGAGAAAGTCATAGACTTTTTCGACAGCCAACTCTTCGGAAACCACATCCCAAAGACCATCACAAGCAAGTAATAAAAAGTCTTCATCGCCAGTCAAATCATAACTACTCACATCTGGCTCTCCGGTAACATAAGGCTTATAATCAACATCACCTTTAAACGGGTAAAAATTATTACTAAAAATACTCAAAACAAAATGATTTTGAAACTGATCTAAATAAGGCAGTGAATACTTAAAAAAAAAATTACCTATCGACCTGGACACAGCAAGTTGGCCATTAACTCTCCATGTACCCCAAAATACAACGGAACCACCCATAGATTCTACTCTTTCACGTTCTTCCTGCAAATCGATCAGCATTAAATAAAATATCTTTATCAAATTATGTCAGACACACAAAGTTTTTTATAAATGTAAATTCTAATCCTCATGTAATTGATATTTTTTTTTTATTATTCATAAATAAATAATATAAATTCAAAACAAAACTTAACAATGACACCTACTGGATTTTCTGGACGGTGTGGATTTACAAGCTGAATGAAGTTCCTTCCATTGACAAGTATGGCTTGAGAATCACCCAGCCAGGCTACATATATCTTCCCTCTATCGTGTCTTATTAAAATACTGACAGCAGTAGTGCCACTCTTCAGATTCTGTAAATATGAAATCAAATAAATAATTAAGTATGTATGTGAGTGGGGGTGTATGTACTTGATGTTATGAAAAATTAATAATATTAAATGTTCGATTATAATTGGAAAAGTTCCATTCACATAGCCTTATGTCGCCAAAATGCAGACAAAGAACAAAAAAAAAAATCTACATTTTGCCAATTCAGGCATCATCAGGGCAGACATATAAAACAAACCGAAGATCACATCACTCCATGAAATGGAACATATGGAAGAAAGATAAGGTAACAGCTCTCCTTTAAATTTAAATTTTTTTCACTTATTTACATTTTAAATTAAAATTATATATTTTTCTAGGTTTGTAAATAAAATTCAAAGTAAACACATATAACATAATTTAGTTAATAAAAACACTAATTCATACAATAAAATTTGTAATAAAAACATTTGATTTTTTATTGAAGACATTTTATTGTTAAAAGTGAAGATTGATTTAGTATTTGTGAAAAGTTTGTAAATAATAGATTTTGATACATAATTATATATTATTTTCTACTTCAAATTAAAATAAATTTAAAAGATCCAAGTTTAAAATTAGTTTTTACTATTTCCTGTGACTTTTTTTCTTTGGGATGGCTAAGTGAAACAAACCTTTTATTATGTGAACACGATTAATTTGTGTTTTTTCTAGAAAGTCTCTTACTTCCAAATTTAAGATATTAATCTAAGAGAAGCTCCTAACTTTGAGTATACATCTTTTCTGCTTTGAATCTTTAACTTGACCGCAACAAGAATTTTCAAGCCGAACTGATTCTTATTCTCAATGCCATATAAATAAAATTACTCTCATTAAAATTATTTTTTATTTATTTAATGTCTGCTTCATATATCCCCTCCTATGATGGATTCAATATAAAAATATGTAACTGATTTCAATGAAGAATACCAAGTATCCGTTCAAATTGATTTTTTTACAGATCCAAAAATTTCATCTTCATATGTCTACACAGCTGGCTTTATTTTATAACTACTTAAAATGCAGGGGGCAATATGGACGAAAGGGCTAATGCGTGTGCAAAACACATGTTGCCCAGGGATAGGTTCCGGTGCCATGGAGAGAGGGGCTTTAAACTCTGACATTAATTCCCTGCGCTTTCCCGAGAAAACCCTCATATAGCCTAAAAGGCGTGGAAGAGGTGGACAATCAATAAAAAAAAATTATTTAAAATGATAACTGAAAATGAAAAATAATATTTACTTAATCCCACACGAAATTTTAATGTTATACAATTTATCAAAGGTTAATATTTGCTGTGCCGAATGGTAAGCGTCCGAGGGGTAGACCGAGGCGAAGGTGGGAAGATTGCATTAAAGCCGATCTGAAGGGACTGGGTTTGGACGGCGAACGATGGAGGGAGGTGTGCAATAAGCGATTGGTGGTGTCGGCATCGAACCTTCGGGTTCGCTAAGCCTTTTTATTATTTATTATACAATTTATCAAGTTTAACTCCAAAATAAAATTATATTTTACCTCATCAATCCCACGTTTTTACTAAAATCTATAAAATAACTAATATTATAAATATAAAAATTTCAATTAACAATACCTATGGGAAGCACTTGGGCCAATTCATATCATAACACCTTATATAATATAATAGAAAACAAGAAACTGAAACAATACTAAACAAAAATTGAAACAACTTACTTCTTTTTTAGATTTATCAATAAATCTATCATCTGCTCTGATATAAGCTTCTTTAAATGCTGCTTCTGGGTTGTGTGGATAATGCTGGCTTTCAACTAAATATTGGTGCACATGAGAGCAAGCATAAATAGCAGCATCAGAACCATTGTGACCATCAAACACGGCATAATAACTAGCCACACCATGGCCCTGAAAGGAAAGGAAATTTATAAACTTTTAAAACAATACAAAAAATAATTAACATGCAACATAACAATTTCCAACTATAAGATAGCAATAATGCTCTTAATATAATACAGTTAATGTAGCCAAAAAATGGGAGGAGGGGATTGTAGGACCCATGGTATACAAGTATGAAGGTCCAAACTGCCTAGTTGCAATCCTAGACTGGAGATTAAAAAATCTAAAAACACAACATTTTTTCTTTTTACCTCGATTCCAAATAAGGCATGAAGATCATTAATCACTATATGCCGATCTTCCATTGTTCGCCTGATATTTTTTGCTGCAGCTGCAGAAACGGACGGAGTAACCGGTGGAGGTGGCGGAAGACGACTCAACTTTGAATTATCATGATACCTCAGGCAAACTTCTATAAGCTTTTTTATAGTAGTTTGCATTAGCTTTAATGTTTGATAATCTGAAAACATAATTTTTAGTTATAAAATTTTTTTAAGTTATAATTATTACAAACAATCAGAAACTGAGAATAGTAAAACTTAAAAGTATCACTATAAAGTAAAAGGATAGGTCTTATTTAAAATTTAATTTTAATAAAACACTTTTTAATTCAAAGTTTATATTATGTTGTCAGCATTTATTGCCATTTCGAAGCTAGCCGTTGGATTTCTTCACAACACCACTCTCAGTGTTTTCAATGGAAGAATGTTTCCCATTTTGAATCTTTTACAACATATTGAAAAGTTTTTCTTGAAGATAGTGAACATTAACCAGAATAGAAAGTCTGGACTATATTATCAGGATGAGCGAGGGAGATCAACCCTGCCCAGTTTTAAATTTTGATTTAGTTTAACATGGTGTGTAGTAGAGTATTATCTTGTAATAAAATCTGCTTTTTTTTTTTTCATATGTTCCAATGTAACTGATTGTTTACAAGTTCTGAATCAATGATTCGACCTTTAATCAGCATAATTTAACCTTAAATATTCATTCTTTAAATAAAAAAATAATCATTATATAACTTTCTTAGTGCCCACTGAGTGATCATAAAAGTGGGTAACCATTTTTAAAAAACAATTCACTTTTTCCAAGTTATGCACCAGAATACTTAATTTTTTTTTTTGTACCAATCATCCAAATAGTATTAAATGATGTTATTTAGTTGATCGGGCGCTTATGACCTGGATGTTTTGCGCCTAGACATCGAAACAAACAAACAAAAACAAACTTAAGATTGATTAAGACTCCAAGTTCTCTTGTCAATTTATGAATAAATTATTAGGTCTGCCTCAATTCAGTCTGACAGTTTACTCATTGAATGAAGACTTCCATCTGGAACCCTTTTTCCTCTAAATCAGGGGAGGATTTTTAATTTTGTAATATTAATTATGTCATTTAAAAATAAACTGTAGTTCTCATTCTACTATAAAGGCATATTTCAAAATCTGAAACCTGTAAACTGTAAAAAAATCATATTTCATTCTTCAAATTAGATTCCATTCCTTTAGAAATAAATTGTCTAAAAAAAATATATATTTATATATTAATTTTTTTATCCATTATATTACTTTTTAAAGGGAGCGGGGTAGCTCAGTGGTAGGGCACTAATCTTCCAATGCTCAAGGTACCAGGTTTGAATCCTGGCTCATGTTAGAAAAATTATTTATAGTATTTCATTGGCCGTGGGGTGATCCAGAGGTAGAAATACCCTGTGCCTGATCCTGGCCCGATCCTCTTCCTGCACAACTGTTGACCTTATAATAATATTTTCCCTAAATAGTACTGAACTAAAGACCCTTCATGGATTATAGTGGAACAGGTTTTTTTTTTTTTAATTTTAAATTTTAAAAATTCCATTTATTATCATTAAATGGATAACAAAATTGAGTATTTATACATTCAATAAATTAGATTTTAATTAATTATATAAATTAAAATTATTAATAAATATTATACAAGTAGATTTTAAAACTTAATTTGGTAGAGACATTAAAACATAAATGTAAAAAATTACAAACTTGCATAACTTGTTTCCATTACAACATTATATTTAACTGTTTTTCCAAGGTTTAAAGAATTATAAAAGTAAATGGATTTTTTTTTTTTTTTATGGATGTGTATGTGTAATAGAAACAAAATTAGATGTTATAAGAAACTATATAGGGTTGGTAAATAGCTAACAAAGTTTATTAATATAAAAATATGTATCAGAATTTCTTTTCTAAACATTTGTAACTAATTTTCATTCATTGCTTCAAAAAATAATTATAGAAGATTAATAACAAAACTTTAAACCCCCCACCCGAAATTTAATTTGAATTCAATAGCTGCGCAAATGAAACCATTTATAAAGGAACAAAACTCCTTAAGCATTTAAATGAGTATGCTACAAGAATTCATATCAACTTTTTATCACAATGGATTGATATGGTTAAAGATGGTATCATACATGCATATTATAATAATCATGTAACATCAAACAATATGCCAAGATAGCAATTGATAAGATAAAGTATATTATGAAATTACAAAACTTAAGGTTAAGGTAAGTTAACAAAAGGACAACATTCCAATTGTAAATAATTCTTTTTTGACAAGGTTGTACAGGTTCATACTTTATCTATGCAATAGGATTTCACATAGATCTGACTAAAGTTCACTGCCATATCTTAGAACAAACAATCAATATTACATGAATAAATGTAATTAAATAATTATTTCAAAACATGTAGAATAGTATTAAATTAAGAGAAGGAAAATAAATAAAAAACACAAATGAAATTATCTTTCACAGAAAATACATACCATCTTCCTTTGATCTATAGCCACAGCTTTCAGGTTTTTTTTTAATTGTTTCTTGCATTTCCAAAAGGACATTGCGGCACAATGGAGCAATAAGGCTGGGTGGGCATTTACTGAAATCAAAACATATATATTTCAAACATAATAATAAATTTCTTTACAGAAAACAATCACATCATTCAATTGGGATAGTTACAAATAATCTTGCAAAAATATGAAAATTCCGTTAATTTTTTAACAAAGTGATCCAAAATAAAACAAACACCAGAAGCAATACTGAATGGCATGACCGCAACTAGTTATACATTTAAATTCATTAACTACTGCAAAAAAAAATATTAGCTAATCCTATGTAGAACAAATACAAAAATCATTACCAATGGGTAATACATTACACGATATGGTTTTATAAATTGTCTTATTTGAGTAATAAAAAGAGTAAGTAAATTAATCAATTTGTATGGAAGAAAGAGTAGATCAATCAATGAAAACATACCAACACAACACTCAATCTTAAACACAATGAACATAGCTTTTATTAAAATCATACTGACAATACTAGAAAAAAGTAACAAAGTAATGACCAAATGTTGAATATCAAATCATAATTGTAACTATTAGTGACAATTATTTTTAACTATGACTCACAAGTAAGGGAAGCACATTAGTTCAGTAGTCTAATTTGTAACATTTACCTGAAGTTTAAATATTCAAGGCACCAAGAAATAATTTCTCCGGTAATTTCAAAGTCAGCTATATTATATTTTCCAATGTTCACAGGAAGAGGGTTGTCTAAATCAACCGATTTATATAAATTATCGAAAAAGGCGCGATATTCAGTTAAATAGTCCTGATCAGAGTCATCCATTGTAGCTAAAACTTATAAAAAATAACTTTTCTGTAAAAATAAACCACAAATGGCAAACAAATTACACCGCCAAATCCAAACGCCCATCAACCGAACTCAGCTATACGTTCACCAACAAACAATCCATTAGATATCAGTTGCCATAATAATCGACTTATGGGTATCAATGAAAACCACGATAGCAAAATCGAGTTTCTTTTAAAATTTTCTTGCTCAGAGTTCCATAATTCGCTGTAATATATGTCTGGCAAAAAAAATTTAAATTTTGTTTTGTTTTTTATCATATATTGCAGTCCGAGCAGCGATTTGCAGTTAGAAAATTGTAATTCAGTTTATGATTTTTTTTATTTATCGGACTATAACAAATAATTAAGATGAATACAACATCCATGAAATAACTGAATATTTCTTTCTCATTATTGAGAAACATTAAATAAGTTTTCGGTTTTTGCAAAACATAATATACATTTATTCAAGCTATAGTCTAAAATTACTTTGATTATTACAATCGATATTTAACTACATGCGTATCAATACATCCGTTATTGGCATTTATCAGAAAAATCGTTATTAATCAATTCAGTTTTATTCTTTTGGCGAAATTTATTAAGAATTTAAAAAAATTAATTGTTTACTGTAAATATTTTGTGAAGATTCACTCCCTCTTATTTTATAAAAGTGTGTTTAGAAATTTCACGAACTATGGAAAAGACAATTATCTAACTGAATTAACAGCGACATTATTTCTAAACCAAACTATTTATTTTATTTCTCATCAAAAACAAGATACAAAATACTAGCATAGTAAAATAATAATTTATACATTTGTTTGTCACATAGTTTTTAAAATGTTTAAACTCACCTTTACACTCTAGATAAAATATAGAAAAAGAAAAGATAGCAATTTAAGTTTACAATCATTATATAAATAGGCAAACACAAAACGGTTATGCCCCTTTTTCTCCTCTATTATTCAACCGATTTTCTTCCTTTTTTTTCTTTTTTTTTTTTTTTTGTGTAATAGCTATTGACGAGATTTAGTTTTAACAATAAATAAAAATATTAAATATTAAATAGTGTATGTAAATAAAAATATAAATGGTAGTTTGTTCGAAACAGCTAATCTCCGAAAGTTCTTCACTCATTGCTTTATAATTTTGAAACAACGTCGCAATAAGATTTAGGAGTGTTTTTGTATAGGTTTCATTATCATCAGATTTTTCCTTTCGAAAGGCGGCCAAATAACGTGATTCGCTTTAGACTAAATTTGTATGACGAATTCACTATTTTATTTGTGAATAACACAAAAAGTACACATTTTTTTATTAATAACGCCAATATTTATTTGAAAGTTTCTTGAATTCCCTCAAAAAATTAAAAATCATCTAAATCGGACTATTTCTTGCAGAGATATATCCTTTTAAACATTTGGTACTTTTTCTAGACGATTTCGATTATTTTGGTACTTGATAAATCGAAAACTTAACATTTACTGAAGTAATCAGGACTATTATTTAAAGAGATGATATCAATGAATGTTACCTCATAAATTAAATTTAAAAGTAAATTCTGAAGTTAAACTCATTCCTAACTTAAATACTGCACAAGCATTAGTTAGTGGAACAGGAATGACAGTGAAGTGCTAATGGGAGTTACTTTAAATAAAAGAATTTTAATTTCAAGAATTAATTTAACAATTTCTGAGACAATACTGATATCCGAGTTTCAGAGAACAACATTCTTATTAATAGCTGCATTGTATGACCATAATCAAATCGCAAGGTCAAAGTTTTGGTAAAATTTGTGTTTTATTGCGATATCCAGTAATTTCGCATGGGTAACCATATGTGGCAGCAAGTAAAGCACATTCTTTTAAAATTTATATTCCCAATATAAATGGGCAAGGCTATGTACTAAAAAATAACAGAACATTCAAAAAGAACTTTGTTTACAGGGAGGTTCTAAATAAAAATTGATTTAAACTGAATTGAAATTTCTAATTTAAATTTATTTTTTACTTGCTTAATCATAACATAACATTCATTTATTGTGATAATAACGCAAATAAATTAAAATGGAAATTGACTATTTTTGAATGAGTCTATTCTGTATTACTTATAAACATTTTAAGTAGTTCAAGCTCGATTTTTAATTGAAATTGAAATTTTTTTGTTATTACTAAATGAGGACTTTTGAATCGTGGTTTACTCTTCATTTATTTTGTATTGAATTATATGTTTTCCTCAAATTTTTAATGATTATGGTCGAACACTAGATAAATATGAAAATGTTAATAAAAGATCTCCTAATCAGGACAAAGACCATTATAGATGTGAGGAAATAATACATACCATAGGTCATTATTTGGTTTTAAAAAATACATTTTTCTTGTTCAATATAAAACTTAAATTAATAAAAAATGTAGTACCATTTTTTTTTGTAAATATTGACATTACTTATGTAGGAAATTATTGATCTCTGTAGACTTAATATATCTATAAGTAACCAAAGTGACATTTGTATAAGAAAAGTATATCAGGCTGAATTGTTATATTTTTTTCAACAAGATAGGTAAGTATGATGTGTCAGAAACTCAACAGTTGAGCAGCATTACAATTTTATTGTAGTTCCCATAGTAAAACTATGAATAGCGACTTGTACTGTAAATAAAAAAAACACTGGTAAGTTATGTCATAATTTTTAGTGAAAATTAGTGATAAATAAACAATTCCAGCATGTTAAAGTGTGTTTAAGTATACAGTTAATCTCTCAATTCCACACTACAAAAGGGTTTTAGAGATCTTGTGATATTATTGAAGGAATATTTTATTTCATAAATATATTTATCTTCTGAGGGGTTAATTGTAACAATAATAATAATTAACCTCAACTTTATTTTTATACCTATTTTTATTTATGTTCAAAAGCAAACTTGCATACAATTTCCAATAATTATTTATTTATATTACAAAATTATTTCTTAAATATTCGTTGATAACCATCCTAAAAAAGAGGAAAGCTTTAATATCTAGAAACAAAATAAACTCTATAAATTAGATGAGGTGAATACAAATTTATTTATTCATTAACATCTGAAAACAATGTAGTTTAGAATATCAGTATAATAAACTTGTTCAAAGCACACTGATACATTCTTAAGTTCAGGGTTGGAGAGTAGTCGGGGTTGATTTTTTATTCAAGTGTAACAAATAAGATATTTGAATTTTTGTGAGAAGAATGAATTGTAGTATCATCAGCGAAGCTATAGATGGTGATGCTAGGAATATGAGATTTGTAGTGAGAAAAGAGGAGAGAACTTACATTGTGGTAAGCCTGAAAGTTGGAGGAAGGTTGAAGAATCAGAAACCAAGTAGAAGGATCTTGCAGTTTTATTTTCTGTAGCAGACACTATTAAATGCTCTCAATGTTGAGAAAAGTTGCAGAGTAGTACTCGTTTTTTCTCGAAAGCAACATATACTATGAACTAAGGATAAAAACCTATAAATGTTCCTTCTTAGCCCGCTCTGTCTCCTACTGGAATTCTTTGTCACATAACATCCGTCATGCCTCTTCCCTGCCAACTTTCAAATACCTCCTTTTCCAATATATCCTTACATCCCAAACAGAAGATTTACAACCATAAATTTAATTTTATGAACTGAATTTGCTTGAAGTAAACGGTGGTGCCTACTGTTTAAGATTTAACATAAAACAGCAATGATTTTTGTCACCTAGTTTGACTATTATTCTTACTATTTATTTGTTTTTCTGTTCTCCTCAGGTTATGCTTTTTCTTTCGGGTATATATGTTTATATTTTATACTTTTTGTCTCTCTGTATGCCAATATGAGAATGTATGTATAAATAGTTTCTTTTTTTTTTTTTCTTTTTTTCCATTATACCACAAGTAATCCTAAGATTTTATTTTATCTAAGTGTCTGCATATTATTATATAAATCAATGTAGATATTATTACATTATACATGTATTAAGTTAGTTTTCTATTAGATAGCCTATTGTTTATAGATTGTGTAGTTATGTATATATAAATATGTAATTTCTTTTCTTTTTTTTTCAACACAATAATAAGTAATTTTGAGAAGATTTTATGTTCATTTATGTATATATTTATTTTTTATTGGTTACATACTTTTTAAATAATGTATATAATATTAGAATTTTTATAAGTTAGTTTTTGGCCAGATTTGTATTTTACTTTGTATTAATTCACCATTGTTATTCTAAGAGGACTTAGTCCCAGAATAAAGTTTAATTTTCTATTCTATTCTACTACACAATGACACTGATGTATGGTGGAATGGTATGAACTATATAAGGTAAGGCTACTTTCTAGGATAGGCTTTATCCTTTTTAGAAATATTTTTTCAATAGAGGTAGGGGTTCAATACGATGATGGATTACTGGTGGGTTCGGAAAGTATAGGAATCAATAGTAATAGTTAAAAGTAGAAATACATTTTTGATACTCAATAATAACCAAATATCTAATTTTTCTGATCGTGAATATAACACCAATAAAAAATATTAATTGAATAATGACTCAACTTTTCAAAGAAAAATGAGGCCTTGGTCAAACCCACTGGGCCCATTAGCTTCTGAAATTAAGCAAGAGACTTGAACCAAGTGATAAACTAGTTCTAAGCCATTATCTGTTCAACCCCTATGAAGAAGAAATTATTTAATCTCTATGAATAAATATTATACTATACAAGCATGCAAAAGGATTCATTTAATAATTGCCAAGAAAATACATTTTATTTTCATATTTGTTAAATTCACATTAACATTGTAACAGGAACTCATTTTATAAGTGCTGATGTTCTCTCATGGCCTGTGGAAGGAGCTATTTTTTAAAACACTAAACGAAGAATTGTTTCTATGACTCCTCACTGAACTTTTAGGAAAACAATGTGGGTTATGAGAAAGTAATTAAGATTTTATTCTTTTTAATTTTTGAAATATAATTTATTTTAAGTAGAGGGTGGTTTCCTTCCCCTACCTCCTCTCCCACATTATTAGCTACTTTCAATATGTTGAAAAACTAATAATAAACCTATTGCTGTCAATCAGTTTATCAGAAATATGTTCATTTCATCATTTAATTTTCTGTACATTGGTAGGAAGGTCGTTGCTCCACCTTACTTTCTTCTTGCTCCGAAAACTGGCAGCGTCAAGAAGTAATATTTCTCCAGTAAGAAGAAATATTTATATCTTATACAGCCCTTATGCAAAATAGATAGAAGTAAACCCTTGTATGATTGTTTATTTAATAAAACTTATAAAAATAACTCACGGAAGATTAAAAAATGAAAATGAAAATGGGCAAAAAAAGAAAAATTAACCAATAATTATAACGATATAATTATCAAAACATTTAAAAACATTAAAGAAGCTGAACTGGAGAAAAAAATCTCAAAAGTATGTAAAAAATAAACTTTAAGCTTCCTTATACCCACGTTCAAGTTAAAATTGGTATCAACAGAACACCAATTAACCAAAAAAACATGTATTTCATTTTCAACCTGTACAATTCCCATACTTTAAACTTCATATTGCACGAATGTAAATTTATATGTGAACATGTTTTTTCTTTAATAAATTTTTCTAAAAGTTGAAACTGATTCTAAAGCGTTACTCTAAATGACAATGAACATCAGGATATTACACATAAAGAGCTATCTTTCTTGGAATCGCCCTCCTTCATTTGTTGAGTTACTTGATCTAAATATGAGTTCTTAATCCTTTTTTCAATATGTGGTGGAAGTGGATCATTCCAGTGTGGAGGAGGCTCTCGGCGCTTCTCCCATACATCATTATCCAAATGGCCCGAAAGTCGTTCTTTTCTTTTATCCAATTCATCATCAATTAGTTCTTTCTGGAAAACAAGACATATTGTATGAATTAAAAAAATAAAATATGGAGTTTAGTTATTTTATACAACGTGTCGGCTAAAATTTTAGCCCATCAACAGAGCAAAACGGAGAATATTTTCTATTCTTTTTGAGAAATTATTTCTTAAATTGAAATCTTGTATTACTAGCAAACTCATTTTCATCTACTTTATAATTTCTACTAATTATAAATGATTTTTTAAGTAAATCCTTATGGCTTTATAATTTTTAATTATGAATGATTTTTTATATGAATCATTTTGACTTTGGATCCTGATGCAATTCATCCTGTTGAATGTCAACAACAATAAAATAAAATTTCTAATTTGCGTATATTTCGTTAATGGATATAAAACCGACCAACTGTTCCTACTATTTGATCTATGATCAAGAATATCTCCACGATTATTCTCTAAATGATTAAAAAAATTGGATAAATTAACAAGTATTTAACACACTTATTAGTTATTACAAGATTAATACTGTAATTGTATGTAAGACACAATCAAATCCCAAAAATACTGCCTGGTTATAAATGAGGCATTTGGCTTCAAAAGCAGTTACATCCAATTTCAAGAATGCTTCAGAACTGATCAAAGACAATTGTATAGAACCAATTTCGATAGAAAATCGAAGCTTTTAGTATTGATTTTTGGACAAAACTGTCTAGGTCTTTGAAAGATTCGTTTTCCTACCTAAGTGGTTCGATACAACCTTTTTTGATCAGTTCTGAAGTATTTATGAAAATGGATGTAGCCTTCATATATTATAAAATTAAATTTTTAATTCAATCTACATATTTCTGGTTGCAGCATGACCACAAGGAGTAATCCTTCTGCAATGTTGTTTAGTTTGTTTATGAAATAATAAAATAATGTTTTTCCAGTGTATAAATAAAGAGCAGGGTTTTGTACACTCACTATCAGCAGTACAATATTATCTAAATTAACAAGTACCTCAAATAATATAACATGAGAGAAAAATAAATTTAAAAACCTCTGAAAAATGCTCCTGCATTAACTACTTCCATGTACTATAACTTATAATGGACCAAAACATGGCTCACATTAAGAAATCAGTTTAATAGTTTTTTTTTAAATAAAGATTAAGGAATCCAAGAGATTATTACTATATTTTGAGTGCTATTCTGAAAACTTTATTTAAATAACTTATATCTCATAACTATACATACTTTTTTAATTGAAAATCATAAATTGTACAGACTGAAATGAAAATTTGTAACCATTATTGACTAATCTGGGCTACCTTGACAGAAAGACTATATAAATAACGCCTTCCTTTTCATTTTCATAATAATATTAAAATATCATACACGAAATGTGTTAAACAAGTTTAGGTACTTGTTAAATAGCTGGTCCGGTCGAAACCTCCCTTGTTATCTAATCTTATATCACAGATCCTCCCTTCTTATCTCCTCTAACCAAAGTTATTCCACTGTTTATTTTTTGTTCCTCCTATAAACAGTGAGTTAGTGTTATTTTCGTGAAATTATGGATGTTGTTACATTGTTCGAATTGCCGTCTTCAGAAGAAGAGGTTATCAAATATTTTCAAGACGGCGGGATAATTGCAAAGGTGAAATATTGTGATGGAGGTCACAAAATGAAGTTGGAGAGGAAGACGAAATGGAGATGATTTCATACTTGTAACTAAAACGTTTCTATAAGGAAAGGAACGTGGTTAGAGGGGTCGAGGATTTATTTTTTAACGGCTTTAAAATTCATTTATGGGTGGTCCCATAATTTAACTATTTCCTCGCTACTTTAAATAGCACAAAACTATTTTCTCTACCAAAATAAATTAAGTTAAAATAAAATTGGTTTTTATGTACATATTTTGTTTATAGTGTTAACATTGTTTCTTTTATATGTACATATGTTCTTTATAGTCTTCACAGTGTTTTTTTTATATATAAATAAGTTGTTTAAGTGTTTTTTTTTTTTAATAATTTAATTTATTTTTGCCTATTTTTATTATTTAATTTATTTTTATATATATATTTGCTGTAATATTTTTACATTATATATGTATAATGTTTTGGTCTATTTAATATATATCTTGTAAAATAAAAGTATTTTTTTATTATCACATTTGTTTTTGTTTACAATTTCAATAATATGAATATAATACAATAACATGAATAGGAAGATATTAAGAGTGCCTTATCAGAATTATCAATGTTAAGGTTATAAACATTAGCAGATAGCAGTCGGACCCGACCGGCTATTTAACGAGTGTCCAAGTTTAAATACATTTGTTTATCATAACTTCTCAATAAAATCAAACTGATTCTTTTAAATTAACAGCTTACACTTTTTGACTCACAAATGCTCTTCTATCTTTTGTTTCTTCCCATTTAACACAATTGTTGTAACACCTTTTCCACTGACGACAGTCATCCATCTTCCCTTTGACAAAATACTGATGGATACGAGCATGCATTGAAGTGCAATCGCTGTATTCATCATCATATAAAGAGCAATTTCTCACCTATAACCAAAAAAATAACTATAAAATACGACGTTATTTTTTTAAATTATTAAATAGAATTTTTTTACTATACATAATGCTACAATAAACATTGATGTTAGGTAAGAAGGCATATCTCATTTTATTTTTTTGCTAAGTAAGCCAGCTTCCCGATTTTATCCCGGAGATTATATATCATCAACAAATAAAAGAAAATCAATAAAGAAATAAGGTATTTAGAAAAAATATTAAAATTCAAAGAATGAATTATCTGAGGAAGAAAAATCTAAATGTCCATAACCAAAACTTTCATAAAAGGTTTTTGAAATACAACTCTTAGGTTTATAACGACAGATAAATAAAAATAAAAAATATAACTGTAATCATATTTATAACTTTATAGTTTGGAGAGAGAGGACAAAATTAAATTTAAAAACGGGCGTTAAGTAGAATGAGTTTATCTAGACTTGTTCAATAAGAAGTCAACACAAAACCTGACGTTTTTAAATGATAAACTTGTTTTCCCTTCATTTAAATGAAATATAATTAATATTTTTACTTTAACAACATTGAAGTGCCACTTATTGTTCTACAAGGTTCTAAAATTGGTTGTGAACTGAATTTAATTTCCTGTGATCCTTAAAAGCTATGTTTAGAACAACCAAAAAATTGTGTAGATATTGGTATAAAGGACATTAGATTAAAATATCTTAACTGACTCTATGTAGATGCAATGAAATTATATTTTATAAAATTATTAATAATTAATACAATTGTCATGAATGAAAAAATGAGTATTGAACTAGTGAAACATAAAAAAATCCAGGTTTACGGCTTTATTACTAACCATCCAGGAATTATTGTCAATAAATTCATCGGAAACAACCATAATCAAAAAAAATTATAAATATATTTTAAAAAATTCAAACCACTATCAGCATTGAGCAATGGAAGATAACTGTGGCAGGTTACAACATTGTTATCGAATTAAAACTACAAATCAGTTTGAATGCTGTACATGTACTAATGCTAGATTTAATAATTATTTTTCCAATAGAAACTTCCTTAAAGAAATATGTAACCAACTTGTGGCCGTCCCGTGCCTAACATCGTACTTAAAACAAATTTTAAGGATGAAAAGTATTGCAAACCGTTATTAGTTTAGATGGCACTGGCAAGCTTGTGCTTCAAAGCCGATTTTTGTAAACATGTCTTGAGTTTTATTTATTTTCTGTTGTATTTATAATTGATTATAAAACCATGGCCATCTCAGTAATTCATACCTATCCAATTAGTTTTAAATATTTTCATGACTGTTTAATTATAACTCATTCTCTACATTATATATGTTATTTTATTTAGCATTGTTATCTGTTTATGCTTAAAGTTTTGTGTTAGCATAATGAAAGGGTTTTCTTATGAGAAGAGATACCTCAAAAGACCAAAACTAGGACCTCCAGATGTATACCCTCAGGAGCCTAAACAGAAAGAAGTTGGTATATTTATTAGTGTTATCAATTGATGTGACAGTTTTTGCATTAATGAATTCACCCAATTCATTGTTTTTTAGGATGAGCTAACAATAAACAATGTTAAACATGGATTTGCTGCTTATCCTCAACTCTCTGATGAATTTGGAACTGCTCGAAATTGTAATGTCACTGCTTCAAAGGTAAACTTTATTACTGTAGTTGTTTATGATTTCATTAGTATGAACACAATCGTTGATCTTTATTTTTTTGTTTTAGATTGGTGCTTACTTCAATGCCATTATTGGTAAAAAAGATGAAATCAACACTCTTCCTGATTCAGGAAGAAAGAGACCACAAATTAATCATAAAGATAATTTTTGGCCTGCTACTGCTCGCACTAAACCAGCTGTGGAAGCTTGGTTTAAAGATCTTGCTGGTAGCAAAACTTTACTTGCTTTGTCAAAGAAGGTGCGGGTGGTTATTGACTAGTTTGTTAAATTTGATCTTTAGGAATATTTAGTTATCTCGAAATGAATCAAGGCTTTGTCATATGTATTTTAATATCATTAAATTACCCAGAGATGTAGGCTGAGTGTTATCGTTTTTTGTTAGAATTGGATAAAGGGTTACTATCTTTTTATGGCTTATAACAGAATCAGTTGTGTCCTTCATACTTTGTTTTGAATATGTTTGTAATGTGTTAGGTAACTTATCTTTTATTACCAGTATGTATACCTCTTGAATCGTGTTTTGTGGATCAGAAGCAAGTTCAATTATATTTATTTGCACAAATTGAAAAATAATTTATTTTATCTATTTAATAATTTATTTATTTATTCTAGCTAGGAACTTTGAAAAATTTCATATTGTCAATCTTGATTGTCTCTGGAGGATTGTTAAAGTTTTATAATTTATCTAATTTTACTATCTCACCGTAAATGCGATATTTTTTTGGTGAAATTATCGTTTAAAAACTTTATCTTGAGACTAGTGCTCTGTTATTTATAGCTAAAAGTTTCACTTTTTTTTAAACATTGAATGGCTTGTCTTGCTGAACAGTTTTCTATATTAATTGTTATCGCTATTAAATAAATTTATGTTTATTATCTCCTTACGGGAATGTACAGTTTTTGAAATTTAAGATAATACATTAATCCTTAGACTAATTTTCTAGTCTGCCACCTCTGATACAAGGAGAGATGCTTCCATTAGTGTCCTTTTAGATCTAAGTATGATGTTAAGCTCGTCAGCTTCATCTAAAATTTGAATGAACCTGTTAAACAGAGGATGAGAACTTGCTTGGATTCCTGAGTTCTTAACTTTTCTCTTAGGCAAGGTTGAGGAGTAAGCATGCAAAGATATCACCTAATCTCAACCCTTTCTCTTTACTGAACTCTTTGGATAGAACAGGCTCAGTTTTTATTGTTTGCTTTAAGCAGAGCTGCTTGAGTGGGACCTGATGGTTGAACCTCCTCCCTCCCTCCCGAGATGAGGATGAGCTAAAAATACCATTAGAAGATATAAAATAACAAATAAACTGGTGTAGACAGCATCCAGTCTTAAGTTCTTTGAGATGATAATAATAATACTTTATTTATTCTGGGACAAGTCCCTTTAGAATAATACATAAGGACAGTAATGTGGGCTAAGGAGCCTCAGAGATACATAAAAAGAAATGTTGAGTAATGAAATAGTCATATTAAAAATTATATGTTACTTTCTAACTTGAATAAGTTAATAATAAAAAATTGAAAATAAAGTAAAAATAATGAAGAATAATCTAATAATTTATATACATATTTACAGTGGTATCTATTTACAATTTTATGGGGACTGGATGGATAAGAAATGATTGAACAGGCGGGATTTAAAGATAGGAAGGGTATTGGATTGACGGATGTGGAAAGGGATGGAGTTCCATAGGGATGAGGATCGGATAATGAACGATCTGTCGAAAGCAGCGGTTCGGTGGGCCCTTATGTATAAATCAGAAGACCTGGAACGAGTATTGCGGGAGCGAACAGAGGATTTGAATTGGAGGAGCTCGAGGATGTATGAAGGTCGGTGGGATTGGATGACTTGAAAAAGGAAGGATGCCAGGAAATACTTATAACGGTAGGAAGGGAAAAGCCACTTCAACTCTACATAAAAACGGGAAACAGAGGCGTCCCTTGGGATCCCGAAGATGAATCGTACAAAGCAATTTATCAAGCGTTTTAGTTTCGCCTCGAGATCCCCAGAGACGCCCTCATACACCGTACAGCAATAGTCAAAGTGGGTGGAAATTAAGGATGTGACCGGGAGTCTACGGGTTTCAAGGGGAAATAAGTGACTTAGGTGGTTTAGGCGTTTTAGGGTGGAAATGGTCCAACGGGAGATGTTGGATACATGGTTTTTCCAGGGAAGCATTTGATCGAAGGTTATTCCAAGGTTTTTGATAGAGGGATAAAATTTGATGGGATTATCAAGTAGGAAAAGAGTTAGAATATGTGGAACAGTTTTAAGGAGGTGATTAGAGCCAATTAAGATTGCCTTTGTCTTTTCCACATTCAACTTCAACTTGTTGGCTCTCGCCCAGTCGCAAATCTTATCCAAGTCTTCTTGAAGTTTTTCTGTGGCTGATAATAGGTCAGAGGGCGGGAAGGACAGGTATATTTGGAAATCATCAGCATAGATATGGTATTGGGAGAAACGGATATAGTGGAGAAGAAATCAAGAAAGCACTTCACAATCTTATCTTTATGTGTATAGATGTGTGCATAAGTGCAGACTTTCCATTTTGATTGGATGGACCAAAAAAAATAAAAAAAATGGTAGTAGTTCATATTATGTGGCCGTCGTCCTCCTCTCTCCCCCCAAAGTCTGTGCCTATGAATGAGTTGATGCCTTTAGAGTAGAATGAGGCAGCAATTTGTCCAATCCATAAAAAGGAAGATAAGATTAAGTTAGAAAACTACTGTGGGATCATTGTTCTCTCTAGGAATATGAAATTTTGCCATGCATTTTATATGAATCACTCACTCTTTATGCAGATAAAAAGCTCAAAAATTATCAGTTAGACTTCAGGAAGGTTAGATGTGGCTGATTAGATATTTATTCTCAATAAGGCTAATTGTGGTCAATTTTAAAGATTATAATGTGGTCACACCGTCTCTTTGTAAGCTTTAAAAACAAACTATGTTGACCAATTATATTGTATATTGTTGACCAAAATGAATTATATCAACTCCCAAGTTGAGATGTGTATACCCAAGAAACTTATACGTCTTGTAAAAATGACTATGAAGCAATCTAAGAACATAATAAAAATAGTTTTGTCAAAGAAGGAATTAATAATAATTTTTTTTTTATAATCCATAAATATGAAAAATATCAGAACACAGAATTAAAAACAATGAAACAATTAAGTTATTGAGTAGCATGAAGGTTGTATAGAAATCACATTTGTATTTTTAATGCAGTAAGTAAAAACGAAGGCTTTATTTGCATGCTCAAAAAATCTTATTGTAATAAAATATAGTTATATGGACCAAAATATTTCAATGTTATCTTGCCTTATGTTTATAGAATATTATAAATTTAAGTTTATAACTGTTAGCCTGTTTTAATATCTAAAATATTCGCTGTTCTTATAACCACATAATATTGTATCTGTGTTGCAGATTGAAAGTTTCCAGTATTTAAAATATTCCTTCATTTTGTAATTTTAAAATTAATCAAACTATTTCTATTTTCAGGTTCCAAATTTCAATAAGAAAGAAGAAATTTTTCCTTTGTTATGTGAATTTCAAGTCCCAATGTTAAGAGCTGCATGGTTCATTAAGTTAAGTTCAGCATATACTGTTGCTGTGACTGAAGCAAAATTGAAAAAAAGACAGCTTCCAGACCCAACTCAGGGTTTGTTGTTTTATAAAAAGTTAAATTTATTGAATTACATCTTACTAGAATGTATTCATTTGTCATATTTATACTATTCCATTTTTTTCTTATTTAGAGTGGACTGGTACATTATTAAAGTTTTTAAAAGAGCAACTCATGAAACTGCAGGACTTTTATCAGTCAACTACCCAGACTGTAATGTCTGATGAACAAAAACTAGCTTTAAAACTATGGCATTATAATGTTCAACTTACAAGATATCTTTATCAGGTTAAATTGTATTTTTAAAATTTTCCTTCCTTAGTGGTTTATTGATTTATTTTTCTTATTTTCTTTTTGGGTTGTATTCCGTCAATTCTAGGAAGGACTTATTGATCGACAAGAACTTCTAGTGTGGATTCTTGATTTGGTGGAAAGATACAAGAACTGGGCTCCAGCTGACGATGGTCCACTTCGCCTCATTTTACCAGTGGTTTTACAGTATTTAGAAGAATTTACCCAAAATGAACTTATGGCTAGAAAATTAGCATACTTCTGCTCTCTTAGGCTTTCTCAACTATGTACCAACCAGAGTGGTGGTGGTGTGTCACCTAACAGTCCTAATCACAGTCTGTAAGTTTAAAGATAATTATACTAATATTTATTGGTATGATGGTATATTACTATATTAATTCATAATGAAAATCATGTTCTATATTTTCATAATTCATTGATGCTTTCTCTAGGCAAAAACAATATTCCTTGATTATTCATAGTTGTGAGAGGTAACATACGTTTATATATTATGCCAATAGAAAAGTGCACTACTCCAGTATAATGGCTTCTGACTAAAAACTTGATTGGGGTTGTAATTTTCAGTATTTCGATGTATTATATAATTTTTTAATTTACTTAGAGAACTAAATTTTTTTGTTCATGGCTACAGTAAAAGTACTTAAAAAAAACTTTTACAATTATTTATAAATAAGTATAGCAATACATAGTTATAAAAGAAGATGTCTTTAGTTTATTTTATTTCCTGCTTGGTGATGGTCCTTTTCTCTTCCTTGTTAATTGAGGAAGAATAAAGAAGTCGATAACTGTGTACATTGTATTTGAATCAGACTGATGAGCGTCTAAAGATTGAAAATAGGCTTGAAAGAGAATTAACTACTGAGGAAGGAAAGATATTTTTATTTTAAATTGTCTACGCCTTGTGAGTTTCTCATGTGATCTTAATAAAAAATAGGTCTATTATTAATTTATTTAGATTATAAAAATATGAAAATTTAAAGAATGCTTAAATATGTAAAAATACTTTTGCGTGAAATAAAAACTATTTTTCAGCATCCTCTATTACTGCCAAATTTAAATATGGTTTCTAGTGGTAAGGTTCCTCACTTCTGCTACAATGCATTATATCATTTTTTGGTACTTGTCGGTTAGCCGGGAAGGACCGACTGCTATGTGCCAATGTTTATAACCTGAACACTGGTAATTCTGATAAGACACTGATAAGGCTTCTCATAATTCCTATCTTTGTATTCATATTTATTGTATTATATTCATATTGTTGAAATAGTAAACAAAAACAAATGTAATAATAAAAAATACTCTTATTTTACAACATATATATTAAATAGATGAAACTTTGTTAAATCATTCAATTGTGGGGTGTTTTGCGGAACAGGAAATCGGGAAATATCATAGCTGGCTCCGGAAAGGCAGATCCACTGTTGATCTAGTGTTCACCCTTACGACAATTTTCTGACGGGGTCATGAATATAAAATCCCTACACACCACCTGTTTGTTGACTTTGAGAGTGCATATGACAGCATCAAACGACCTAAGCTGTATGAGGCGTTGGGCGAAATGGGTATCCCATGCAAACTGATACGTCTTGTGAAGTTGACAATGGAAGATGTAAGGTGTCAGGTACTGATCCAGTCTGACATTGCTTCAGCCTTGGGATTGGCCATAAACGAGAATAAAACAAAATATATGCACACAGGGACTGAAGGCAATTAGGCACTGAGTGTTGGCCCTTACACATTCCAAAGGGTGAACGAGTTTACTTATTTGGGATCTCTAGTAACTCCAATAAACCATGTCTCTGCTGAGATAAGGAAAAGGCTGGTGGCAGCAAATAAGGCATATTTTGCCTTACTGAAAACTTTCCGCAGCAGATCCATTACCAGAGGCACTAAACTGGTCATATACAAGACTCTTACGCCCAGTTCTTACCTATGCTTCCCAATCCTGGACCATCTCAAGAAGTGATGAAAATAATCTTTAGATTTTCGAAAGGAAAATCTTACGGCAAATAGTTGGTCCAGTGAGAGATGGAGGATTAGGAGAAACAGTGAGCTTTATGGCCTTTTTCAGAGATATGGACGTTGTAAAGTTTATAAAACTGGGGTGGCTCAGTTTGGCTGGTCATGTCACAGGGATGAAAGCGGAAGAAATTCCTAGGAAAGTAGTGGACACCACCCTTCATGGTACAGAACGTCCTGGTAGGCAAAGGCTTCGATGGGTTGATGGAGTGGAAGCAGATGCACGGAGCCTGCCACGGATCAGAAGCTAGAAAGCATCAGCACAAAGTCGGGAATGGCGGCAGCTCATTGAGGAGGCCAAGACCCACCCAGGGTTGTAGTGCCACGTAGATAGATAGCAGACCTCAAGAGCTACAAAAAGTTTTATATAAACAATGGGCCAATTTTCAGCAGAAGAGTAGCAAATCCAATTTTTGTAGTTTTTTAAGTGAGTCTGGTTTTTTATTGAATCAAAAGCAATCACTAAAGAAATATTTAATTTAAATATTTAATATTGCTTCATTGTAAACAAGATGAAATTTACTTTAAATGAACATAGACTTTATCATTGTTAAAATCATTTACAGAGGACTTTTGTGCCGCTAAACTTAACTAAGTTCTGTTTTTAGAAAAATCAGAAATTATTTGCCATTTTATTTTATCATCATCTTAACTATAATACAATTAGCCCACTTTTACAAAAACTTTTCTTTTAATAAGCTTTAAGTTCGTATTAATTGATCTGAGATTTACTAGGAAAACATTTGAAATTCAGCTCAAGTTTTGAAGAAAAAAATGGTGTTTTTTTATTCACTGTTTTCAGCAAAAATTGCTACAATTAATTGTTGCTAAGCTATTTCTTGTATTTTAATAAACCCAATTGTCTAAATACACATTTTATTTATAAAAAATACTGATTTTTCAAATATTTTTCCAGTAAATCGGTTATAAACTGTATTTTTCACCCAGATCTATATTTAAGGAATTGATCCGTATTTATAAGTGACCTATTAAGGTTCCTGATCCTAATATTAACGTTTTAATTAAAATAATTTAAGCAATCAGCAGGTTTTTTTTAAAACAAATTTTAGGATTAGAAATTTTTATTTTGCCACTCACAAACACAGATTAATTCCTATAATAGAGATCTAGGTGAATAAGACAGGTTATAACCAATTTATCCTCAATTAGTTTAATGGGCAGAGGACTCTATATAGAGAACCTAAATATAGAAGTAAGCATACCACTAGCTAAACATGCTACAGTATATCAAGTAGAGGTGTTTGCTTGCTATACTTTCTGCAGCTACTTGTCTAGAAGTTACTAATTGATTAATGCACTACAAGTATTGGAGTATCCCAATCTGACCACCACATTGCAGGAGTGTAAACCGGCTTTAGAGACACTGGCCTGCTCCAAGAGGGTGGAACTATTGTGGGTCTCTGGTCACAAGGGAATTAAAGGCAATGAAAAAGCTGATGCTCTTGCAAGGAGAGGAGCGGAATTTCCTATTGTAGGTCCGGAACCTGCAATAGGAATATCCAAAAAGCATCAGTGAAAAGAAGTCCTTGATTGGACCTGGAAAAAAACAGGTAAAGAATGGAGGGAATGCCTGGGCTTAGACAAGTGAAACAATTTATCAAAAGCCCCTCACCCTCCAAAACAAATTGGCTGCTGGGCCTAACTAGGAAAGAAATCCGACTCATCATCAGAGGCCTGACAGGCCACTGCAGACTTAAAAGACATTTTAAGATCTGTGGGATAGTGGATGATGAACTCTGCAATCTTTGCCTTAAACTGCCCTTCACTTCATAACGGAATGTGACCGATTTGCGTCACTCAGATACATACTTCCTGGTGCAAACAGAATCCAGTTATGCAAAGCTACCTCCATAAAATGGCCCATCCTTTTGAACTTCATTAGAAGAACAAAAAGGTTTGAGACAGAGTTAGAGGTACGATAGACAACCATTGATAGTATCATCTTTGGGGTTGGCAAAAAGGACAAATAGGCCCACTTGCTGGACTAAGTCCCTCCACCAGTACAAGTATAGTTTCTCATATCTATTATTATCTGGTTTTTTTCTTAGCCCTGATGAAGGCTTGAACTTTAGGCCGAAACGTCAAAAATAAAAATAAATATACTTATTTATTTTTACTTTTTGTTTTTTAGACTGATCACCCCAACCATTCTTCTTTTCAATTATTACTACCGTCAATCATCAATCCACCATTGCAATATACAAACATGTAAGTACCTTGACAGTCGGAAAGAAGCCATTATACTCATCGATGTCATAAAAAATATTAATGCTGATTCTACGTTTTGGGTTTGTTGTGGGTTCTTTTTAAGTATTTTGAAATATCACTGAACTTAGGTTTATAAAAAAAATTGCTTTTAGCTTTAGTAAAATTGCAATAATATTGTACGTTAACTGGTTTCATACCTACTTCTTAGCTCAATTCTTTACCGATGCAATAACAAGAAATTCTACTTCCCTAACACATTCATGTTTATAGTTGAAAAAAGAAGTTAATTTTAGATTTACTCATTGCGGAACTGTATTTTTGTATTGAATAGCAAAATCATTTTTAAGGAAAAAATAGTGCAGTTAGAACCTCTAGGTTTTATTTTTATTTATTAAAAAAGTTGAAGTGATAAACGAGTTATCCTGAGGATGTGCAAATTTAATGCTGTAATGTCTTGATCTACTTGAGTAAAATATAATCCTGGAAGAAACTTTTACCAGATATTGTAGAATTTTTGATATGCATGTGCTTATTTCTCGTCTTTAAACTCAAAATATAAAAAATTTAATTAAATTCCCTGACTGTGTGTTTTATTTTAAATGGCTAAGTAAAACTCTGTCCATTGTTTGTAACGAAGTGGCCTAGTGGCTATATAATTGAAATATCTTACCTTTTTTTCAGGTTGGGATCAATGCAAAACAATAACAATAGCAATAACCAAGCAGCAATTACCTTTAACGAGTATCTCAACTGTCCTCATCATAAAGATGTTGTTTTAGCTCTCAGTGTTGTTATACAGGTTAGTATTAAGTTTTTAACAATCATGTACTTTTAGATTTTTTTTCCCATTTTCTTGACATAAAACATTATAGTTCATTGAATAAACCTAGTGTAAACTGTTCCATTCTCCTCTATTTATTATTTTACTGCATACAATTTTTAGCTCTATTCATCCATAAGTTGTTAAGCATCTTATTAGTGATGTTGGAAAAATATTGATATATTTAATCGGAAGCTGCCTCACTGTTGAGCACATAAAAATGAGATTATTTTAAAATAAATCAGCTTGAAAATTTTGTATAATTAAGTTGTTTTTATATCTGAATAATAAGTCATACAGTGGTCACTTCATTTTAAAAGTTAACATTTTAATTTTCTTTGTTTAGGTTATCACTCTGGAATGCCCAACAGCTCTCGTTTGGAACAGTATATGTGAAGGAAAATCAGCTTGTATATTAAATGGATCACCATTAGACCAACTTCCATGCTCCCCAACTCAATTGCCTATGCCTCATAGGAATGCCAATACACAAATAAGGTAAAATAATTATTTATTTTTTTTACTATAAAATCAAAAATAATTATTTTTGAAAATATATAAGTACTGTAAAGATTTGCTTATTATATTTTCTTTTTTCAGAAATCAGTTACGGTTGTCCGAAGAAATAATAAAGCAGAGAAGCCATGCTGCTGAAAACAAATGGTCTTGTGACAAATGGCAAACTTCTTGTGCAGGTATAACACATCACAGGGTTCTGGCTGCTTTAGATGCTTTAGATCGTCATTCCTTTTACAAAGTAGATACCAACAACTCACTTGACACGCTCTATGCTAAAATATTTCCCAATTCACCTGATAAAACTCAATATGTAAGTAAACTTATATGTTTGTTATTACCTGTTAGAATTGTCTTGAAATAATATTTTAATCTTAAAAATATTATAGCTATTGCTTGATTTTATTGTTGTACTGCAATTATGAAAATGTCAAAGTTTAACAAGGATATAAAAAATTTGTGAATTAGTAGTGTGGTATCAAAATTTGATTGAAAAGAGCTCTTATTTGGCAAAAAACTAAGAAGTCTTGTTTTGACTGCAAATTATCGATTAGTTGTACCAATGATGAATAGTAAAAGGTCTGAGCTAGTGCATTAAAGATCGTTTAAATGAAGCATTGCTGAAGTTTTGCACTGTTTCCTTGTTCTTTTCAGAAACATAAAATATCCACATGAAAAAAAAAAAAGAAAAACAGTCTTGAGTTATGCTGTTTTTTTAGTTTCTGTGGTTGACATTTTGTAGTTTTGTCATTTTTTATATGCATCAGTTGTCATATGAAATTTAGCAATGCTGCATTTAAAACATAAATCTGATTGATAGATAACGGTCTGCACTTGCAGTGATCAAATTGAAACTGAGGTACACTCCTAGTATAACACATTTATTGTGGTTCATTTGCCTATTGGTCATAAATAAATTAATGAAAAATTAATATTTGATTGCAAAATTTATTTGTACGTTTCGAGGAAACTCTATTCTCCTCAGTAATCTAAAATGTTACAATAAATAAATATTTTTAGGTTCATTCATTAATCCAGTCATTATTATAAAATAAATAATACTATCTATAAAATAATTCTTCACCCAAGAAAATGGTTTAGTCACAAAATTACAATTCAACTGAATTGGACAATGGTACTTAAATAAGTGGATTAAAGTAGTAATTAGGGTTGTAGATTAGGGGGATAAAGATAATAAAAGTACTATTTTATAGTTTGGTCCCATGTGTCATGAACAAATCTCAAATCCTCTTTTATATTTAAAGTTTTTTAAAATATTTTTTTATTTATAATTTTTCTTTCCTTTTTCTTTTAATAGTGTTACTTTCCCTGTCCAATATTTATATGTTATCAAAATCAACTCCATGGGCTGTGGTTACTATCTAATATATATGAACTCAAAGCTGTATTATTTCTGTTATATTTAATTGAATTTTTATGTTGATTCATTCTTTTTTCAAATTTTGCATAGATTCATCTATATAGATATTTTTACAACAACATTGCAACTGATATATGTTATTTTTGGAGTCCATTGTATCAATTTTATTTTTTATTTTACTGAATTGGTTTGAGATGATATTTTTATATTTCCATATAATTATATATTTATCATTTTTTAATTTATTAAAACATTCTACAATTTGTGGATGGCATTGGAAAATGAAATAATTTTGGTTGTCTGTTTTTATTTTATTGCTATTATAGCTTTGTTTCTTATTTTGATGGAACACATGTTTATTTCATGTACTATGATGTGGAAACACTAATATTTTTTTTTTTTTCAAAGCATTGTTCAATTTCTAATTGGCTACATTTTTATTATCAAATTTTTCTGAACCTTTTAGATTGTTTCATTTTCTCTTATTGGAGTTGATTGTTAGGTTATACTTAGAGCCAAATGATGTTTCCAGTATTTTTAATCTTTTTTGTTGCATTTAACCATTAGTTGTACCAATGATGAACAGTAAAAGGTCTGAGCTAGTGCATTAAAGATCGTTTAAATGAAGCATTGCTGAAGTTTTGCACTGTTTCCTTGTTCTTTTCAGAAACATAAAATATCCACATGAAAAAAAAAAAAAGAAAAACAGTCTTGAGTTATGCTGTTTTTTTAGTTTCTGTGGTTGACATTTTGTAGTTTTGTCATTTTTTATATGCATCAGTTGTCATATGAAATTTAGCAATGCTGCATTTAAAACATAAATCTGATTGATAGATAACGGTCTGCACTTGCAGTGATCAAATTGAAACTGAGGTACACTCCTAGTATAACACATTTATTGTGGTTCATTTGCCTATTGGTCATAAATAAATTAATGAAAAATTAATATTTGATTGCAAAATTTATTTGTACGTTTTGAGGAAACTCTATCCTCCTCAGTAATCTAAAATGTTACAATAAATAAATATTTTTAGGTTCATTCATTAATCCAGTCATTATTAATAAAAATAAAATAATACTTATTCTATAAAATAATTCTTCACCCAAGAAAATGGTTTAGTCACAAAATTACAATTCAACTGAATTGGACAATGGTACTTAAATAAGTGGATTAAAGTAGTAATTAGGGTTGTAGATTAGGGGGATAAAGATAATGAAAGTACTATTTTATAGTGTGGTCCCATGTGTCATGAACAAATCTCAAATCCTCTTTTATATTTAAAGTTTTTTCAAATATTTTTTTATTTATAAATTTTTTTTCCTTTTTCTTTTAATAGTGTTACTTTCCCTGTCCAATATTTTTATGTTATCAAAATCAACTCCATGGGCTGTGGTTACTATCTAATATATATGAACTCAAAGCTGTATTATTTCTGTTATATTTAATTGAATATTTATGTTGATTCATTCTTTTTTCAAATTTTGCATAGATTCATCTATATAGATATTTTTACAACATTGCAACTGATATATGTTATTTTTGGAGTCCATTGTATCAATTTTATTTTTTATTTTACTGAATTGGTTTGAGATGATGTTTTTATATTTCCATATAATTATATATTTATCATTTTTTAATTTATTAAAACATTCTACAATTTGTGGATGGCATTGGAAAATGAAATAATTTTGGTTGTCTGTTTTTATTTTATTGCTATTATAGCTGTGTTACTTATTTTGATGGAACACATGTTTATTTGATGTACTATTATGTGGAATACTAATATTTTTTTTTTTTTCAAAGCATTGTTCAATTTCTAATTGGTTACATTTTTATTATCAAATTTTTCTGAATCTTTTAGATTGTTTCATTTTCTCTTATTGGAGTTGATTGTTAGGTTATACTTAGAGCCAAATGATGTTTCCAGTATTTTTAATCTTTGTTTAAGCATTAGTTGTACCAATGATGAACAGTAAAAGGTCTGAGCTAGTGCTTTAAAGATCGTTTAAATGAAGCATTGCTGAAGTTTTGCACTGTTTCCTAGTTCTTTTCAGAAACATAAAATATCCACATGAAAAAAAAAAAAGAAAAACAGTCTTGAGTTATGCTGTTTTTTTAGTTTCTGTGGTTGACATTTTGTAGTTTTGTCATTTTTTATATGCATCGATTGGCATATGAAATTTAGCAATGCTGCATTTAAAACATAAATCTGATTGATAACGGTCTGCACTTGCAGTGATCAAATTGAAACTGAGGTACACTCTTAATATAATAGATCTGCATTCAAAATTCTCTGAAAAGTATTATCAACTTTAAATGGTGATATTTTTGAAAAATTAATCTATTAATTTATGTGCTATTTACTCCGAATGATTGTTTTTTGGTAAATTGCTTTCGGTATTGTTAATCCTTTAGCTTATCTCATACTTTTTATGAATCAGAATAATAAAATATTGACAAGAATCATTTAATGGTAATTGTTTTTTTAGTTATCAAAATATTAATATTTTGAATGTCAATTTTTAACTTTTCCATTGCTAATAGAAAGATACAAATTTTTGATGAGCAGTTTTCAATGAATATTTGGGTTTCAGTGTTCATTTAGTAAAAAAAAACATTTTCGACTATTGGTCAAGTTATCTATTCCACAATTATCTCTTGAATAGGTGGACTGATTTTGTTGTGTTTTCAGCCGTAGTCTTTGTAGCGTATTTGTTACTGCTCAGTAACAAAAAAAAAAATGTTCTTTAGACATAAATAATACTGTATATAATTCTTTTTTCCCAATTCAACCAATACTGATTTAATTTTTAAATCAGTATCGGATGATTCTTAATTGTCCTTATCAACATTATCATCAACATCATTGCTGGTATGACAACCCACCACTGAGCCTCCTTTAAAATCCTCTCCCAGTTGGCATAATCCTGTGATACAGCTGTCCCGTTCCAGGTTTGTAGATCAGTTGAGTCTACAGACATTCCATCCAGCCAACTTCTCTTGCCATATGCAGTTTCTCTGACAATTGTCCTTATCAACAAGTGACAATATTTGTAGGATGCCACATTTATTTTCAGGTGGACTTTGCGGAAGTATGGGCAGGTTTCTAACTCAGTGCCGAGCTTAGAAATTTACCTTATATTCATGCATATTTTAGCTTAATAACACATTCCTCTTGAAACATTTTGCAGAGTGCTGAAAAAGACGAGCCTATTGTGAATCTCCTTTGTTGGTGGGCAGTGAGCGGTGTCCGGTACGGTGAACACAGAGCAATGGCTGTGGCTAAATTACTTGAGAGGAGGAATGCCCACGCGTTAGCTGGAGGCAATGACAACAATGACACTGAAGATAAAGATTCCTCTTCCTCCCTCCCTGCTGCGTTGCCTGTTTTTCAGCCATTACTCATGAAGTTTCTTGATCATGATGCTCCTGTTCTTGGTAAATTTGATTCATATTTTAATGTTTTCCTTATTAAAAAATTAATTTAGTAAAATTAAGCTTTAGCTATTGAGATTTTCTGAAATTTGTAATTATCTATATTGTTTTTGATTTATTTTTTAAAGATGACAGTAGCCATTCCTCATCAAATAGAACAATGTTTACCAACCTGGTTCATTTATTCTCGGAGCTGGTTCGTCATGATGTATTCTCCCATGATGCATATATGTGTACACTTATATCTAGGGGCGATTTATTACAAGTCAACACTACAGCAGGTAAATTTAATTTGTTTTGTTCTTTTAATTAAATTTGTGTAACAATATTTTCATTTTCAAACATGTACACAAAATTTAGAAAATGTTAAAATTTAAATAATAAATTGCAATAATTCTATGTTTATTAATCATAGGCAACACTAATCCTGGTAGTACCAGGCCTAATAGCAACAAACCTTTAGATACACCAACTACTCAGATTCATTTAGACTCCGATCCAACAGCTCTTTTTGACATCAAACCTAATAAGATCCAGGTAGTTGAAATTTCTTCACTTTTCAGTGGTTTTTTATCATTTTCTTTTTTGTTCTATTGTATTATTCCCGTTTATTGTAATAGGAACATGGGAGACCGATGGAGTATGATGATAGTAAAGCTATAGATGATGATTTGGGAAAGATACTATTGTCGATTAATCAACAAAACTCAATGGTAAGTCATTAAACGAAACTTATCTAAAAGTTATGCAAACTGTTGCTTTAGGAGTTTCAGTTGCATTAGAGATTTACTACTTAATATTTATTTATAGTATTTATATACTTAAATTAAAACATTTTTTTTTTTAATTTTTTTATGAAACGATTAAATATGTTTAAGGATGATCCAGTATCTCCAAAAGATGTTGGAAGTGCCCTTGTTGGTGGAGGAATGGATCATGATGGTGCAGAAGCACCTGACGGGCCTGCGAGAGCTAAACCTACACGGCATCTTCTCTATTCAACGCATTTTCCTCTACCTCAGGTAAATATTTAGTTTATGTTATCTTATATGTTGCTGCAATATATTAAATGCTGTTCATGTGTGTGTATTTATTTATTTAAAATTTAAATATTTAATCATGGGTGATAAATATTCAGGAAGCAGTCATTATAAAGTTTTTATGAGTGCCGACTTTTCAACCCAAACATGCGGGTTATCATCAGGGCATGTTTCAAGCATTGAAAGTATTCAAATACTCAGAAACACGCCCTGATGATGACCCACATGTTTGGGTTGAAACTTTGGCATTAATAAAAACTTCATAATGACTGCGTTCTGAATATTTATCACCCATGATAAATACTCATGAACAGCAGTCAGCTAACTTCCTCCAATAATTCAATAAATATTTAAGATTAATTCTATAAAATTGTATCCATTAATCAAAATGTTCTTCAGTGCTATGACCTACTATTATACTTGTTATGTCTTTTAGCATTATTCTTTCTATATCAATATCAATATCAAGTTTATTCTTACTAAAAGCTTGATTTAGTACTTCCAACCAAGAATATATAATTTTTTTTTAGTTGGCTAATTTTTCTAATTATATTTAGTACCTGCTGCTTATGCATTCGTGTAATGTATGAATGTATCTGTATTTAGCAAGAGCCCACACATAATATCTAAAAAGAGGTGACAAAGGTTTTTAAGCATCTGTTATGACCAGAAGAGAGAATAATAAATCAATTTTTTGTAATTAGAGTTTTGCTAACAGTAAAAAATTTAATAAAAAAGATTGATGGTTTTTCTTATTCCGTACCTTTTTTTTTTTTTGTATTGTTATTTATTTTTAGTTTATTATTTTGATTTTTTTCCTGTAATCTGTTCTCAATTTATACTCATTGCTTTACAGGATGAAAGCTGCTCCCATGAATGTAACCAGCGACACGTCTTGTTGTATGGTGTTGGAAGAGTGAGAGATGAAGCTCGCCACTTGGTTAAAAGAACTGCTAAAGATATATGCAAATTGTTTTCAAAAAAATTCAGTATTGATGTTAGTGAAGGTGGAAAAGTGAAAAAACATTCTAGAAATGAGTTCAGTTTTGAAGCGACTACTGCTAGAGTCCAAGCTCTGTCATATTTTGACCAGCATGTTGTTACGTGGCAGTGTGCTATGACTGTCTTGGAGATGATTAGTTCTTTTGCTTCAGGTAAACATATATTATTTATCGTATTGTTTATTATATTGATTAATAAAACTTCAGCATTTGATATTACTAAAAATTAAAGAGAAATTATTATAATGCTATGTCTTGAATGTTGTTCAGTTTGTTGTTCATACTGGGTTTAAGCACTTTTTTGTGAAATAAAATTAAGGAATGACATGAATTTAATTAATTATTATACCTTTGAGATAAATTTTTCTCAAATAGACTTTATTCTCCAAAGGTGCTTCCTGGTATTACTCTTAAGTTAATTATATATTTACTTGGTGACATAGAAGATATAAATTATTGGCATAAAATAAATAATTATTTATTGAGTATTAAGGTCATGACTGCTTATATATTATATACGACTATAAGTTATCTGATTGGGATTATGCCTGATTGAGGGTGTGAGATAGATGACAATGTAATTTGATGAACCTTTCTAGTTTCCCTCTCCTCTCACCAAGTGTTACCTTTGTATTTCTCTGTCCTTTCCCTTGCCAAGTCTTATATTTTCTTCCCCCCATAAACAGATCTACCTATGTGACCCTTTTTATTTGATAAAACTTTTACACATAATTCATACTTGTTTTCATTTAAATGGGTTTTATGTTATGCCGCTGAGATTATTATTTTAACTGCTAATGTTGGCTATAGATGATACCTTGCTATATTCTACTGGTTTCCTAGTGAAATAAAGCTAACTAGAGCCTACAGATGGTGTGGGAATTTATTTTGGAGCTGTCTTTTTTAAAATCCATGAACCGTGATGGGTGACTATCTGCTACGGCCTTTCTCTGGCTGTCTCAACCATTTTCATTCTTGTTTTTGTGTTCTCTGTGAAACAACTGTGTCTTTAACTGCTCTGAGTTGTGGGCAGAGTGGCCAATTGGTGCAAAGCACTGACGTTGCCTGCCAACCTGATCAAGAAAAATTGTTAAAAAAATAGTCACGAGTTCGCGTCCTGGTGCCAGGACTATCTTTTAAATCTCTGCCCTCATCCCCCTGGTATTATATTGTAATATACAGGAAAACCCCGTATAGCCTTAAAGGTGAGGAAGAAAAAAAAAAAAGAAGAAAAAACTGCTCTTAGTTTATAAAAAATGTTATTTAATTTAGTCTAGTTATTTTAGCTAGAAACCAGATCAAATAAGATTAGTTTAGTTAATTATGTGGCCATATAGATCTTTTTAGTTAACAGTTAGTCTTTTTTTTTCTTCTTTTTTTCATTAAAATGGAGATATGGATATACAGTCGTTTACTGCTGCGGAAGCTGCTGAAAGAAATATAATATAAAAGAAATATAATATTAGCAAATTTTTCGAAGAATACCGTACAAAATTTAATTATTAAATAAATATTTAAACGTATAAAAAATAAAAGAAAAGAAATTAGAAAAATGTTTTAACCCTGCTAAGTGTCGGTCCGCAGCCCGAATCAAAAAGGAGAATGGAAACAATTAAATAAGGTTAAAAAATAGTAGTATGAGCGGTTAATAAAGAATGGAAAGCAGGTAAATTTTAAGTAGCACAAGCCGGTAGAGGGGTAGCTGTCTTACTTAGTAGTACTGTCGTAAATGTAAAACTCATCACTCGTAGCAGCAAAAATGTTGATGGCCAAGTTATCAATATATAATGAAGAGAAGAATAGTTGGGGTGCTCAGTCAAAAAGGAAGGCAAAAAATAAATTATAATATTTATTTATTACATATGCCGACGTTTCGACCTGAAGTTCAGGCCTTCTTCAGGGCTAAGAAAATAACCAGATAACAAGGTATGAGAAACATAATTAATGATGGTAAAAAAGATAATAAAAAATGAGAAAATAAAATAAAAATTATTAGAAAAATAAAATAGATAGATATAAAGTAAAATGAAATTGTTAGAATAATGACTAAGAACTAAGAGATAAATAATAAAAACTGTTACATAGTGTGGAATGATGAAGTAGGCATAATCAAAATATAGTTTGACATAGCAGTAATATAGTATGTAATTACTGATAATCCTTTACGGATTCCAGTAGTAGAGCCCTCATTTGCCTTATCATTTTCTTTTCTGGCTCTATGAAACAATATTTGATTTTCTGGTTGGTTTAATGTCGAGCCTTCCTTGGCGAATTTATCAGCCATTTTGTTGCTATGGAGACCACAGTGACTTGGCATCCATTGAATGAATACCTCTGTTCCTCCAAGTAGTTCCTCTGTGATGTTTAGGCACTTCAAAATATCCTGAGCAAAGGAGTCATTGGGCCGTGACACAGCGAGAATAGCCGCCTTTGAATCCACTAACAATACGATATTTTTGTCATCTAATTATGAAAAGACTTGCATTGCCAATAAAATTGCTTTAATTTCGCTGTCAAAATTTGAGGCCCATTTCCCAAGAGGTTTTTAAATAGCAAACAGTTGTGAGTATGCACTCCCCTCCCCTCCCCTCCATTGTGTATTCCATTCCCTGTTCAGCTGAGAATTAATTTGTAAAAGGTTACATTTGATTTAAAAAGGTTTCCATTTGAATTGAAAAGGGTTACATTGGAAATGGAAAAGGTTACATTTGATTTGTAAAAGGTTACTTTTGTAATAGAAAAGTTATATTTGAAATGGCAAAAGTTACGATTGGCTTGAAAATGTTATCTAATTAATTAATAAAAACCATTGGCTATCAATTTTCACTCCAATTACATAATGTTTTTGGACGCCATGAAGTGATATACCTGTCACTTGTTGATTTATCTTCTTTGGATAGTTGATGAGAGATGTGTTGTGTTTGGTCTGGGTACTTGTGAATTTGTTTTTTTCTCTCCTGATGACAATTGGATTGGTGAAATATTGAGATAGGCTTTTATTCATCAGCATTTTAGAGACTTGAGGCTTAATTTTCGGAATTTCCCTTATATCTTCTAACAGGAAATCAATTACTACTCTCAACGCCGATAGTGGGAAAGTAAGGACATGTAACTGATCTTACATTAGTCGTCTTAAACTAGACAAGGAATGGTGATTATTAAAATCTTTTTGTGGGCATTTTATTTATTGTGCTGTAAATATTAATGGCCATTTGTCCTAAGCTGCTGTTCTCACTCAAAAGTAGTTGAGTATATTTTTATGTGAATACTTTCAGTTCATAGTTTTAAAGTTAGTAACATCCAATTAACTTACATTTATAAAATAATTATATTGTTCTTTGCTTAAAATCCTATTTTGTTTTAGGTAACACTAACTATTTGCCTGTTCAGGAACATGTTGCATTTTTGTTCGACCTTATGGAATTAGCTCTGAACATATATGGTCTCATTGATGTTTGTATACAGGTATGTTTTTATATTGAAAATATGTTTTGTGTTTTATAAAATATTTTGTTGCAAGGGAATAATCATAATTACTTATTAATTTTTTTTTTATTCTATTCATTATTTTTTAGACCTTCTTATTCCAATATAAAAAAGTTCTGCTTTATCTTTTAAGATTGTTTATTTATCTTGTATATTATTAAAATGTTTCATTTTAATTAGATATTGAAGGAGATTCCTGAAGTTGAGGCTCAACTAGCTGCAAAAAGTTCTAATCATGTGAGATCTTATACTACCGGACTTGTATTATATATAGTTGGTGTGTTAAGAAGATATCACTGTTGTCTTTTGTGTAAGTATTTTATATACTTGTTAAATAGCCGGTCAGGTCTGACTGCTATCTGCCAATGTATCCATAACACTGATAATTCATATATATTTTCATAAAATTTATTCATAAATTCATGAAATTCATAAAAACAATTTTATTTTAACTTAATTTATTTTAGTAGGCGAAACAGTAAATTATAGGAAATAGTTAAATTATGGGACCACCCATAAATGAATTTTAAGTCCGTTAAAAATGAAATCCTCGACCCCTCTAACCACGTTCCTTTCCTTATAGAAACATTTTTGTTACAAGTACGAAAGAATCTTCATTTTGTCTTCCCGTCCAACTTCATGATCTTCATTACAATATTTCAACTTTGCAATTATCCTGGCGTCTTGAAAATATTTCATAGCATCTTCTTCTGAAGACGGCAATTCAAACAATGTAACAACATCCATAATTTTATGAAAATAACACTAACTCACAGCTTACACGAGGAACAAAAAATAAACAATGGAATAACTTAGGTAGGTTAGATGAGATAAGAAGGAAGGTTATGTGATATAAGATTAGATAACAAGGGAGGTTTCGACCCAACTGGCTATTTAACAAGTACTGTATTTTAATATTACTTTATTGTCTCTTTGGTTTAATGCAGCGGTCGCCAAACTATGGCCCGCTGGCTGGATCCGGCATCAAGCATATTCAATCCGGCCCTTGAAAGTTTCTTTTATTACATCGTCAAATTTTAAAAATGTGAAATTTATCAAATTACTCACACAGAAGGTTACTACATTATTTATTGCATGAGTTTTTTCAATCCAAGAAAGCTCATTTTACAGCATCAAGTGTCATTTATAGAACAACATTTTTTCAATCACAAGGCAGGGTCCGTAGGGCTTGGTTGGAAGTCTCAATGCTCCACGTGGAACTTAATCCAGGTCTCAATGTAGCCTGCGGGCCAAAAAGTTTGGAGATCCCTTGTTTAATGGAACTACTAACAAAGTCAAAAATTTTCCATTTTTGTTAAAAGATATTTGAAAAATATAAAATTTTAAATGCAATAAGAAAAACTATGTTTTTATGTTAATGGTAAGTTTCTATTTATATGCTTTTAAGCCATTTTAGTATATAACAGTGAAGATTACTACAGTAAATATTTGTTATTTTAGCCTATCTGTCTACTGTCTAACTTAATTCAAAAAGTTACTTTAGCTGTTTTTACATTAAGCAATAGATTGGTGTAAAACATCTTATGCTGCAAAAAAAAAAAAAATTTGTTGTATATTAATTGAAATTTTTCCTATTTATTCTGATTTACCTCTTGGAAATTCATATTAATGATTTATAAAATATTTCATTATTAACTATTGCAGTATCTGGAGAGCAGACAGTTGCAGTGTTTGAAGGACTCTGTAGGGTTGTGAAGCACATTTCTAACCCTAGTGACTGCAGCTCTGCTGAAAGGTGTGTCCTGTCCCATCTGTACGATCTGTATTCAAGTTGCAGCCTCCTCAAGACGAGGCCACATGGAGCTGAACCCTTTTCTAACGCTTATCCAAAAATAATGAATGCTCTGTATTCTCCTCTGACTCCGAGTCAATCTGGAGGGGCTGCCGGTCCATTTATGGCAGATGTTATTAAGAGTGTTCGTAGAAATAGTAAGTTATATACTTCTTGCTTCTTTTTTTTAGACAGGTACCTTTATCTCTTTTTATCTTAACAATATAGTAATTTAATTTAATTTTATAATATAATATCGTTTCTTTCAGTGAAGGTTGAACTCGCTTGGGTGAGGCAACTCAATGATAGTTCCGACAATAGGTATTCATTTGTTTGCAACGCTATCATTGCAGTTTGTTCAACTGCCGACATTGATAGGCTGAACGATTTGGGTCATCTTTGTGCTGAGCTGACTGCATCTTGTAACACATTATCTTCTGAATGGCTTGGTGAGTGCTTTATGAGTTAGTCAGGGATTCCCTAAATGTATGAAACAATATTATTGTTCTATTTATGAGTTTTGTATTTAGTCCTATTTCCTACTATACTCAATGGTGATACCTGTATCAATAGAGTTTTATAGGACTAACAAATGTAGTTTTAATTCTGAGGTATCTCTTATGATTTTTTTTTTTTTTTATTGCATCTACATTTACATTATAGGTGTGCTGATGGCACTTTGCTACGCCTCTAGTAGCCCGTCTTACCTAGATGTATTGAGCCAAGTAGATATCCATGACTTGAGCATTCACAATTCACTAGCCGTGTTTACTTGTATATTGGTTGGTGAGTTCCTTTACTGAATATACCTTTTTAATATTGTAAAATTACATAAGAATTTTTAGATAACTTAATCACTGACAGTAAATTAAGGATCCCTTTAATTCAAATATGACTTTTTAAAATACTTTGTTCTTCACAGCTAGGCACTGCTTTTCATTGGCTGACTTTGTTAGACATGTTGCGATTCCATCTCTTCTAAAGGTGTATAATGAAGGTAATTATTTTGCAAGATTATTTGTCTAAATGTTTATCGTATGAACTGTCGGAATACTGTATATTCCTAAGTAGATTGAATAATTTATTTTTTTTTTAATTATAAATTATTAAAATAATTCCAATGAGTGTCATACATATCATATTGTATTTTATAAAAATATGTTCAACAGTAAGACTAATGTTTTAAGATATACAGTTAGTCTTAGATCAATTTAATTTTTAATATTCTGTGACTTATATGTAAGGCCGCAGTGATATTGATGTGGATGCTGAAGCTGGTGCGAGATTAACATGTCATCTACTTTTGCGTCTTTTCAAAACTAGTGAAGTTCCTCAGCCTGCCATGTATTCAGTTGGTATGTATAAAGAACAATATTATTTTTAAAAGAAAATTGTGTGATTTGGTTGAATGGTACACGATAAGCTGGTATTCTGCACAAAATTATTATTTTTGTGTGGCTAATAATTTTTTTTTTTCAATTTTATGATGAGACATTTCATTTTGAATACTTAGTTGAACACAGTATCTTGTTTTTTTATTTATTGTTATTATTAATGTGTATAAGGTAAAGTTTTAAAACCCTAAAATACTTTTCTGAAACATTAAATTGATCATATTTTTTACTAAAATTTAATTATATATTGTGTGAAATAATACAGTGAAACATTAACCACAACTACTTCCCCAATAATTTATAAAATATTTTGTTATAAATTCACTGTAATTGATTTCTTGATAATGATATTCAAATATAAGAAGTATAGTTGACCATTCATCATCTTGGTATATTTTATAATTTTTTATAGGAGTTATTACTCCTGTGAAATGGTAGATTTTTCTTTTAAAGTTTCAAAAACTTTTTTGAGGATTTTCTCGTACCATTGGTGTCATATGTTTTCTCATTTATTGTAAACTGTGTCAATTTCTTATTGTATAATTTAAAAATATTTGTTTAGGTACATCCCCTCACCCTTTGCCGATGGGATCAGGAGCATCAAGTATGCGTCTCAGTTGTGATAGACACCTCTTAGCAGCTGCTCATAACAATATAATGGTTGCGCCTGTTTTAGCTGTGTTGAAGGTTAGCTTTTAGTGTGAATCATATTTACAGTTTTAAGAAATTTGTTTACTTTCATTGTCTTATTTCTGTTTTGAGGCTATACTAGTAGTTGGCGATGCTATGGTTGGACGTGGCAGTAGGACGAAAGTAAAATCTCATAAAATGACTCCTCCCAGTGGACAGCCTGAACTTAGTATATCTCATATCTTAGGAACTTCTGATATCCTTGCTGCCTCGAGGGACGATCTTTTGATGGAACTAAGGTGATAAATTGTTACAAAAGTTTAGTCCATAAGTCTTCTTTGAGAGAGAAAGCTCTCTTAATTAACCCTTATCAGTCAGTAGCTTTTTATACATGATTCTCACGAGGTTCTAGCTAGTTCTGGTAAATATGCAAACAAAAATTAAGTATTGTAACAATTGTATATTAATTTGTATAGTTGTAAATTTCATAAATAATAATAAATAAAAAAAATCATTGTAAGAATAAAATTTTTGTGTTGTCCAGTGAGATGTGGCTTATGACCGATAAGGATCAATATATATCTTTATATTACATTTCATAGATATATCTTTTTCTCTCCTTGTACTATTTATTTAACTGATGCAAGATTTTTTTTTAATAATTGGAATAGAAATATTTCTTTGTTTGATAAATTTCTTTGTTCGATTCATCTTTGGGATCCCAAGGGACTCCTCTGTTTTCCATTTTTATGCGGAGTTAAAGTGGCTTTATCCTTCCTACCATCGGAAGTATTTCCTGGCATCCTTCCTCTTTCAAGTCATCCAATCCCACCATCCCTCATACATCTCCGAGCTCCTTCAATTCAAATCCTCTGTTCGTTCCCGCAATACTTGTTCCCGTTCTTCTGATTTATATATAAGGACCCACCGAACCTCTGCTTTCGACAAATCGTTCATTATCTGATCCTCATCCCTATGGAACTCCGTCCCTTCCCGCATCCCTCAACCTTCCCACATTTAAATCCCGCCTGTTCAATCATTCCTTATCCATCCAGTCCTCATAAAATTGTAAATAGATACTACTGTAAATATGTATATAAATTACTGGTTCGTTCTTCATTATTTTTACTCCAATTTTTTTATTATTAGCTGATCAAAATTAGAAAGTAACTTATATATATATATATATATATATATTTTTTTTTTTTTTTCACTAACACTATTCAATTACTCTGTATTTTTATTTATGTATCTCTGAGGCTCCTTAGCCCACATTTCTGTCCTGCTCTATTATACTAAAGGGACTTGTCCCAGAATAAATAAAGTATTATTATTATAATGATGTAGAGATGGTTGACCGTGGATATGATATGAGAAGGAGTTAGTTGAGGGTGCGGTCAAATAAATAAAAAAATTAAAATATATAAATAATTTTAATTTTTGCCGACGTTTCGACCCACTTTGCAGGTCGTCTTCTGAAGACGACCTGCAAAGTGGGTCGAAACATCGGCAAAAATTAAAATTATTTATATATTTTAATTTTTTTTATTTATTTGACCGCACCCTCAACTAACTCCTTCTCATATTATTATTATATGATATTAATTGTTTCATCTACTGTGTATTCTTTTTTTTTTTAATTTTTTCTGGTTTTTACGAAATTGTTTTTTTCCATGATAATCTTGTTGATTTTGAGGCCTCTTATTAAATATTTTTTTAATCATATACAGGACCGCCTCTTATATATACTATAGCCCATTCGGATTATCAATGTTTAAATTTAAAATGATGGGAAAATTACACAAGGTAATGAAAATATATGTATTATCAGTTAAATATACACACATTGCAAACTAAAAAAAAAAAATTCTGAAAATAGCAGTAGAATGTACGTTGAGTCTGATTTTGATGCTAAAGAAAACGCCTTCTCACAAATTCCTTCGGTAGTCGATGTTATATCCATTTGCCCATTCTAAGCAAGTATTAAATGCCTTTATGGAATTTCTATGACTTATCTAAAATAGAAATTAAAACGATTGTAAAAAAATTTCCAGTAAAATAAAAATGATACGTTTTAAATTATCAAGCCCATCTTTACTGGCATTAAAATCTGTTTTGTCACCCTTCTTATAATAATGATATTAGAATAATAACGTTATGCTAGTAAAGTATGCATGCAGATTTTATGTTTCTTATATTATAAGTTTCTGTTCTTGCCGTTTAATACTGTAACTACTATGTTCAATATGAGATTCAGTCAAATCATTTATTAAAAAAAAAAAAATTAATGGTATAATTCTTGATTTTAGTGCTGGTAGTATGACTCCAAGCGGAGGGCTATCTGAATTGGCACAAGTTGTGTTGAAAGAGATGTGCAGTGAGGAATGGATACTTGAAAGGTGCCTTCAGAGGCCAGAGGAGCTTTGTACTCAAGATTTAATGCTCGACAGCATGTTGACTGCCAAGCAGGTAGAATTTTTAGAATTTCAGGTAGAAATAGACTTTTTATATTTATACAATATTGTTTTAGGCAAATCTGTTTTTTTGTTTTTGTTTTTTTTGGATGTTTTTAAACTTATGAATAATAGTAGGTTATATTAATTGTCACAGGCTCAAAGATTGTTACATATGATCTGCTACCCTGATCGCCCAGTTATTTCGGATGCCAACTTGGACCAGAAAACCATGATAACTAATATTTTGGAGGTAAAATAATTATTTAAATCTAATATAATTGAATATAATGTAATGTAGAAATAATTTGAACATGTTGATAGATATTTCAAAATTGATTAACTTAATTTTTATACATCTTCTAAGTAAAGCTCACCTCTGTGGGTTCGGGAATAATAGAATAGGCCCATACTGTTTAACCGCTTGTTGTAGAAGGCGATTAAAGGAGCAACTCTCCATTGACCTTATTAACTATTCCTTCCTATCATTGACGAATTACCTATCCTATCCTTCCTCCTTTCCCCATCCATATCCTCTTCACTCCTGCCCTGCGGGATAGAACAATGTTCAAAGGCTAAGGGAGTCAACCCCTACAGGAAATCCTGGTCCTCCAAATCTGGGGATGGTCTTAGGGCTAACAACTCTATACCATTAAAAAAATCATTGTTACGAAACAGAAACAAGAAAATAGCAGACAAGGGCTACTAAAGCTGGCAACTTGGAATGTAAGAAGTTAGTACCAATCTGGCGCTAGTAAAAATTGGAGAGAGAGCTGCAGAGGTATAAGATGGATATCGTGGCTTTACAGGAGATTAGGTAGAAAGCAACAGAAATAGTTAACCTGAAGGAATGCGGAATGCGGGGACGGGTTTCATTATTAAAAACTCGATTAAGCATGCATACATACATAAAGTTTTTTTTTTATAATTTAGGTATTAAAAAATCATTAGTGAAGAAATTTATTATTTTCAATAATCAACCATTGTGATCGGCCAAAAAATTCAAAAGCTTAACCCCCTCTCAAAATTTGAGGTTTCACGTTCCAGGATGCGTAGAATTCGAAAAATGAATAAAAAATTTGTTGTCCGTCCGGCGTACGCTGTACGCCGTCTACCGTCTGCGCATTTTCTCCAAAACTACTTGTCCGATTTTTTTTTCAAATTTGCATATAAAATCAGAGGTCACCCGAGGATGATCCTCCTTCATCGACATTATTATCCACCTTTTACTTTCAAAATGGCGGCCGAAAAACCTGCGTTGCTATAGACTGTAGCGCCTAAACGAATGTAGCGATTTCAATGAAACTTTGCTAAAGTAATTTCCTCTACGCCCTTTAAATTTATCTGTATAACATACTTCAACGAAAAGAAGCTGGAAAAAAAGTTACGAGGGTTGGTTAAATTTAATTCCAAATAACACTAAAAGTATACACTTTACAAAGACAAAGTTTAAGAAATTTTCTAAAAAAATCGTTAAAATCGGACAATTAGGAGCAAAGATATGGTCTCCGGTTTTTTTTTATATGTTCTACTCCAAGGGTATCAGAAGATGCAGAAGAACGGCTGCCGATAAGGAAGCCTGGCGGGAAAGCTTTTTCTGATGCCCAGGTGCATTTAGGACTATAGAGCAAATTAATAATAACATGCTACATACTAAGTATTTTTTGGTTTATTATTTAGTTTCTGCTTAATTTTCTCCTTTCAAGAATTGTACATTTTCAATATGTTAGTGGTTTTGGCTGGATTTTAAAAATAAATTGTAATTAAATAAATAAATGAAAAAATATTTTAATTTTTTTTTTCTGCACTTCCTGACCATTTTTCATCCTTACAAATTCAACAGTCAACTATTTATGCATATCTAGAAAAAATGTTTCTGTAATTTTATTTGTAATTATCTATTTTCATTATTAAACTATTAGTTATTGGCATATTTTTGTTTCCAATGTAGAACCTGGAACTGTGGACCCTCCGTGTTTCGTGGCTGGACATGCAGCTAATGTTGAAACAATTTCCGCCTGGTGCCCCAGAACTTAATCAATGGTTAGATACCGTTGCGAAGGCTGCAATAAATCTGTTTAATCTTAGCTCTCCTGGAAAGTAAGAAATTAGTGATTCCTGTGTGTCATGTTTTTATTAATATTAGGAAAATTTATTAATATTTATTAAAATCATAAATATTTGTTTGATGAATTATTAATATGTTATATTGGAGAACTACTTTACTGAATACGGGTAAATCAATTTTCTTTAAAATTAGTTGTTAGTCTTTTAAGTTATCTTTGAAATTCCCTCTATCTGCAGCTAAAGGAATGTGTCTTAAAACCAACCTCTCTTAACTAGGTTTTCAAAAAACGGAACTGTGATCCTTGATAATTCAAACACTATGCTTGAATTTGGCAGAAAATGTTTTTGTAATAAATACATCTTTTATTAAAATATTTTTAAAATTCGAAACCTATTTGATATTTAAAAACAATATTGAAAAAGAAAAATTTTGATATATTTCAATTTTATTGAATTGGTTGTTGATTTATAACCTACTAAGTTGATCAGAAATGTTTGATTTCTCAGATCTCTAAATTTAAAAGCAGCATGACAGTAAGATCTCTAATGTTTGCTCATACAACTCATTTATTAACATCATAGTTGTCCAGAAAAATAATCCCCTTTTCTTGGAAACTAATATTTTTGTATTAATATTTATTATTATTTTTTCAGAGAGGAAGTCAGTAAAAGTAAGTCACAGTCAATGTGGCTTGTTGCTCCATTAGTTGCTAAACTTCCTAGCCCTGTTCAAGCCAGAGTTCTAAAAGTCGCGGGTATGTGAAAAAAAAAAATTCATCGCAAATATGTTTAAAATATTATGTGTTTATGATATATAAAATATACACTGTTTATGTGGTATAACAATAATGTTGTAATTAAATAATAATGGTGGCTCTTATACCTAAACTAGTATTAATAATTTATTACTCATATGTACTTTCCTGCAACAAATCAATTTTGGGTATACAGGTTCGCCAGCCTTACAGATATTGATCTGTTTGAATGTTTTTAAAATTGTATGCTCTTTTGGTTTGTTATCCTCTATAAAAAATTATTGTAATAATAGAAAAAAAAAATTAACCTGAAAATGTAAGGTTTTACATTTCAAGTACATAAAATCTGAAAATGGACTAAAAATAAAAATGTCTGCTTTTGATATTTTGTTTTAATTTAAAGGCGATCAGGAAGCAAGTGATGTTCTTGTTGAAAGAAAAATATTTACAGAGGACCAAGGAAACGATCCGATAGAAGAACAGGAGGTTAAGAAGTCTATTGCGAAGATGAAGACAGGAAAAGCAGCAGGCCAAGACAATTTAGTCCCAGAATTTATTAAATATGGCGGACTAGAGTTAGTAGGATCTCTTCAAAACTTCTTCCAAAGAATTTCGGACAATGAAAGAATCCCTAAGGAATGGGAATTCAACGTTATAATACCCATACACAAGAAAGGAAGCCAAAGTGATTGCTCTAATTACAGACCTATCTGCTCCTCTCTAGTCCTCTATAAACTATATACCTCCATCCTAGAGAACCGATTAAGACCACTGTTGGAACCTGACCTGGTAGAGCAAAGTGCTTTTAGGCTTGACAGGCAAACAAATGATCTCATCTTTACCCTGAAAAATGTGATAGAGAAATCCTGGAGCCAAGACCGAAATATTTATCTCGTCTTCTTAGACTTATAGGCAGTATTCAATTCGGTTTTTGGGAATCCTTGAAAGCAAAAAACATTCCAATAAAGCTTTTAAAGGCTATAAAATCGACTTATCAGGAGCCGAAAGATGGTGTACGCCAGAATGGAAAAGAGTCAAGACTGTTTAGCTCGAAAAAGGAGTGAAACAAGGCGACTCCCTTAGCCCCCTTCTCTTCATTGTCTATATGAATGAGATCGCCTCCATTTGCAAAAGGCGCACAGCACTAATACATATTGGCCATTGGCACTTGCTTCCTGTAGTTGTATAGTTTCTCCTATTTGCAGACATCGTTCTTATTGCAGATTCCTCCCAGCTACTTCAGCAGGCAGTAACAGAGTAGAATGAAGAATCGAAGAGGAAGGGAATGACCATCAATTCCCAAAACAGCAAAATACTTCAAGTAGGCAGAACTCAAGAGGATATTCGGATCATCTGTAATGAAGAGGTGATGCAGGTGGTGACAGACTTACCTATCAGCATACGTTAATCAATAGGTTGGGAAAAGTAGATTCAGAAGTCTCAAGCAGAATATCAAAAGCGAATTCTGTCTACTATACAATATGCAATACCGTAATCAGAAAAAATAAGTGGGACAGGATGTAAATCTCCATCTGGTCAGGTCTGTCTTCCTACCGGTTCTTCTTTATGTATCAGAGGGTTGGATGCTGAATGAGAGCTTACAAAGCCGTGTTACTACTACCACTGAGATGAAGTTTCTTAGAAGAAATGTGGGGAAAACACGGAGAGACTGTGTCCGAAATGAAAGGATCAGGAAGGAGCTTACACCCCCTGCTGGAAACTCTGCAGAGGAGACAGCTGAAGTGGTATGGGCATGTCTGCCGGATACTCCACCACAGAAACCCAGTTAAAACCCTGGAAGTGAGGCCAGTGGGGAGAAAACCAAGAGAACGACCAAGAATCTCATACAACTAGCCTAGCCATCTGGAACGAATTGGAAGACGAAGAAGGAAGACCCTGGAACAAACGAGGAACCTTGCCGGAAATAGGGATGCATGAAACCGATGGCTGGAAGCACCCCTACTGAAAGGCAAATAGGTGGAAGAAAAAGAAGGAGAATTTTTCAATTGTGTCCAGTTTAAATACATGCTTTCTCAGTCATTTAATGAACCTAGTTTTACTAACACACTTTAAATTATAAGGATGAAACTAAATTGTCTGAAATTTCAGTAGAGATGTTTTTATTGGGTTAGCCAATGTTTCGACCAAAACACATGGGTCCTCCTCAGTGCTAAAAATTACAAAATATAAAATAACATCGGTAAAGTAAGAAATATAAAATAACATCAGTAAAATGATGAATATAAAATAACATCAGTAAAATAATAAATATAAAATTGTAAAGGTAATAAGAGAGTATAATAACAGTAACAAGATGATAGTAATAAGAATAAATAAGTAAGATAATAGTAATATTACTTTTATTATACTATAATTACCAATACTACTTTTTTTTTTTTTTAATTTTTTTGGCCTGACTTCCATTGAAGTCCTATACCGCAACCATTCTTATTATATTACTTATTTTAGAGAACAGTCTATCTAATCTATTAAAAATTTAATTAGTATCGATCAATTATGAACTAACAGAAAGTATTTTTTCAAATAAAAATAAGTCTTATACTGCTTCATCTTGTTTCAATTCTACTTTTTCAATTATAGGTCAGGTATTGGAATCATCTAATTGGTTCACAAGTAGCCGTAACAAAGGAAACGCCAGGGCTGGACCACAGGTCGGTCATCATCAGCCCTTTCTTGCTCTTGTTCTTACGTGCCTCAAAGGGCAGGAGGATCAGAGGGAAAGTCTCCTTATGTCACTTAACAGCCAGCTCACACAGTGCCTTCAAGTTGCAAAGGAGGTAAAGCTTGTTCAATTTTTAAATTATTAGATAAATATACTTAATTTAGAATGAATAAATAAAATTTATATAGATATTTTTATTTTATATATATAAATTATTCTGTATTGGGGCATTACCCAGGAAAATTCGAGTCATAAGTGGCACCCGTTTGTTTGCCTTATGAACTTTTTTTCATGGCATAGCCATGTAATAAATCTTTAATTAACCTTCACACTCTAGCTAATTAAACTGGTAACATGTAGGACATCATGCTCTCATTAGATTATATATATAATATGTCGTTATATGTATACAGAGTGTCCCGTAGATAGAGGGAAATATTTAAAAAGTTGATAGTAGACATCATGTTCTACAAAAAGTTCATACATACAATTGACCAATTTCCAGTAGTAAAGTGGAAAATTTAAGATGTGTGTTTTTTAAGCAAGTCACGTTTTTTAGTGAATATAAAGCAATAACTTAAGTAATGTTTGATTCAAGTAACTAAACATTGCTCCAAAGTAAACTAAACAAAATTTGCTTTAAACGAAAGTTGAGTTCGTCATTGTTAAAACTATTTAAAGAGGACTATAGGGCGGACAAAACAGCTAAGTTGTGTTTAAATAAAGTCATAAATTATCCGTGATTTTTTTTTTATCAATCTTTAACAGTACTACATTTACCTCACTTTTAAAAAACTTCCTCATTTAATAAGCTTTAACTTCATATTAATTAAGTTGAAGTTTATTAGGAAATATTTTGAGATTCACCTCAAGTTGTGTAAAGAAATTATGTTATTTCCTATCCAGTCGCATTAAAATACACGTGTTTTCTGAAAAAATGACTACAATTAACTGTTAAAAAGCTTTTATTTCTTGTTTTTCCGTGATATGGGATGTATTGTAATAAACATAATTGCCTAAAATACATTTAAAAAGAAATAATAAAACACTTAAAAATAATTTTTTTCAAATATTTTTCATGTAAGATGGTTATGTAATAGTGTTTTTCTCCCCGATTTCTGTCATAGGAATTGATGTGTATTTATAAGTGACAAACTTAATGTTTCTAGCTCTAGTACTACTTACATCTCTAGCACTAATACTTAAACTCTAGCCATAATACTGTCATGAAAATAATTAAAGCAATCAATAGGTTTCTTTATTTTAAACATAAATTTAATAAGAAGCATTAAGTTTATCACTGATAAATACATATCATCTCCTATGATGGAGATCTGGTAGAAAAATACAATTTCATTACCACTTTCTATGAAAAATACTTAAAAAATCATTATTTTTTATTTTTATATATTAAGTGTGTTTTTAGGAAATTGTGTTTATTACAATATATCCCATATCACGGAAAAACAAGAAATAAAAGCTTTTTAACAGTTAATTGTAGTCATTTTTGGAGAAAACATGGGTACTTTAAGGTGACCGGATAGAAAATCACACCAATTCTTCACACAACTTAAGGTGAATCTCAATATTTTTCCTAATAAATCTCAACTCAATTAATATAAGGGGGCGGGGTGGCCGAATAGGCTAAAGCGTGTGTAACAGCACCGCTAGTTGCCTGGCAACCGGATAACAGAGATTTGAGATGATATAAAAAGTACGAGTTCGCGTCCCGGTGCCGGAGGGGATTTTAAATTCCCCGCCCTCACCCCCCGGGCCCGGGAAAATCCCGTATAGCCTAAAAGGCGAGGTAGGGAAGAACAAAATATGGACAACAATTAACATGGACTTGAAGCTTATTAAACAAGAAAGTTTTTCTGAAATTCGGGGAAATGTAGTACAGTTAAAGGTTGATAAAGTATAAAATCACAAATAATTTACAACTATTATTCAAACGAGACTTAGCAGAGTTTATTTGCTCAATAGTCCTCGTTAAATGGTTTTAACAAGGACAAACTCTACTTTTGTTTGAATTAAATTTTATCTAGTTTACTGTGGAGCAATGTTTAATTTCTTAAATCAAATTTTTTTTAGTTATCGATTCCTATTCAACAAAAAACGTGACTCGCTTAAAAAAAACAAATCTTAATTTTCCTTCTGTTTTAACACCTTTTTCACCAAAATGGAGCTTTGTGGTGCCATCAAAGCAAATTCCTCACCATACCATCACTGAGGAAAAATGACCTCTTTCCACTCTTCTAATGACTTTCTGGGCTTCTTTAGAGCTCTGGGCGTACACACGATCATTTTGGCGATTAAATGTTTCTTCAATTGTAAAAATTTTCTCATCGCTAAACAAAATTTTTCGATAAAGACCATTAGTGTAACGGCCAAGAAGCACTTTGCATCTATCCACTCTAATTATTTTTAGGGAAGTGGTTAGCCTTTGTCCTGCCATTCTTCGAAATGCACCCATCCTAAGGTCACTTTTTATTATGCGAGACATTGATCTGACAGAGATTCCCATTTGCCGAGACATGATTTGAGCAGCCACTGCTCTCACTGCATTTGCTGTTCTCACAGTGCGGTCAACGAACATACGGCTGGTACCCAAAGCGTTGAAAATCTCTGACCTACATTTTCCAACTTTGTGTAAGGTGATCACAGCTATTCAGCTTTCTTTATCACCCCATTCCATGTTGACTGAGCGAAAGAAAAATACAAACTAATTGGGTTTATTATTCTGACATGTAAAGAAAATAATCTGATAGGTAAGGATTATCTAAATACTACCCAAGGATGTAAACAAAGTTCAACTTTGTTGTATATATAGCTTGTCCCGTAATTTGTATATGTTAAATTTATCTTCACCTCAATCATATGTGTTTTGTGAATATTTTTCTTGAAATCCCATTGAATTTTTTATTTTATTATGAAGCAGATGTAATTTCTGGGATATGTATTTGTTTATTTATTATTTTTATCTAAACGTATTTCATTTATTCATTTTTTTATTATTATTAATAATTTTTTTTTTTATTTCTATTTTTAGGACCGTAATTATGCATATGACACGGAAAAAAGTAGATCCATGATGCAAGATGCCCTTCTTCTAAGATTCTCTTTGGTTGGTGGAATGTTTGATACAATACAGAGAAATACAACTCTCACAACTGATTGGGCGATTCTCCTAGTGCAACTTGTCATTTACGGTGTCATTGATTTAAATAATAACTCGTAAGAATATTTGTCTAAAGATATATATATATGAGACATTGTTATTGATTTTGTTTTGTTAATTATGTCGTTTGATTTCAGAGAGTTATTCAATACAGTCATTGACATGCTTGCAACTCTTATTCATTCGACACTTGTGTCAGATTCTCAATCTGACAAGTGTGAAGAGAATAAAAAGCATTACCAGAATCTCATGAAAAAACTTAAAAAGGTTTTGCTTGTAAATTTTAACTTTTTTTTTATAAAAAATATATTATTATTATGTATATTAGAAAATTTATGAATAAATTTATTTATTTTCTTCTATTAGGAAGTTGGTGAAAAGAATTCACCCTCGATACAGTACGTTAGGCAGTTAATACCACCGCCTAAAAAACAGTTCGAAGTTATAGCCTGTGGGCACATGGGTCTTTTAACTGACATGAAAGGCAATAAAATAGCCTTCGATTCTGTCGACAAACATGTGAGTACTCCATATTTGACATGTTTCAAAAAATGTCAAAAATATGAATACTATAATTTTTCACTGTATTATATTACCTCAGTTTTAGAAATAAATCTCTCTTTCAAAAACATTAAATCTTGTGATCTTAGCAGAACAACATACAACCTTAACTACTAATTATTATTTTTAATTAATGAGATAATATGAAATCTTATTGAATAATAAGATATATCTAGGGTTAGGTTATAACTAGAGTCTAGGTAAGGTTACAATCTCTTCTGATTAATTTAAAAATAAAATTACTGTATATTGTTTTGACACAATAGAACAATAAATTATAAATACCTATCCAATCATTCCAAATGCACGGTCTCCCCTCCACTTCTCGTGAATGAACCTTTGATTTTCGGATGTTCGGAAATCCGCAGCGCACCACCATCAGTACTTCATTCACTACCTTACACGACAATTCGGAACGTCATTAGTGCGATTCCGATTCACTGTGTAGGGTCCCCTTATGAAATATATGTTTATTCATTAGTCATTCCCATATCTATTTATATCTGTTGAAGATTTAGTAATAATTTCATCTATTTTTAATTTTTTTTATTATTTATTTTTTAGGGCCTCCATGTGACTGAAAAACAGCGTATGTCTCCGTGGGATGTGCTGGAAGGACAGAAGGCTCCAGCCCCTCTCTCCTGGTCTTGGTTTGGTGCTGTGCGGGTTGAGAGGCGTATATTACCCTTTGAAGACACACACCGTCTTCTTCATTGTCATACTCATTCTCTTGTCAAGGATTCATCGTACTATCTGGATCCTCTTCCACTTCCACCAGAAGACATTGATCCACCAAAACCTGTGTGTATTGCTTCCTCCTGGAATTTTTTATTCTTAATTTAAGTTTTAGCATATATTCATTTAAATCATCACCTTTTTTCATTTATAATTATAACAGTTCACTTATATTTTTCATGTCTAGATCCGAATAATAAAAAGTTTTACTTTGTGAACATAATCTATTTTTAAACTGCTATTCAGTAATTCTTACTTTTATGGATCCATTTATTGAATTCATGATAAAAACATGAAAATATTTTCATGCATTTGGCAGCTTTTATTTTATAATTCTAGGTTGAAAATTCTAGTAATTAAGTCTTACTATTAGGGTTTTAGCTAACGGAGGTTATGACTTGTAATTCTTATTTAAACCATATTTTCCAGTTGGGGAGTTAAATAATTTTTTTTGTTACTTATATCCAACATTATTTTGTTTAGGTTAATATTAATAATATCTGAAACTAAATAATACAATAGAGTCCCACTGATCCGGACAATATTAAAAAATCACCCAAGTAAATTAAAATTAAATTAACCAAGCAGTAATTACATATATTATTTTAAAAGATAGTTTGACTAAAAGAACAATTTTGCTGGTATTGCCAACCGCAGTGGATGGCAGCATCCACCATCTGTTACTCTATTTATTTTTCACTGAAACTGCTCATCTTGGTGACGTACTCTTCTTGCATAAAACATTGCATTGTAAATTATTTAATGAATTTAATAATTTTTATTTGTGTCCCTAAGACAGAAATATATACAGTGTCAAAATATTGATCTTATTTAATTTGTACGTGCAATTTTATCTCTTATTTTAAATTGAGTAGTGAAATTAGGTTATATCTATACTATGAAATGTTAACCGTTACCTACATATTAATCCTCCTTCTTCATCTTTTATAAGGTTTATAAATATGTTTCGCTCTATTCCATCAAAGCCGTATTAAACTGTCAGCAGCTACTGTGAATAGTACCAGTGAAATTATACCTTTGTCTAGTTGGCTAGCATAAAAAAAGTACCAAGAAAGAAAAAGCTCACACAGTTTATTTGCCAAAAACATAAGCGCTGAAATCTAAAAAAAATCTTAGGACAAGGCTGAGTATGCTTGGTTTTAACTATATTAAAGAATTATTTTTCACTAATTCTTGAAATATTTGATTACTCTTTTTTTTGCATAGCTTACTGCTGCAGACTTTTGGAAACCTCGACACAGTCTGGTCTTATATAGTGTGAATTAATGGGGCTCTATTGTATTTTGATTATGAATAATCAGAGTTCTGTTCTAAGTGAAATACTTATAATATTGATTAATCATATTGATTTCAAATTCTTTATGAATGCCATATCATGAATACAAGTTTAACTTGTTAATCTAAACCTTTCTGTCTTAAGGAGTGGGGTTCAAGAGGCTTGGTGATTATTAAATTTTATTGTGGTTAATTAGAATCATCGCAATGCTTGTTTAGTTATGGTAGATTGAAATGCATGTATTTGTGTTTTTGCTTAGATGTAAGTTATTTTTTGGTTTCTGTGCACTTGTCTCCTGATTATATCACAGTTTTTTTGTCGTTTAAATGTAATGTTATTACACATTGCTTTTGAGCACTTTTAAATTTGATATAAAGGATTCCCTCTATTTAATTTACTTACTTTTTGTCCTGTTTAAACCAGAATTATTATTATTATCGACATTATCATTACTATTCTGTAAATTATAAAATCTTACTATTTGTATTTACCTACTGGATTTAATTTACATGAACCCAAAAAAGAAAATGATAAAAGTATGTAACAAATATATATTATATACGTATATTGTAATTACAATTACATGTGTTGTTTAATGCAATAACAACCGATATCAGAATTTCTCACATTTGGTAAAAATTGATTTTTACATTTATGAGATTTTTTAAAAGTTAATACTTACAAATATCTAGATGATAATTACAAATATCTAAAATACCTAGATGGTACTTCCTTAAAGTAATATGTTTTTTAGTTCAATGTCATAATGAATCTCAAATCGATTTTCTTTGTTCATACAATAAGATCATTAATTATATATAGCTTTCATAATTTCAGTTTTTTTGGGGGGAGAGGGGGTTTCAAACAATGCTATTTATAATGACACTTTTATCTATTTCTCATAGTAATTTTTAAATTTCTGTAACTAATTTAATTTTAGTTATAGATTAATTTGAAATTTATATTTGATTATCCCTACATTTTTTCCTTAACTAATTCAATGTTTTTCTGGAAACCATTGCTTCCTTTGTTAATTGTTCTAGTTTAGTTACTTTGTTAATAACTGTTTTCCTTTTTGACAATAAAGCACAAGTGTCGAGTGTGCTACACTGCATGAAATAAACCATATTTGATTCACCAATTCATAGATTATTAAATATAAATTCACCAAGTAATAGACAGAATTTTTGTAAGCTTTTTTTTTAGCTCTTATGATTGAGATTTTTAGGCATAGCAGACTCAAAAGTGGGGAATGAAAGCTGTTGTTAAAATATCATTGTTATCCTTAAATGAAGAAAAAAGGAAGTTGAGAGGATCTAAACAGTTGAGAGCCGGTGACTTAACTTGCTGATATAATTTCACTGTGATACATCAATCTGTAACACTTAGCCAACAAATTTGTCATTTAAAATAACTTAATTTTTATCAGTTATTTTGGAATTGGAACTTTTTACTTTATAACTTTTTAAGTAACAGTTATTCTGAACTTTTATTTTTAAATAACTGTGATTTAAAAGTTCCGATGATTTTGCCAAAAAGTTTATCTAAAAAATTACTTTATTCTTAGCTACTCAATTGAATGGCATATTATAATCAAGTAATTCACTACAGATAAATTATAACTCTAATATAAGCCCAAATACTGTTTATTTTTAATTTTCTATACTTTTTTTTAAGAACTTAAATAAATAAAAGTTCTTTTACCAGAAACCTAGAACTTAATATTTTATTTTAAGAATGTTTTCCTGAAAAGTTTCATAGGAACTGTTAAAATGAAAAAATTTAAAAAAGTTCCATAAAAGTTTGAACCCCTCCTATAAAGAACAGTGAGAGCTGTAACAGTAGAAGAACTTAACATTAACAAATTTTATAGCAGCAACTGAAGTTTAAGTTTTTATGTTGCGACATAATTAAGGCCGAAACAAACATTTATTATAACTTCATTTGCAATTAATATTGAATATGTATGGTATATTTTTATGTTTTTATTTTTGACCATTTTTCTCATATTTTTGTGATATCTCTATTGAAAATCTGTGATATTTATTAGAAGATAAGTTTTGCCAGGCTCTGTATTTCCAATTTATTTAAATTGTGAATGCCCTTGTATGTTAACTTTTTTTAATTAGTAAATTTTAATTTTTTTAATAATTATTTTTGCTATCATTTTTACTGTTTTATATTCTGATTAACTGACCATTATATTTCTAAATAATCTTAAGATTCATTCATTATTTCTAAGTATTATTTAAGTTAAGATATCTGTTACTTATTTGTTAGTAAGTCTGCTTAAATTTTTCTTTACAACCTCTGTTTATTATGATAGTATTTTTGACTTAATTGTATTTCTTGATTTGTGGGTTAAACTAAATTAATTTAGTATTGACAATTATTGGTAGGATCTTTATGAATGAATACCTCCACAATCTTTTCCATAAACACAAACAAATTAGATGTAATAGTTTATTTTAAAAAAATTGGGTATAACAAGTAAATCTAAAAAATATAGAAAACAAATTATTTTTTCTTTTATAAAAATATAAATTTGATTAGCAGTTCATTTCCTCCTCTTGTTTTGATTTTTACTTACATTTGATGTGGCATTGACTGAATTAGGATTGTAATCGATTGTTAAGGGACATTTTATTTTCTTCTATTTGGAAACCCTGATGAAAATTCTTGAAATGATTCTTGTAAAGTTAAGTGTTTTTTGTTTTGTTTTTGTGATAATCTAATAGACGTTCAACAGAGCCTCCTTTTTACAATGAATACTATAAACATCATAATAAGTCTTTTGCAGGAGTTGTTAAAACTTTCTACTTTGTTTTTTCATTTATGTGTATCTTTTATTGGGACTTAAAATTGCATGAAGTAGAAACAGAAGTGTCTCGTGCTACAAAAGGATTTTGTCCTTATTCCGTCATCCTTTTAACACTTCTTGGATAAAACAAATATTTGATATCAGCTAAAATATCTCATTGATATATATAGAGTCTATGCTATCATATCAATTTATTAGGAAAAGATATTACCTAACATTTTAAATATTTCACCTGTTTAGGTATAACACTTTTTATTCTATTCAATAATGTCAAAATTAATTTTTTTCTGTTTGTTTTTAATATAGTCACATAATGATGGTATAGTCAAGCTTTCTCCTCTTAACAGATCACTTCTTATAGGAGTGTTATTGGTTTTTCATTATTGTTAAATGTGTTGTGCTCTAAACTTTTTCTGATATTACTTGAACATTAATTGTTCAAGTACATGCAAAGGGTGCATGTCAGAACAACTATCCGCCAATGTAGCAAGGACTAAGTTGTTGATAGACCCTGGTATAGTTTTATTTTATTTTATTAACATGTTCCAGTCTTTTGAACTTTTTGGACAAATAAATTAAGCTGTTGTTCAGAAAAATTAAACCTTTTCCACCTTCTAATTAAACTGTAGCACTTTATTCATAATGCAGTGCTTTAGCGTATACCTAAATATATGAAGCCTAATTCATAATCATTTAAGATATATGGTTGCAAAAAGAAAAAAAAATAATGTACATTAATATTCTTAGAAAAATAATTATATCCACATGATTAAATTTTTTTTTCATATACAATTATTTTTATTTATGTATTTTTTTTTTTTTTTTAGTTTTCTTCTCCCTCACATTTTTTATTTTCTCTTTAATACTATAATTATTTTTGGCATTAGAAAAATAGTGTAATATTTCTATAACTTTATATTGAACATTACAATAAAAAATGAAGTCTGATTAGTTAAAGTAAAATTCTCTCTAATACATTTCTTTTTCTTTTTTCTTTTTCTTTTTTCTTTCTTTTTTTTCTCAATCAACACCTAACACAATATTATATTAAAATTTATTCCAAATAAATCATTTTAGATTATCTTAGCTGGTTCTGGTTCTTTGGGTGCAAAGGTGGAATTAGGAACAATAAACAAGGTACATTATTTGCTTAGTTATTATTTGTAATTCATATGGTCAATGTGGTGTTGTTCTAATCAAAATATGGAAAATATTGATATGGAAAAGTGGCGTGCTATGTGGAACATTAAGACCAAGGATGATTTAGTGAGTTTAATTTATAAATACTCATATCAGCCCATAATCATGTCTTTTGTTCTATATTATTTTGGAAAAAAAAAAGAAAAAAAAAAAAATATATATATATATATATATGTATATATATATATATAAAAACATAATAATTAAACAAATGTTTTTATCAAACATTATATTTTATTTTATTTTTAAAATGATTTGTTTTTATACATTTTTATTATTAACTTAAAATTTGGCTATATAAATATAGGCTGTATTTTTCACCACATTTATTTTCATTTCTCCTCCACAGTGGCTACATTTTGGCTATGATGCCATTTCCATGCCTTTTTACTTATATAGTAAAATATAATTTCACCTAAAATATAAGCATACATGAATTAAAATTTGGCTTTTACATTTCAAAAGATCTTATAATTTAGCATATTTTTAATAAGATTGAATTAGTTGGAGAAAAGGTTTAATTTAAAAAAAATAATAATAAGGCATAACTAGACTGTTAAAAAAGTTCATTTGGTTGAAAAATTGTTTTATTTGTCTGACTAATGGTTTGATTGGATAACTGAATGCTATAAAATTTTGTGATGAGGCCTTGAAATTTTTTTCTTTTAATTATGACTGATTTTAAATGTTTAATTTTGTTTTCATTATCAGTGAAACAGACAAATATGTTAGTTTTTTTAAATTTTTATCTATTATGAATTAATTAAAGTTGAATCATCTAAAAATTAACTAATAAATAATTTTTGTAAGATTTGATTATTTGAATCCACTGAAACTAAATATTGTTCCTGCTTTAGTTTCATTTAATCTGTTAACTTTTGTTTTATAAATTTTGTCTATGTTTTGTTATTTTATTTTGTTGTTAATTTATTTTTGTTCCCTTTTATTATTTGAGGGGCATGAGATTATGAAATAAATTGGTGAAATAAGGGTTTCGTTATCCTTTTTTTTTATCCAATTATAAAACCAAATTGAACAGAGATAATCCCTAATGTGTAGTGCACTTGTGTTTATTGTGCTCAGATGAAAGGTGGCCTTCATGCGGAGAGCACACCACCGTCGGTAGAGAGCCCCAGAGGTGGCAAGCGACCCCTTGGAAAACAAGTCGTCGCAGCGAGGAGAAGGAAGCAACAACAGAAGCCCGGGACCCCTGTTATGCCTCACATGCAGGTAGATATCTTAGTTGTTTAGTAAAACAATAACTATTCACTTAAGAAAAAATGAAAACCAATTTAATTTTCCATTCATTGAATTGATCTGTAATTCATTTAAATGAAAATTATTCTTATGAGTTATCTACTGTTTATTATGAAGATTTATCTTAAAGAATTCGGTAGGCAATCAGTATAATCATTATTGTGTTGATGGTTTTAATTATTGTTCATTCCAATATTGCTTCAACTGTTTTTTTTTTGTTTGTTTTTTTTAACTTTTATTATGATATTTACAACTGTATTAGTATGAATACATCAAGTAAATGTGTACATAGGAATATTATCACATGAAACACGCTTGTTGAGAAACCACCCATTGGTAGGACTCTAATAATTTGTCTACATGAGGAGATCACGAGGCCATCTCCTTTTCAGACGCCTCGGAGGGTTATCAGGAATCGAATAGGAAGCAAGGTTAGAAACAAGAGAATTCGGATGGTTATTATGGAAGGATAGGTATCTGGATTTGGCCAAATCGGAAACATATGGAACATTGAGGTCTTTATGGATTATTTTATTTGTGACAAAGTAAGGAGCATTGAGGATTTTACGAAGGATTTTGGATTGTAAAGATTGGACATGAGAGGAATTTGATGGTTTAGTGGAGCCCCACAGCTCAACTCCATAAGTCCAAATAGGTCTTATTATAGTCATGTATATGAGTCGTTTGTAATTCATTGAAAGTTTAGAGCGTTTGTCAGCTTCAACTGTACTTCTACCTTATTTTGTCTTTGTTTTTTCGAAATGGTAAAGGTACTATTTTGCTGGTGTTGCCCATGGCAGCGACCACTATTTCATACTGCCAACCATTTCATGCTGGTCTATTTCGCTGACACTGCTCACCGTTGCTGCCAAATCTTATCAATTTAGCATCTTAGTTTGATATAATTTTAAATAAAAATGTTAACCTTAAAGTTAATTGTTTTTATTTGTATCGGAGAGATAGCGATAGATTTGATGGCGAATTTTCGGTCTTATTTAATTAATGCATGCCATTCTGGTAGTTAAAGTTGAATAACAAGGTTAGATTATGTCTGTACTATGAAATATTAACAGTTATCTGCATATTAATTCCTACCTTCTACAAAATAATTGTTTCTTGTTCTATTTTGAATTTAAAATGTAAGTATTCATGGTATTGATAGGATGATAAATTATTATTTTTAAAACTGAGGATTTATCTTCTCCGATCTTAAATTTATTATTAATTGATAGTTTTATAAGTTACAGTAATTATTGCATAATTGATTAGTAATAAATATCACATATTTGTAATGAAATCACAGCAGGAAATATTTTACCGTTATATCAATAGGTAATCAGTAAATCAGCAAAAATACAAATTGATTTTTCAATGTCTGGATTTGAATATTATTAGTTTATTTAATGTCATTTGGATCTAGGTATATTTGAATTTCTCTTAAAATACTTTTGGTGGTATAAATAAGTAAATAATCTTGTTACTTCAATCTTTACAAAATGGTTTATTATAGCTTTGTTTAAATTTTAAACAATATTTCATTTAATTTGGCCTGGAAATAAAATCTATCTAGGTGATTGTTATCATCAAAACAATGCTCCGATATGATAACATAACCTAGAACCGCCAACAGCTTCACTGCTTCAGGAACAGCCTAGATGTGACGTCATATCTAGACTGCCGAGTAATGCCAACGAAATAGATTCCTTTCTATCTACTAAAGCAGTTCTCAACCACCAGCAGTTGCTGCCGTAGGCAGTGTCAGCGAAATAATACCTTCATTTAATTTCTTTATGATCATTGTTGAGTTTTGTCTTTGAAAATCTTAATTCTGTTACCAATATACCATTATTTTATATAGATATAAATCTTACCAGATACTGTTTTCATTCTTTCTTATTTTTCTTTCAGTTAATGGATTAATTTCAACCACTCATTCACCATAATCAACTAATTAAGAAATAGTAAAATAAAAATAACTTTACTCTGGGAAGGAGGCCCTTAAAAATAACATAAAGTTACAGAACAAAAGAAATAGATCTGACCAGAACTAGATTAAATAAGAAAAGTTACATTAAATAAATAGAAAACCTTATGTAAATTAACAAAATATACTAAACCAAACTAATAAAACTATATACAAAATATTAAGAACTGTATAACCTACCTTAATAAATGATAGGTAAATTCAAATAATAAATGAAATTAAAAAAAAAAATAACAATAAAAAGAAATGAAGAATATGAAAAAAAAAAACAGTAAATATTAAATAAATTCCTCTAATAGATGGGCACCAACTAAAACTAAATAATGTAAAGTAAAATATAAAGAAATAAAGATTTATGTATTCTTTCTTTGTAAAAATTAAAACATTAATAACAGAAATAGTGTGAAAATAAATAAATTAAGCAACTTTTAAAGCATGGAAATCTGGAAAATAAATCACCATGTGATATAAAAATGAGAAGTTACACTATTTTTTTTGTTTGTTCCTCCCCTTCCTAGCTGATAAGGCTAAAAGGAGTTTTCCCGAGCCAGTGTGTGTGAGCAGGGATTTAAAAGACTCCTTCGGCAACAGAACACAAACTCGTGACTATTTTTATATCATTTGATTCATATATCAGATTGCCAGGAAATGGCGGTACTGTGCACACGCGTTAGCCCATTCGGACAACCCACCCACAAGTTACACTAGGTTGTAGGAAATTATGTTTACTGAATGGTTGTACCACTTGTAGCATTACACATTGTTAATACAACTAGTGTTCGCCCAGTGGTCGAAATTTGACCATAGCCATTAAAAATTTGAGGAAAACATATAATTAAATAAAAAATCAATTCAATAAATAAAGAGTAAAACACGATTCAAAAATCCTCATTTATTAATATAAAAAAACGTCTGCCAAGTAAGATCAGTATAGCTTCCTCACCGTTTCCGTTGTATATTACAAGGTATACAATTTTTCGTATGAGAATAAAATCTCTGAGAGAAGCAGAATCAGAATAGCCGATTACAGTTACCCTTCAACATTCAACAACAGAGGGTCGTATTCGGATATTCCATACTTGATTATGCTTAATAAAAAAATAAATAAATTTAAAAAAATGCATACTGAACATGCATTTCAATACTGTTAGTTCAAAAGGTCTTATGTATAAATGTATTTATTGTTTTACAAGAGTGCATAAAAACTCAATATTTCTTTATGCTTTATTAGAATAATTTCATATTTTATTTTCATCCGATATTTTCCATAGTAGCAGACTACTTATATCAGTTGCAGACTACAAAATATCACCTTTAATACACATAGAATTAAAGTTGAAAATTATTACATACGAACTTATGCTCTAATAATAGTATATACATTACCGAATCAAGATTTAATTTTGGAGGAGGAGCTTCAGCACGAAAGATTTATATATATAACGATAATTAATTTGAAAAAAACCACTGCAAATTATTTCTCTTTGGTATATTATTTCCAAACAATTATACATATAAAGTAATATTAAATTCCTAGTTATAAAGAAAAACAAATAAAAGGTGATTCTAATTATTGGACTAAATTTTTTTTTAATCATAAGTAATATGCTAAAAAAAATAGCATTACTTCAGTAACACATTCAGAAATCAAAAAAAAGATAAACCTTTTGCAATAGCACATCTATAAAAAACTAGAGACCATATCTTTGCTCCTGATAGTCCGATTTCGCTGAAATTTTCTTCATTTTTTAGGAAATTTTAATACCTTTGAAATATCTTATTGCAATATTGACATAAATGTGTATACTTCTTGAGTTATTCGGAATTTAATTTTACCATCCCTCATAACTTTTTTTGAGCTTCTTTTCGTTGAAGTATGTAGTATAGATAAATTTAGAGGGCGTAGAGAGAATGACTTTAGCGAAGTTTCATCAAAATCAGTACATTCGTTTAGGCGCTACAGTCTATATCAACGCAGGTTTTTCGCCCGCCATTTTGAAACTAGAAGGCGAATAGTAATGTCGTTGAAGGAGGATGATCCTCGGGTGATCTCTGATTTTATATCCAAATTCGAAAAAAATCGGTCTAGTAGTTTCAGAAAAAATGCGCAGACGGCGGACTAGTAGTGCACATATAAGAGAAAGTATTGGACACAATTCAATGAAATTGACACTACATTATTTTTTCACCAAAGTCTACCTTTTATCTAACTTTGAGCCAAATCGAACGAGCCCTTTCTGAAATATTGGCATATCTAAAAATATACGTTTGCGCGTGCGTAAGCGGAAGTGCTGGATGGAATTTGATAAAATTGATATGGGACCATCTAGGCACCAATCAGCATAATCCCTGAAAATTTCATGAAGATTGGATGAACGGTACTAGGTGATATGCCCGTCACATCGATTTGACTACAGACAGACAGACACCGAACCAAATTTGATCCTTGATGTCTGAAACGTAAAACGCGAGTGAAAATTTTCGATTCTGAGCAAAAAAAATTTTTTAATCTCTCGCACGAACACAATGCTTCCCTACCTTCGGTAGTGAGGAAGCAAAAAATTCAATTTCAATCAAAAATCGAACTTAAACTACTTAAATTATTTATAAGTAATACAAAATAGACTCGTTCAAAATATTTAATTTCCATTTTAATTTATTTATTTGATGTTTTTTTGCCTCTACCCTGTAGGGTCATTGGCAACACCTTTAAATTACACTCTGTTGTAGAGTTTTATCACTTTTAAAAACCTTAAAGTTTTTTTGACTGCACTTTCACTGTCAATTTATGTGTGTTATTATCACAATAAATTAATGTTATAACTAAGCAAGTAAAAAATAAATTTAAATTAGTAATTTCAATTCAGTTTAAATCCATTTTTATGCAAAACTTCTCAGTAAACAATGTTATTTTTTAATGTTCTGTGATTGTTTAGTATATAGCCTTGTCCATTGCCATTGGAAATATAAATTTCAAAATTTTAAATGAACGTGTTCCACTTGCTGCCACATATAATTGTCCATGCGAAATTACTGGACGTTGCAATAATACATAACTTTTTCCAAAACTTTGACCCTGTGATTTGATTATGGTCATAGCAAATGCACCTATTAATAAGAACGTTGTCAGAAAATATTAAATTAATTATTGGAATTAAAATTCTTTTATTTAAAGTAGCTCTAGTTAGTACTTCACACTCATTCGTGTTCCATTAACTAATGCTTGTGCAATATTTAAGTTAAGAATGAGTATAACTAGAATTTATTTTTAAATTTAATTTATGAGATAACATTCCACTAACATTCAATGATATCATCTCTTCAGATAATAGTCACGATTACTTCATTAAATGTAAAGTTTTTGATTTATCAAAAACCAAAATAATGGAAATCGACTTTGCATAAGAAAAAGTACTAAATGTTTTAAATGATATATCTCTGCAACAAATAGTCTGATTTCGATAATTTTTTTTTTTTTAATTTGTAGAGAATTCAGGAAGCTTTCAAATTATCAATACAAAAATGTTTATTTTTTGAGTTATTCGCAAATACAATTCTGAGTTCATCATAAAAATGTATGCAGCTTGTTTTCGGGAAAGTATATTATATACATAAATTATAAATGTTTCAAAGGGAAAACTATAGCTAAGTTTCATTAAAATCGTTGAAGCTGTTTTGGCGCTAGAGTCTGAAGCAAATCACTTTTTCGGCCTGATGGTAATAAAACGTATACAAAAACATTTCTAAATATTATTGCGATGTTGTGTCAACATTTTAAAGAAATCAGTGAAGAACTTTTGCCATATACTTAATCTTAAATCTTAAATACTTAATATCAGTTTCGTACGACTTTTCGTTTTTGAGCTAGAATTACCACATAGATACACACACACAGACCATTTTGTGATACTTGGTTATTTGGACTCAGGAGACCACAAAACATGTATTTCCGTTGAAAACTCAAATTCGAAAATTTTCATGATCGCAATACTATATATTTCATATACAGATAAGTGAAAGTAAAAAAATCAAAAGTGTATTTTTAAAATGATAAACTTCAACAATAAACATATAAAAGAAAAAGCCAAAGTAATTGAAGCACATTGACAAACATTCGATGAATGTTTTAAGGAAGTTTCATTTATATAAATAAAAAATAATAATAATTTTATTATTAAAGAAGAGGTACTGCTGAGTACTTTCCTTCCTCATGCCTTTCATGTCATTATTTCCTGTATCGCCATCACATTTGCTGATTGTCAACAATAAGTTGACAGGCGCAAATACATTTTTTTATCGACAAAAAAAAATTAATTAAAAAGAATATGTTTTGAAATTAAAAAAATGGTACTTATTTAGTAGCAGATAGCGTCCGACTGCTATCTGCCAATGTTTATAACCTTAACACTGATAAGCTCTTTGTATTCATTTTTATTGTATTATATTCATATTATTATATCTTCATATTTATATTTATTGTATTGTATAGATATTATCAAAATTGTGAACAAAAACAGAAACAAATGTAATAATAAAAAAATACTTTTATTTTACAACATATATATTAAAATACACGAAAACATTATAAATATGTAATTAAAAAACATTACAAAAACATTGTAACACATATTTATCAAAATAAATGAAATAATATAGACAAAAATAGATGAAATAATAAAAAATATACTTAAACAGCATATGTACATATAAAAGAAACACTATGAAGAAATGATATAAACAAAATATGAAAAATTTTATTTTAACTTGATTTATTTTGGTAGGGAAAATAGTTATATGGTATTTAAAATAGCCAGGAAGGGATCCTGTTCTCTATGCGCCCGCTGACACAAAAACTCACATAAATATGAATCCAGGTGTTGTCTGGCAGTTCCTCTGTGTTTTGTATTTCACCACTTAGCTGAGCCCCATAATCGTTCAATGTGTTGAGTGTGGACTCCACTTGATGGATCAACAAAATTATACCTGTGATTCACCTGAAAATGATTGTAGTTTGCTTCATTGAGTTGTTTGGTGTTGTATCCTTTCCAACAGTCGGAATAAATGGCCTCTTCTACATTGTTTTTAATGGCTTCTAATAAAGTTGTTGCTTTTCTATCGTTTATTTTGACGATAAAACACTCGTCTGTTTCTCAGGAAACATCCATTGCTCAGGTAGGACTCTTCACACATGATTTTTTTCTTTTCGAAAAAAGACTCGTCTACTTCGACAACTTTGCCAGGCCCTCCAATTTTTTTATTCGACCTGTATAACATGTCATGGGCACAAACTTCTCTTAAAAATTTGTTCCATACTACGACGGTTGCGATGGACAGTTTGAGCTGCTCTTCCCCCCCTCCCAGTGTATTGTTGTTAAATTATGGGACCACCCATAAATGAATTTTAAAGCTGTTAAAAAAGAAATCCTCGACCCCTCTAACCACGTTCCTTTCTTTATAGAAACGGTTTTGTTACAACTACGAAAGCATCTCCATTTAATCTTCCCGTCGAACTTCGTTTTATGACCTTCATCAGAATATTTGACCTTTGCAAATATCCCGGCGTCTTGAAAATATCTTATAGCCTCTTCTTCTGATAACGGCAATTCCCACAATGTGACAACATCCATAAGTAAATAACACTAACTCACAGCTAACACAAGAAACAAAACAACAAGGGAATAACTTAGGTTAGATGATATAAGGGATGTTATGTGAAATGAGATTAGATAAGAAGGGAGGTTTTGGCGCTACCCGCTACTAAATAAGTACCAAAAAAATTACTAATTGATGCATCACATACTGTACCCCAGAGGAAAAGGGCCAATTCTCATAAACAATAGAATCTTTTGCAGTACAACAAATACTAAATTTTCAGAACACTTATAACTCTGCACCAATTCGTCTGATTTTGATGATTTTTGTTATGTTTTGTAGAGAATTTAGTAAGCTTATCATTCACCAAAAATTGCTTACTTTTCGAGTTATTCATAAATTATTAATTTATTTGAATGTCTCGATTCGTTGAGACGGCACCATCATATGGTTTGAAACCTCTCACTTTTACATTCACTTTTATTTAAGTCCTGGTATAAAATTAGGAATCAAAATTATGATTTGTGCACTCTATGTGATATTCCCTTTCTATTGATATCTCTTTCTTAAAAATCCATCTCTCCTGAGGGCCAGGAAAGGGATATATATTTGAAAAATAATATGGCATTAAGCTTGCCTAAAATTATCTAACTAATTGTTTTTTGGTTTGGCACTGTTATTGATTTCAAGTCTTCAACTCATTAATTAAAACGAGGCCCTGCTTTTTCATGCTTTACTAAAAAATAAAAAGTTTAGGGATTCTCGGTAAATAACCATATGTTTATTACTTAGGAGGTATCTTTTTTGTTATTTCCTGAACAAAATTTTCCATCTATCCTTCTATCTTTTTTTTGTCTTAATTATTGGACTGAATGTTCAAATAGTCGATGTTCGAATTTATGAGATTGCACTGTACTATTTTGTGTTCAGTTCTGTAATTACAATTTTTAATTAAATTATAATTGCAATAGTAGAATAGAGTATATGTGCTTATTCATGTTAAATAATATATTCTTAATGCTGTATTATAGTGAATGTTAACTTCACTTATTAATTTTTAATTAAAGAGAGGATAGATCCTAGGCCCAATAACTAGCTTCTGTTGGTATGTGTTTCTATCTTTTTCAATTTCTTATAAAAAAACTTTTATTTTTTATTGATTATTTATATTAAAAAAACATTACAAATTAATGCTAATAAATATGTAACAACATGAGATGCAAGGGGGCCCTGCCACTGGACAGATGGTTGGAAACTACCAGACCCAAGGGCAGGCAGGGATGTTCCCCAGCGGACCACAGCAATGGCCTCCCTATCAGCAGCACCCGCAGCAGGTTTACTATCAGCAGCAACCCCAAATGCAACAGAGTAAGCTAATATGTATCCTCACTGGCTTTAATTTTATTAATAACCAAGTTTATTTAAGTTTGGTATACAATTTTTACCAATGCTAAATCTATTTGTAGGTACAAATCCACGTGTCAATCAAGTTGGGACCAAGCAGGCTCTTTCAAACATGCTTCGTATGCGGTTACCTCCTTCTAATCAGTATATGGGGCAGGCTCAACCACAAGTTCAAAATTTTCAGCCGATGCAAAGGCAGCAAATGTATAGGTATTTATTGTTTTAATAAAGTTTGTTAAAGAATCTACGGTCTCAAATCCTCTTGTGTAATTATACTATTGAAATTATTTGTGATTTGTTATTATTATTATTTCAGACAGCAAATGCAGACGCCTGGAATGCAAGCTGCCAGTCAAGGTGGACAAATGTTTCCTGGACAACAGCAACAGATGTATCCCCCTAACATGCAACAGCAAGGTTTGTCATTTCTTATTGAGATTAGTTCATGATACTTAAAACTGACGAATAATCAATGTAGCAAAGCTATTTAATTGCGAATGAAATGATTGTGCAGGGATGAATCAAAATTATGGTGGATATGGAGGAGGAGGGGCAACTATGAATACTGGTATGTTTCCGGATCAGGGTATGATGAGGACACCTGAATACCAACAGCGGATGAGGCCGCCTTATATGCCCGTAATAATTTATTTAATTATTATTTTCTTTTATAGCACATTTTCTAATAATTTTTCTTGTGGTCAAAACGTTTTTCTTATTCGCTTCAAATTATATTATTAAAAATATATTAATCGCTTAATCAATTTTAGCAAGCTCCAAATGTTACTATGAATTCGATGGGAGGACCTTTAAGTCAACCTGCACCTCCCTATACTAGACCGCAACAACAACAGCAGCACTTTAATCAGGTAATTTTCTTTTACTTTTCTTGTTTTATTGGAATTATATTTTCCTTGTTCCTTGTGGTAATACACCAAATTTTTCTGTTGCAAAACCACTTAGCTTGCATCTCCTATCCTGAAACTTAAAAATTAATATTTACAAAACCATTATCCTTCCTACAGTTCTTCATGGATGTGAAACATGACCTTTTACATTGATAGTAACATTTTAAGATTTTTTTTCACAACTCTGTGAATGCTTTGGGGTTTAGATTTAGACATATCCTCTACCCTCAACTACCAAGCAGCCTCTTCAATATGGAATTGACACAGAATTAATTTACTGTGAGGCTTAACAGGATTTTTTTCTCAAAATTGTTCTGTTGCAATAGCATAATTTCTTACCTGTCTATAGATGTCATCAATTGACAATATTAACTCTTTAGCAAGCACTTGTTGCTTTACAATATAAAAACATAAAATGTATTAAATCCTTCCCATAGCTTCCTTTGCATAAATCATTAGTTTTGATAAAAAAAAAAAAAAAAAGAACTTATTCTCTCAATTCTTTGTCTGAGACTTCAGGAAACACAAATTTCTTACAGCAACTGATTTCTTATTTTGAAATAATGTTTCATTTTAAACTTCAGGTTCTAGCACTTTCGCTATCCTTCTAGTGGTTTATATTGTTTTGCAAATTGTGCCTATGAATCTTTGATACATGGATTTAATCCTGGAATTGTGTAAGGATTTCCTCTTGAAGGAGTAAAGCTTGGGAAAGAATCCTCTCTAACCTGTACAAATAATTGAATTACTATTTAATGAAAATAAAACTAAAAATAGGATTTTGTGGAATTACCTATGGCTAACTACTGTATGGCTTTTGTATATTGTTCAGTATATGTACATGATAGCAAAACTTGTCCCTTCAAAGAAGAGACATGTTGTTCCCATTTTTTATTTAAAAAATTTGTTTATCCTTTTGAACGTCAAAATTTAGTAATATGTGCTTAAATATATTACTCCTTCATTTCCCCCTTCCTTCTTTCCTCCTGGAACATCTTTCAATGACGCCGATTTTTATTTTTCAGATATTTCTCCTACAGACCTCATATCCGCTGTGATGAAATCACACTCTAATTCTATTGGTCCAGACGACATTCCCGTCAAATTAATTAAATTATGCCTCCCTGAAATCCTTCCAGTACTCCTTTTCATCTACAATTTTTCCCTTCAAAATTCAGTATTCCCTTCCTTGTGGAAAAAAGCCACAGTCCGTCCTTTAAATAAAAATTCTAATCCGTCTTCCCCTGAAGATTTCCGGCCAATCTCAATCCTTTCTAACCTTTCCAAACCCCTGGAGAGAATTGTGCAATCCCAAGTTTCCAACTTCCTTGAACAGTCCAATCAACTTGACCTTTACCAATCTGGTTTCCGACCAGGTTATTCCACACAATCCGCCCTAATCAAAATCATTAATGATGTTCAGTCCGCCATTGATGACAAAAAACTAACTGTCCTTATACTCATTGACTTTTCCAAAGCCTTTGATTCCATCAACCATTCCATTCTCTTTTCCAAATTAAAATCATTATCCTTTTCCCATAGTTCTATCCTATGGTTTCAATCTTTCCTCTCCCAACGCTCACAAGCTGTCGCTATTCCTAATCAACCATTGTCTTCCTATCTTACTTTGTCCGCAGGAGTGGCCCAGGGCTCTAGCATATCTCCCCTCCTTTTTAGTTCTTATATCAATGACATCCATAATTCAATCCTTCACTGCTCCCATCACCTTTACGCCGATGACTCCCAAATCTACCTTTCCTTCCATCCCTCAGAGTTGCATGAAGCGTTTGCCAAAATTCAAGAAGACTTGAATCGGATCAGTGCCTGGGCAAACTTAAATGGATTAAGGTTAAACGCTGCAAAAACTCAAGCCATTGTCATTGGTTCCAAACCCCTTCTCAGAGCCAATACCAACATACCTATACTGTACCTAAATGACCATCCCATTACCTTCACCTCCTCAGTAAAAAACCTAGCATTTTCATAGACCAAACCCTATCCTGGAAACACCATATTGCTCACATTACCCGACAGTCAATTGGTACCTTGAAACTATTCCATCGCTTCCGCCATCTCCTACCATTCCACACGTAGACTCCTAGTAACTTCCCTCATCTTCCCCCACCTTGATTACGGCTGCGTGGTGTACGGTGGCCTCTCGGCAGAACTCGGGAGAGACTGAAAAGAATTATGAATGCCTTCGTAAGATTTGTCACAGGGGCCCTGAGGTATTCCCGTGTTTCGCACCACTATGCTGAATTAGGATGGCTCTTCCCTTCCTTCCGAAGACAATATTTCCTAGGCACATTCCTTTACCAAATAATCAATAGTCATCGTCCGTCCTACGCATACAATCTCCTACAATTCAAATCATCTATCCACACCCTCTCCACAAGATCTCGTCCTTCTGACCTTTACACTCCTTTCCACAGATCTGCATCATTTAAACATTCCTTCGTTGTCCGTTCCACTGCATTCTGGAATTCCATCCCACTAAAAATCCGCCATGCATCATCCTTATCCACCTTTAAAACCCTCTTATTCCAATTCCTCTTCACAATCCAATCAGACGCTGTTAATACTACTATGTTATAAGGATTTAATTTTCTTTAGACATTATTTTTTTTTCTCTTATTTTTTATTGTTTTATTCTATGTTGAACGTGAATTTTCATCACCACTCACTAAGCATTGTGAGTAGATAAAATTTGTTTTTCTTAAGTTCTAATTTGTTAGTCATGAAATGTATTTCAGTGAAAGGTATTTTATTTCTAATTATCTTCAACATACTTCTCGCCATGTGTATATGTATACTTTATTTTATTTTCTCTTCTCCTAATCTTTACGCATAATCACTTAAATATCTTAGGGAACATGTGTATATCATTATTTGTTTTTTTATATTTTTTTTTGTTTTAGTTTTTACAATTTCTTTCCCTACATATTAACAGTTATTATAATTTTTTTAATTTTTATATTCCATCACTACAATGCTTTACCTATAAAATAGATTTTACTTTCCTTTCTAATTTCATTCAGTGATTATTATGCAATTATTTTAGTTCCAATATTGTAGTACTGAACCCCTATTACCCAACTGTCCTCGTTAATTTATCCTAAGAGCTTAATTAATACTTAATGTATTGCATGTATTTTGTTATTATTCATTGTAATAAGTCTTTTGACCAGATTTATAGTTAATATATATGAACAATACTGTTATTCTAAAGGGACCTAGTCCCAGAATAAAGATGATTTTTCTATTCTATTCTATTCTATAATTACAGCAACAGCTCAACCAGAGAATGAGGCACCAGTTGATGGCAATACAGCAACAGCAGCAGCAACAAGGACAGGCCCAAAATTCAAATACCCTTGTACAACAGTTGCAACGACAGATGCAAAGCCAACAGCCCAATCAGCAAGCACACATGTACCAGCAACAACCGCCACCGTATTAGTAATTTAAGCCTGACTAAATTGTTATATTATTTTAATATTTTCTGAGATTAACGGAGAAGTATTAATGATTATTTTCACTCAGAAATAGTTTTATATGAATTTTCTTTTCATATGTAATATAATAATATAATTAGGCCAATTTTTCATTAATAGGTTGATGTGGTTGTATCCTCTAGAGGAATACATTGTTACTTTTAAATTAATGTTGGTAATGCTATTTTGAAAATATTCTTTCTTCGTGTCTCTTCTATTTGTGTTATTTTTCTTATTTCAATTATTTAATTGTTATTTTGACAATAACAATAACACTTCTTCAAATTAAGTATAAAATCATTAATTGTTTTTGAATAGACCAATCATTTTGAAACATATACTTTCTTATTCACTAATAATTAATAAGGTTGGAATATATATGTATATGTTTGTATACAGATTTGTATAGTTTTAGCATTGTTCATCAAATTGTTTTCATTTTTTTTTTTTATCTGTGATATTATTGATAAATTCATATATTGGTTCTGTTATGTCTGCGTATTTTTAATTTCATAGATCATACCATAAACAATCAATAATCGGTTGATGAAATTATCTTAATTTTAATTCAATGAATTTAGTTGTGCTAATGAATTTTATGTCTGTTTCTACATTACTATTATTTTGTTATGTCCGTCATTTAGACATTACAATCATTTGTAACTCAATGGTCATCAAAAAACATAATGTAAATAACCTATAAGCCTTAAAATAATTGTAGTATGAGTTTTTTAAATAATTAAAACATTTTAATTCATGAATCCTTGATATCAATGAGCTGTTCATATCATATTTATGACTAGTTGGAGCTAATAATGAGAGCTTGTTCCAAATCCATGATGTTTATAAATTATAATTTCTATATTGCTTTCTAGCCTGAATTTAATAATTGCTTAAACTCGTAGTTGACAATGGAATTAAGTACAGAAATACAATCAGTATTCAAACAATAATACTACTAAAATATGGCCTAGGCAGTTTCTTCTAATGCGTCACAAAGAGAAAAAATCCAGCCTTTTTAACAGTTAACGATAATGTTTGTCTCATGAAAAATATTTGAGTAATAATATTTATATTTTATTTATTTATTTATTTTTGTTTGTGTTTTTAAAAATATACCTCCTCTTTTTTTTTTTTTTTCCATTTTTGGAACAATATTTTCTTCTAAATTTTATGTCATTAATTTTAAACAGGTGAGAACTTGAATTCTTTGCTGAATGTAACTAACATAATCATCAAATTTTATATTTTATTTAATTGCTAAAGATTTTCAAAGACACCTTTCCATTCTATTTTCGTTTCATCTATAATTTAACTTATTATATTAAGCATGTGAATTTTTATTCCTTTTATACGTACTTTTATGCATTCATAATTGTTAGACATAGGATATTTTGTTTTCAGTATATTTATAATTAATTTTTAAATGTATGTATTGTAGGTTTTACATTAATTAATTTTAATGTTAAAAGTCTGAAAATTTTTCTTTAGTTTTAGTATTATTTCATCTGTGAAAGCTCAGGAAAAGTCTTGTACATACAACCAAAGCACCCTCTTATTTTTTTGTTTTTGTAAATATAAAATATATTTATCAACTGTAATTATAGTGCAACATGTTGAAAGGTACAAATCCATAATTAGTTCTTAATATGTTATAAATATTGTATATTTTAAAAATATATATACATATATTATATATAGTTAAAATCATTACCTTATTTTATATATATATATATATATAAAAACCTTTTAAATTTGGATTCTTTGTTATTGTTTTTATAATTGCTATTATTCCTGAATCATATTAAAATTTTCTTAAAGTTATTGTTCAATATCATTAATACTACAGATGGCTGATTCAGCTTAATCTGATTAATTTCAAAGGTATTTTGTAATTATATTGAAAAATAAATACTCTGTATCATCCAACAATTTTTAGTTTAATAATAAATGAACTCATATTTTAATATTTCTTTTTTAATATTAATAAAATACCGGTTGATTTCAATTAACTTTATAGAAAAGAAATGAAAATGTTTAATGTTAAATCTAACTAGATAAGAATATTTTCCTATAATAATGGGGCAATAATGTCTAAAATTCTTTATGGGATACAAGCAGCTGTGTTTAAACAAGACAAACTTAAAAAAACACTGTGACTAATTATGTTAGGAATAAGTTAAGCTTTTAACATAGTTTCATCTGAAAAAACAGTGTATTGATAATATTTTACTAATTCAAATTAAATTAAATAAAAATTCTATTCTGTACTAACTTAAAAGAACTCTCTTCGCTTGTATATGAAGACTTCGTACCCTGATATACACAAAAATAATGAATTAGATATACCAATAGAAGACAGGATAAATTTATAATGAAAAAATATTTTAGTATGAGCTGTGAATGAAGTTTGTATGACCTGACAAATTAAAATAAGAAAAGAAAAATTGCTATTTTTAGGAAATATATTAGCAGCTTCCTATGGAAAGCAATAAAATTTATACATTTCATCTCATAATTAAAATGCTAAAATTAGTCAAGATTTGTTTTAATTCTGTTCATTGAAATGGCGATCTATTCAAAGTTTCATTGAAAATGGTTTGTGGCTTAAGAGGGTAGTTACGTGTGCCATTAAATATAAGAGCATTAGAACTAATTTTTCAAAATCGATTTTTTTTTTTTTAAGGATTTTCATATTTCCTCAGCTTTTCAACAATTCTTGCCATCTATACTTCTTATTTACAATTTTTTTACTTTTTGTTGATCTGAAAAAGTTTTCATGCTTGCCTTTATCCATCTTCAGTAAAAGACTTGAGTCCTATTTGCTTACTTGTCAGCCTTAGATCGTAAACATAATCTTCTATGTTCAATCTATGATCCAACATTAGAACACTATAATAGTTGATTAATAATTGACTGTCGTGAATATGTTGAAGAGGAATTGGTTGGGATGAGCAGTCACTAGTAAAAGAAAAAAATTATATTTATTTTTGTCAAGATTTAGGGCTAAGAAAAGACAAGATAACAATACATATGAGAAACTAGTAAATGGTAGAAACATTATAATACGTAGGACAAAGTTAGTAGGATATACACTGACAGGCAAAAAATTCCACCCACTTGATTTTTTCAGGTTTTCATCTAAAAATATTTCTGCTTTGGATTGGTCTATTGTTTTTAATGAATAAATAGGTAATCTTTTTGTTTGTTTTCAATTAGGAATGTTAATATAGAGGACAATAACACTTAATCCTTAATTCAATGAAATGATTCTACATTCCAATGTTTACTTTCTATGGAATCAAAATATTTATTCAGTATCATTAGTTCAGTGCCATTTATCGCATTTCTTCACACACACATTTCTTAGTCTCCGGCTTTTAATTTTTGCAATAATAAGTTTAAAAATGCTTCTTAGTGCTGAGGATGTTGCGCGTGGTGTGGCACTTATTGATGATGGACGTTCCATTAGATATGCAGCTAATGCCATCCGAGTTCCATATGAAACTTTACGAGACGCCGTCAGGCGATTTCGGGAAACTGATTCTTACAATAGAAGGCCCGGTTCTGGACGGCTTAGAGTAATAGAACCACGGGATGACCAGTTTTTGACTTTGAGAATTTTACAAAACCGGCACCTTACCGTTGTTCAAGCGATTCATCAGCTCGAAGAAGTTTGAGGTGTGCAAATTTCTGAACGTACCGTTCGGAGAAGATTAAATGAGTATGAATGAATGGCTTTTCGTCCAGTAAGAGGACCAGAACTCACAGAGTAACACGGCTGGCTTTTGCTCGAGAACACAGCCATTGGACTATGGACGAATGGAGTGCTGTACTTTTTACAGATGAATCAAGATTCGCTCTTCGATCTCCAGACGGGCGTGAAACGGTGTGGAGAAGAAGAAAGGAAAGATATGCAGCCTGTAATTTTTTCTAGAACCAACCTTTCCAACGTGGTTCCTTAATAGTGTGGACTGGGATTTCAACGGAGCGCCGCACAGAATTGGTTGTTGTTCGTGGAGGTTCTTTGACGGCCATTCGCTATGTAGATGAGATTTTGGAACCTCATGTGTTGCCTATCCTCAACGAAATCGGCGATCGTTCTATTCTAATGCTCACCCGCATAGTACAGACGTTCCTTCAACAGAACAATATTGAGGTTTTAGCCTGGCCAGCATGTTCTCCAGATTTGAACCCCATTGAGCATTTATGGGATAACCTCGGAAAACGAATAAGAGCGCATGCAACACTTCCTAATACACTGCATGACCTTGAAAGGGCTCTTCGGGAGGAATAGGCTATCCTCCAGCAAAGGGACATTTCACGACTGGTGGAAAGTATGCCGAGACGTCTTCAAGAAGTAGTGAAGGCAAGAGGAGGAAACACGCGCTACTAAGCGATGATGTAATTAATTTCTTCTAGAACAGTAATGGTTCGTTTTTCAATTTTTTTTTCTCTAGTCTTTCTTACCCAATCACATTTTGATTATTAAAGGCAAAAAAGATTATAAATACTAAGTATTATCTACAAATGCCATGTATTATATACAAATACAACTTTTTTTACAAATGGCAGAAATATTTTTAGATGAAAAAATCAAGTGGGTAGAATTATTTGCCTGTCAGTGTATAACATAATGGAGAAAAAGGTTAGAAAATTTTTAAATAAATAATAGTTAGGAACTATGAAATAAATAATAATGGTAACAGAGTTAGGACTTAAAAATGAACAATAATAAAGTAACGGTAACAACATGATGAAATCAGCAAAGAAATAAAAAATAAATAAACAAGGAAATGTAATGAAATATTAACAGATAAAAAAGTTAGTGTTAGGCATAAAATAAATGGGATGATGTAGTAGCTAGAAGTTGATGTTTTAGTGTATTAGAAGGAAGTGAGACAGACATGGAATAAAATATAAAACAGAAAAGGCGTATGAAGTTAAATAAAGAAAATAATAGATGTAATTACAATAATTAAGGCTGAATAAAATCAATTAAAACATACTGACTATATAGAAGAGAATTGGAAAGTTAAAATTATGTAAAGTAAGAAAATGAGATGTAACGATTACATATATCAACAACAAAATAGTGGCATGAATGTGGAAAAGACAATAATGGTAGAAAGATAAATGAAGAGGAAACGAAACTTTATTTATCATTTGGTTTCTTTCTCTTTACCCCAACCAACTCCTTTTCATTAAAACACCATCTTCATATTTCATTTCATTTAAATCTTTAAACCATCGATCTTTAATTTAAACCTTAATCTTTTCTTAATATGCCAACCTTTCCTTTATTGGTATTCTTATGTTATGTACAATTTTCATTGTCCTGAGGTAAGTATCTAGCCTAAACCAAACCTCTTGCATCAATAGAAGAGTAGGTTGGCATCCCTTTGGGTCTCCCAGCATATGAGGCAATGCATCTACTAGCACAGAGAGTGGAGATGCTTAGACCTTCATTTTTGCCTCTGACCTCTGTCGGAAATTTTAAATAATCAATGGGTTTATTGGAGCACTTAAGGGTGAAAATCGATAAAGACCCAAGAAGATGGAAGAGGATTATCAGAAAGAGCGAGAACACAATGAAAGAATATAGCAATGAGTTAATATCCAAAAGGGAGCTCTTTTTCGGTTACTTTTCTAGGTAAGGTGCAAGATGTGCTACCCTAAAATGCTTGATATCTTAACTGCTCACAGAGTGCCTAGGGGGAAGTTCATTGAAGTCATAGTGATCGGGGAACACGTAGCCGTCCAATACATTGCATATAAGGTACTGAGGGAAATTAAGTGACAATCGAAATCGTGAAGGAAAGTGGATTATATACTTTTTCTGAGGTTTATAATATATATACAGGGTATTTGGTAATTGCACGGCACTATTTTAACCATAGACTTCATCCAGCACCAAACAAAATAATCTAACGGTGTTAAATCCGGAGATCGTGGTGGCCATTTAACAGGTCCGTTTCAACCAACCCATCGGTATCCATAAGTTGCATTAAAATAATCAGTGACACTATTAGAATAGTGAGCTGGAGCACCGTCATGCATAGACCATAGCCTTTGCCTAATGACCAGCGGAATGTCTTCTAGGAGTTCATGAAGATTTTTTTGCAAAAAATGCAAGTAAGATATACCTGACAGCCTAGGTGGCAAAAAGAAGGGGCCGATGATGTTGTCGGTTAGAAGACCGCACCAGACATTTAGAGAAAAGGTATGTTGGTAATGTCCAACAGCAGTCGTATGAGAGTTTTCTTCAGCACAAGTATGGGTATTTCGAAAATTAAGAATTCCGTTTCTAGTAAAGAAAGATACATCACTAACCAAAATGCAGTTCAGGAAGTTAGGATCTAGTGTGCATTGTCGAATTAACCACGGAGAAATTTTTGCGCTTGTTATAATCTTGTGATAACAAATCTTGCCTACTCGATACGTGAAAACGATGCAATTGTTGTTCGCCATATGCTGGTAGAGGAAACATCGAAACGACATGACAATCTTCTGGTACTACTAGTAGATCACTGAACAGCATCGAGTATTTCTTCTTCAAAGTTTGCAGTTATCCCTAAGGCGTCTTTCAATGACTTCAAACGTTTTACGATTTGGTATTTTTCGGTTAGGAAATTTTTCACGATATCTTCGAACAGCAGCAGAACCGTTTCTATGTACCTCGCCATAAGTTAAAAGCATGTCTGTTTGTTCTGCAGAAGTGAATAAATTTATGGTGTCTCTCTTGATAATCATAAATTGAACTGTGTCACAGTATTCCCTCACACAGAACTAGACAAGCAGATGAGCAATTACTGTCATTGCAAATCGTTTATTTGTTTATCAGGTGATTAAAACCTGTTATTCAGTATTAAACACGTTAAACTTTGTACACTCAGTCTTAATGTAGTAAATAAATAATAAATCTTTAATCTTTTTAATAAATGAGTTTGAGATATATATTAGTATGAACTTTTTTGTTTATTTTATGTTAGTGAACACATACCTAAAATAATGCTGTGCAATTACGAAACACCCTTTGCAACGCCTACGAAACGCCCTTAATATATACATATATATATATATATATATATATATATATATATATATATATATATATATATAAATATATTAGTTTTATTAGGTATCAGATAGATATTAAATATAATTATTATTAAATAAAATATTAAACCCGATCAGTAATCAATTACAGTTGGATATTCGGATTAAAATATCCGATACAAGTATCAGATAAAAATATCCGATACAAGTATCTGATAAAAATATCCGATACAAGTATCAAATAAAAATATCTGATACAAGTATCACATAAAAATATCCGATACAAGCATCAGATAAAAATATCCGATACAAGCATCAGATAAAAATATCCGATACAAACATCAGATAAAAAGTAATATGAAGGTTATGACAAACTACTGACCCATTTGTATCAGATACAAAAAAGTACCCGTATTTAGATACAATAATTCTGATATCAACCCATCCCTAGTTTCAACCAATATTGCATTAAGGCAAAGCATGGAGGGGGTGGGAGAGAGGTGAGCTTAATAGAAAAGTAAAAGAGTTCATCGGAAATAATATGGTGTACACCGTCCTACCTAACTAAATAGAATTCGACTTTTTTGTTTTGACAATCACCGTCCACACTACATTATTTTTCATTTTCATCCTGAAATTAGAAAGCCTACAAGCCAATCCACATCTCTCGGTCCTATGGTCTAAATGGAAGGTAAAAATTACAAATTATTTAGTGTGGGACTTAATTGTTAAGTTGGAATCCGATATTTAAAGGTTGAACAGTCTCTCCCATCCGACTAGCAAGCTTAGAAGAACAAACTTCCTCCCCTCTTCCTTCTTGTGCTGTCAGACGTCAATACCATTTCTTTTGCTCTGGTGGGTTTTCACAAAATGATATTACATGTTTCTAGAACAACATTACTATTCCATTAGGATTGATTCGACTATTTCATTAAACATCCCTCAATCAGATGTAAAACAATTAAGTCATTGTCAATATGGAATAGCTAAATTCATTTATTTCTTTTAGCAACATTTTGTTCATAATATCGTTTCTCATTAGAGCAGGCTTAGGTGTATTAATCTCTTTTTTATGCGAAATTCTTCCAATACGAGTTTTTTTAAATAATCTGTTCTTGAATTTTAGTGGTGCTGATTTAAGACTTAATTGAACGAAAAGAATTGTTTCGGAAAGCAATAGCATGTTGCTTTTCCTGAAACTTTATTGTATAGATTATTTCTACCTCCTTGTCGATTTCCCGCGTAATTACAAAAGGTTATGTTTGTAATTTGAGTATACAATTTAAGAGCAGTGTTTGATTAAATTCAATTTTATGATGGATGAAGATATCTCTCCTCAGTCTGCAGATGAATTATCTCCAAGCACTGCTGAAGATTCGTCTCCAAAGACTTCTGAAGACATGTCTCCTAGGAATGCTGAAGATTTAGGTGCTAAATGTAAAGAAAGTGCTCGAGATGATAACTTTTATATCACATCTTCAATACCTGACATATGTAAAAAACAACATTGTATACTTGGGATTGATGAAGCTGGAAGAGGGCCAGTTCTAGGTACATTGTTATTTTTAAAAGTCATTGATAAGTTTAAACATCATTAGTTACTGAGGATGTCTGCATAACATGCTCACTCATTTTTGCTAAATATGGAATATAGTTTTTGATCTAATCAAGGATTTTCCACTCCATTTCAGAATGAATTTCTAGTTTTCAATTTAGCATTGTTGCAATTATTAGTGATTTTTTTGTATAATCATATATACCCCACATTTAAATTATTTTGTCATTTATTATAGGGCCGATGGTATATGGAGTTTGTTATTGCCCCAAGTCAAAAGAAGACGATCTCAAAGAGACTGGTTGTGCCGATTCTAAAACTCTAACTGAAGAGAAAAGAGAAAATATTTTTGAGAAAATATGTAAACATTCAGAATATATTGGCTGGGAAGTAGAAGTTATATCTCCTTCAATTATAAGCACTTCGATGTATCGTAGGTTTGTGTTCAGACCTTAACAGTATTCATTGTAAATTAATCAGTAAATTCTCTGTATTTTGCTATTTCTTGCTTTATCAATTTAAATTTTACTTTATCCAAAGTTTTATAAATAATCCTTGGCAGTGCATTGCAAAATGTGCGATGCCAACTCAATTTTTTAATTTCTTTAACAATTATCTCCCACATCCGTACATATATTATTACAGTAAGGCTCGAAATCGGTTTTGTACCAAGTATAAGCTCCTGTCATGCTCAAATACCATGAATGGGGTACCATTGGATTCAGAATGTCACGGGGGGTTAGCGAATCATATTCTCCTCTTTTGTTTTTCTCTCTAAAATAAATAAAGTCGATACAAACATTTTGCTAGGTTTCAATACTGGAACGGTGGTAAGTCTGTAGATCGATACAGGACTAATCAGATTTTGATGCATACAGCAAGACCCTGATAGTTCCTCCGGAACTATCGGATTCTGCGTTTTTAAGCCCAAAAACGTACTATTTTCGAGATAACGCATGGCATAGGGTTCGCATCCACACAACCTTACATTAATTGTAGTATTGTCATCGAATATATGTCTCACTTCGTCGACTTGAGCTTTCTATGATCGAGAGAGGAGGAGTTTATTTTATTTATCGATGGTGTTTTTGATCGGCAAGCCATATCATGGTTAATTTTTCACCAAATTTCAAGATTGAGCCACCAATTTCGAAGGCTTCCTTCTCCTTCAGGCGGTATAAATAGTCCAACCACCCCGAAAATTCAGGCAAACAAGTTATGAAAGAAAACAAACTTTATTTGCGAACAACTAAAAAAATACATACTTTTCCCTTGGCTATGCCCATGATTGTGTAAAAGAATACTAAATTCCCTACCAAATGAAAAAAAAATCATCGAAATCGGACAATTTTTAGCAAAAAACAGCTTACTGAAATTTGTAATCATGTTGGTTCCAAACAAATTTTTTTTTTTTTTTTTTTTTTTTTTTTTTTTTTTTTTTTTATTCCCCTGTATAATTTACTTTATTTTTTGTACACAGTGTGTGAATGTGATCTCTTTTTTTTTTTTTTTTTTTATTTGTTTATTTAGAAATATTACATTCTGTCACATCAAGGACATTTATAATAGTGTTCAGAGAAAGCACACTCACACTCCACTTACAATAAAAAAATAAAACAAAATAACACAGAAACTTAATAATAATAAACACAATGAATAAAATAAAAATAAATACAATAAAATAAAATAAATGTATATAAACAAAAGAACTAACCTAATCATACACACTCGGGCTTGAGTGGAGGATCTGGCCATTGCCAAAACTCCAATAGATGCTTATTTACAAAAGGTCTCTGGGCCACTGCCGCTTCAACCTTCGAGGAGGATTGTAAGGATGGGTGGTGCTGGATAGAGATTGTGCAAGGGGATTTGGATGATAGGTAAGGTTCTGGTGAAATTTGGAGAATTTTTCTGGAATAAGGTCTAGGACAAATGGGATATTAAGGTCATGGTGTAGGATTTTGTTATTTACATAGAACGGAGCATCAACTATTGTTCGAAGGACTTTAGATTGAAAGGATTGAATACGTTTGATGTTAGAAGCTTTTGCTGTACCCCACAGTTCAAGTCCGTATGTCCATATAGGTTTCAGTATTGTCTTGTAGATAAGTAATTTGTTTTCAATAGAAAGTTTGGATTTTCTGTTTAGTAGTCTGTATAGCTGGCCGTATCGTCGGTTGAGTTCTTGTCTTTTGAGTCTAGTATGTGGGTTCCACGTCAGTCTTCGGTCTAAATGAAAGCCAAGATACCGGACTGTGTCTGAGTAAGGAAGCTGGATGGAATTAAAGTGTACTGGTGGACAGGAACTGCGTCGGAGTGTAAAGGTAATGTGTTGGCATTTAGATTCATTAACTTTAATGCGCCAGTTATGACACCAGTGCTCAATCAAGGTGAGGTGTGTTTGGAGCTTTAAGGATGCTATGTTGGGATCTGAGTCGGATGATAGAATAGCGGTGTCATCAGCAAAAGTTGCCAGGAAGGTATCGGGATGGACAGGGATATCGGCGGTAAAGAGGATGTAAAGGACGGGACCCAATACGCTACCTTGAGGAACACCTGCCTCAATTGGATAGCAATGCGAAAATTCAGTACCGCAACGAACTCGGAAGGTACAATCTGAGAGGTAGGAACGGAGAACAAGGTACAAGGACTGAGGAAGATAGTTTTTCAGCTTGGAAAGAAGCCCGGCGTGCCATACACGGTCGAAAGCTTGAGCTATGTCCAGAAATGCACCCGAGCAATATTGCTTGCTTTCCAATGCTGCGGAAATATGATCAACCACTCGGAGTCCTTGTTGGACTGTAGAGTGTTGTGAACGAAATCCGAACTGATGGGAAGGAAGAGTTTGGGATTCTATAAAGGGTAGGATGCGTTTTAGGAGGATCTTTTCAAAGATTTTTGAGAGAATAGGAAGAAGGCTAATTGGTCTGTAGGACGTTGAGGTGTTGGGAGGTTTGCCTGGTTTCGGAAACAGGATAATAGTGGAATGTTTCCACAAAAGAGGAAAGTGGGTGGTTCGTAGGATGCTATTGTATATGTATGTAAGGAATATGACAGCTTTAGGAGGGAGTTGTCTAAGGATCTGAGAGGTAAGCAGGTCGTATCCAGGTGATTTACGGGTAGGTAGTTTTTGTAAAAGGAATTTGACCTCAGAAGGATTAACTGCTTTAGGCGGTAAGGAGAGTGGGATGGGTGAATTAAGGAATTCCTCTACTGCTGACGTGTGGGTGGGATTGGATTCTGGATGAGAGGTGAATGTAAGGGAAAGGTTTTTGGCGAATTCTTCGGCTCTATCTTCGTCAGATGCTGCCCAAGAGCCATCACCTCGACGGAGAGGATGTGATATGTGATAATCATGTTGGTTCCAAACAAAAATAAAGATTTAAATTAATTTCTGTTTTCTTTGATTATATTTATCGATAAAGTATCATTTGGTTTCTTTATCTTTTGATACAATGCATTATTTTATTTTCTTATTAATGTGGCGTTTGATAACAATATGCTGTGCGAATTTTTCGCACGGGCCTACTAGTATACATTATTATGCTGCATCCAAATATATTTATTTACTGAGGCTCAAAATTCTTAGATTATAAAATACAGCCAGTTAAGCTTATGAGATATTTAATAATGATAATCATCACCATCTGAGGTGCTGCAACCGCAGAATCAATGCTTCCTGCAGCTTCCTGTCCAGTGCCTCTCCATCGATCCATCGTAGCAGAGGTCTTCTCACTTCTTGTTCCACAAATCCTTTCACCTAGGACAAAGGGACTAGACGTCCCGCATTTTATCAATCTGTCCCATGAAGTTTCCAAAAATCCCCAATTTTCGGAAAGAATGCACAACAAGGGAGCTAAGGAAGGGGAAGAGAATATACAATGATAGACGCCCATGTAGCTATTTTGCCAGGTTATGAATTTTATATTATTTTTGTTGATCTTATAATGTTAAACTTTAATGATAACAAATAGTTGTTAAGAAACTGATTTTCAAGAATTGTGACCACCATTGTTTGGACTTAACGATAATAAACAACACGAAAATGATCTTTTTAATGATGTGTCATTGTTAAAAAAATATATTGATGTATTTTTAAAAAGAGCTACCTATTGTGTACATAGCATTTAAGTCTTATGAAATGTGTTATTATTTCAGTCATAAATTAGACGTCAAATACATCATCAAATTATTCGCTCTCAAAACCTTTACACCTTTTGAAGGAAATTCTTAACCTTTTTTCTGCTTATCATTGTGTAAAATTAATTATTGTAACAACAAATTTGAACTATTGTTAGGAATTAATGGATCAAATTTTTAATCATGAACCTCATCAAAGCCTTCCTAGTTTTATTACCATTACAATGCCTGAGCTCTTGTAGAGCTTGTTATTTCAGATGAATGATAGTACTTAAAAAAATAAATAATAATGTGTACTATGCATGGATAAGATGCGAATAAGTAATATGTATTTGAAAATGAAAAAAGAATTCCATAACATCAGTATAAATAAGTGTGTAGAATAAAATTTAAAAAGTCCAAATCATAATGAATATTATATTAAATGAAGAGAAGGATAGTTAAGGTGATCATTCAAAGCAAAAATGGCAAAAATAAATAATAATATTTATTTTAACATTTGCTGACGTTTTGACCCTGAAGTTCAGGCCTTCATCAGGGCTGAGAAAAGAACCAGATAACAATTGGTATGAGAAACATAAACAATGTAGGTGAAAATAACTTTAAGTAAAATGAAGTAGATAAGTGAACATTAAAGTTATAATAATAACCAGAATTAAGTAAGACTTTGTAACCGTTATTATCATTTATTTATTAGTTCTTGTTATTGTCATTATTCTACCTACTTTATTTAAAATATAATAAAGTAGGTAGAATAATGACAATAACAAGAACTAATAAATAAATGATAATAACGGTTACAAAGTCTTACTTAATTCTGGTTATTATTATTACTTTAATGTTCACTTATCTACTTCATCTTACTTTAAGTTTTTTTTTTTTACCTACATTGTTTATGTTTCTCATACCAATTGTTATCTGGTTCTTTTCTCAGCCCTGATGAAGGCCTGAACTTTGGGTTGAAACGTCGGCAAATGTTAAAATAAATATTATAATTTATTTTTGCCATTTTTACTTTGACTGATCACCCCAATTATCCTTCTCTTCATTATTCACTACAGCCAAAAATCAATCCAAAATTATTATATTAAATGCTTTATTTAACAAAATTTTTCAGACAAAAAATTTCTCTTAATGAAATTTCTCATAATTCGGCCATTGGGCTGTTAAAAAGAGCTTTGGATGCTGGGGTTCTAGTGACAGAAGTTTTTGTGGACACTGTCGGTCCAGCAGAAAAATATGAAGTCAGTACTATATACTTATATTTATTTTATTTTTAAAATTTTACTTTGTGATATTTTTAATAACAATTGCAGGCAAAATTAAAAAACATATTTCCTGAATTATCTATTACTGTTGCTAAAAAAGCTGATTCAACTTACCCTATTGTTGGAGGAGCCAGCATTTGTGCTAAAGTTACTAGAGATCGAGCTCTCAAAACATGGACTTTCTCTGAAATTGAAACCATGGAAAGCTGGGGTAGCGGCTATCCCACAGGTTAATGAAATTTTAATGAACCTCTTTTATTAATTTCTAGGATTTTTATATGATTTTTCTATTTTCAGATCCTGTTACAAAAAAGTTTTTGATGAGTACAATGGATCCAGTTTTTGGGTTTCCTAAATTGGTGAGGTTTAGTTGGTCGACAGCAGAGAAAATCCTTGATGAGCATGCTATTCAAGTAGATTGGTAATTAAAGTATTCATTACATTTTAGATCATTATATTATATCCTGTTATTAGAGACCAGATTTTTGTGCAGTTAAAATCTTTGAAATGTCCTTTACAAATTTTAAAATATGTGAAAACGTGCAACAGCTAACTTAAAACGTGCCAAAAGATAAAATTAAGTAAATATGTTTAGCTTGGTAAACCACATTTTACCTTAAAAAAATATATATTATTTATTGCACACAAATTTTTTAAATGTTTTAGAACCCCTAGAACATGTTTATGTGGTTTTGGGAGGTGTTTGTAACTTAGAAGATCAACTTTTACGCAATTAAATTATTTTTTAGTTGAGTGCGATTTTTTTAAATCTTTCATTTGCCAACACTTTTAACTCTAGCCGAAAGGATGGGTAGGAGGAGAAATGAAAAAAATAAATAAATGTCTCATGTTTTGATTTAGTTAATTGAGTAATTGGGCTAAACACAAATAATGAATATTGGGCCCAATCTACTAGCCCTTATTGGTTAATATTTGATTATTAATTTCCAATGATGGCTATAATACTAGGCTAATATGTAAGGACAAAAATTGCAAGAGCCTATCCAGTTTTCAGGGTACGAGATGCTCCATCTGTTACGAATACCAAGTAGTGCTTTATTCCAATATGAGTTTAACAATAAGACAAAAAAAATCTGGTGCGGTTAGAATCATCACACAACTTTCACTTTCTACCCTCTTCTTAGCAGAAATAAGTATTTTCAGGCAAAGTAGAAATAAAAGTAAAAATTATAGATGCTATATTTATTTATATTTCATTGTGGGTATTTTTGTTTGTATAAGTTACCTTATATATACAAATTTTAATATTTATATCACATTAATTTATACAATTAAATATTAAATAAGGTGCCCTTAAGCTCATGTTATGTATGGAAGCATGTTCTTTCGGGTGCACTCAGATTACTTTGGTTCCTCAATTACAACTATTCTCCGTTACAATCTCTTATTTCTCCTTTATTTAATTATCAAATTCTTTCATATTTTATATTTAACTATATTTTATATTAGAGATTAATGTGAAATGGTCAATTGTTCCAAATAAAAGAAATTAAAGGTACTTTAGGAGAACCTAATATTGAAAATTAGCCATTTAAGTCCTGTTAGAGAACATCAATCAGAATAATAACTAAATTTTATGTTAAAATGTTTAATTTTACACTGATGTAAAGAATTTAATCAAAATTGTTTGAGCCGTTTTCGAGAAAATCATAAAAATGTGTTTAGTCCATGATATAAAGAGCCACTTCTGGCTAGCCGATTTTGATGAAAAAGTTGCTGTAACATTCCTAGCATATAAAAATCTTAAATATGCAATTTCACTTTCATACGGATTTTCGTTTTTGAGCTAGACTGTTAACACACCATTTTGTGGAACTTTGTTATTTAGACTCAGGGGACCTCAAAACGTGTATATCTGTTGAAAACTGAGATTCAAAAATTTTCATGATCGCAATACTTTCCTTTATTATATATTCCATATATAAGTAAGTGAGTAAAAATAATAAAACAATCCTCAGGTAAAACTAGAACAAGTTGCTGAGATTAGAATAATAGAGCTCATATCATTATTCATTTAACTGAATATTAATTGTTACTTACTTACTCCTCGGCGATATAGTCCCGTGGGACCTTGACCTTCTCAACAATACGTCGCCACTCGTCTTGGTCCAATGCGACAGCCCTCCACCGCCTGACACCAAGCTGTCTCAAATCCGCCTCAACATCCTCCAGCCAACTGAGTGGTGGCCTTCCTCTCCTTACTCCTCCAGGTCACCCATATAATATTTTTCTCGGCACTCGGACCACTTCCATCCTTTCCACATGCCCTAACCATCTTATTCGTCCTGCCTTAATGACACTAACGAGATCTATGTCACTGTAGAGTTGTGGCAACTCCCGATTGTATCGTGACCTCTAAACGCCATCTTCGCATACAGGCCTGTAAATCCTCCTAAGAATCTTGCGCTCCCACACTCCAAGAGACCTCTCATGTTTTGCTGAGATAACCCACGTCTCGCTTCCGTATGTGACTACCGGACGAATCATTATTTTATTGATTGCCAATCTGGCATTCCTTGATAGTCTTTGAAACGTGAGTAGTCGCTGTATGGCATAAAAAATATATTAATTGCTAATATCTCAAAATTATTATTTATTTGATTTGTTCAAGATAACTCTTAAAATAAAATTTTGTGTAGAAAATCCTCAAATTGTGCAGATTTATGTAGTAACCCTAACATATTCAATTTACTATAATATATAACTAGTGTCAATGGAACACTATCCTCTTTTTTATTTGAGTTGATTTTGGTTTGGCTGAATTTGAATCTTGTAAAAAAAATAAATGTATGCAATTATAAAAATATCTATTCTTTAGCTATAGCCATGTTTAAAACTTGTAATTTGATATTAATTTATATAGTTTTCGTAATTCAGGAAACACTTATTTATCAGTACAAAAATTACTTCTTGATTATTTATTGTTTTGATCATTGCTATTTTATTGCTTTGATTATTTACTGCATAAATTTATTTGAACTAAGAATTCTTGTACTCAATTTCTATTTATTTTTTTATAAAAATAACAATTGTTTTTTTCAGGGAGGAAGAGGAATCTTCAAAAGGGACGCAGTCTGTTAAAACATTCTTTTCTCCTGGCGATAAAAAGAAGCATAGATTTTTCAAAGATCGATTTTTAACAAATACGGTTGAACTTTAAATGTTTTTTAAATATTTATTTACTTAGGAAAATATTTTTATTAAAAGACATAATTGCTGTCAAGAATTCTATGTAAATAAAAAATATGTGTATGTATGAAATATTTCATTGTAAATTAAATTAAAATTTTAAAAATACCATATCAATTATTATTCATTGTTTAATATAGCTTCAATGCTATCGATTTATTTAAAACAGGCAAATCTAAAATATTGTTAAAATTGATAAAATATCTTGGTTCAAGTTTGTAATTTGTAATTAACATAATAATGTTTTGATTCAGGTGAATATAGTCATTTTCTACTTTCATTAAAAAAATTAATGAATAAAATAAAATTTATCCCTTTAAATTATCCTGTTATAGCCTGTATAATGTTAAACAACCTTTTTTATTTTTTTTATCCTACAATTGTTGTATCCATTCAATTTTATCAGATATAATTAGATACCAGTAAGATTAGTCTGCAGTGAACATTTCTTTCTTATTAATGAAAATATTTTTTCTTGTTTTACCCACCTCATATTTTAAATCATTAACTTTTCATCATCTTATAGTTTGTGAGCTTTAAAATATATACCTTTTTCTTGTTGGTTACATTAATATTACCAAACTTAATTAATCCAGGAAATATTTAAGATTAATAACATCTCAAGTGAAATAAATTGAATTTGTCATTTTTGAAGATATGTTTTGGCATAAATTATGAAATTGAATCATTTATTTCATTTTAATCAAGGTTTATGTAAATTATTTTTACTTTTACTTATCTATACATGTAACATATTGTAAGGGAAAGTACTGTGATCGTGAAAATTTTCAAATCTGAGTTTTCAACGGAAATACACGTTTTGAGCTCCCCTGGGTCCAAATAAAGAAGTCCCACAAAATGGTCTGGGTGTATGTTATCGTTCTAGCTAAATAACAAAAAGTCGTAGAAAACTGAAATTGCATATTTAAGGTGTATATATACCTGAGATGTTACAGCAAATTTTTTTGTCAAAATCGGCCAACCAGAAGTCTTACTTTATAGAATCCATTAAACACATTTTTTTTCATAAATACTTTCATTATATGGTGAAAATTAAATAATTTTTTGGTTTAGTTTGATCACTATGAATTCTATTCTGTTTGTTAATTTGGTTATTTCTTTTAATATAAACTTGCATTTCATTATAATTTAAAAAACCTGTAGCACTATAACCAATGGTGTTATACTTTGTTAGGAAGTAATTACTCTTATGTTATAGATGATTAAAATTCTTATATCTAATACAGTTATAAGAAACTAGACCAATTTATTTATAATTAATAAGGAAAATCCTTTATTCATATTTCCTGTATATTAAATGTAGAACAGGTAGTGACATTTTCTTATAATTGAGACTAACTTTACATGAAAAACATTGTGTTTAGAAGGAAATAGCTAATTAAATAATGAATAGTATATAAATGGACTGGAAATGAAGATAATAAAAGATATAAGGAGAAGGGGGAGAAACTGAATGAACAAATAATGTTCATATTGAACACGTATTTAAGATCTGAAATAAAAAAAAAAAACATTTCATGGCTGCTCTACGTGTTTTATATCAAAAGTTGATAATAAAAAAAAAAATCAAGGACGAAATTATAGTCATTAATTGAAGATTTCATAAGCAAAAGTTATTAAGCACTGAAAAAATTGTACAAAAATGAATTAATTAGAAAACAATATTTTTAGAGTTAATTGTATTTAATAATGAAAATAAGAGGATATTGCCAAGGTATATAGTTCTTGAAAAAATCAAATTGAACTATTAAGTTGTTATATCAAATAGATCTATTTCAGACATGGTCTGATCTTTTTATACTAAATCGTACTTGAGGAATTTTGTAAAATTATGCGGAAGAGTTATTTATTCCAAATGTTTAATTTGCATACTTTTGTTAAATCTGCGTCAGCTACCGGTGCTACAGATAATTGTACATGAGTAATCCTAAATAATAATTTATACTTCCATTGTATTCCTATTCTAAAATAGTGGATTAATGATAATCATTAATATTGTCTAATGATCTGGGATTTACTTGGGATGATTCCTTTATTAGAATTAAATGATCCTGTATAGGTTTTTCATCTGAAATTCAATAGCTGCACAAATCTCGGTTGCAGTAAATAGATATAAATACAACCATCATCATTTTTTAAAAAGGTTTTTAAAAAATGAACAGTGTTAAAAAGTCACGGGCAGAATAGCTACACACCGGAAAGATTTAACTTCAGACTTTTTTTGGAAAATAATATAAGAGATTGAAAAAAAGATTTGTTAAGTTATAAAAATCAACTACTATATATAAAATAACTGTTATTATTGATGTAATTATAAAATAAATATCTCGTTACATTCTTCAAAGATATTTATCGTGATTTTCAGATAATTAGAATCACCTTTGGATAAGTGGGTTTTTTATTTATATTTGTAAAGTTTATTTAATATTCCTTTCATTTATATTTTTAAAATATTTTAATTTTAACTGAAATTCTGTTTTTCGCCGGTTCTTGACCTGGGAGTTATCAAGTCAAGCTGTGGCTAGTGTAGCCTTCTGCCCACCTCGCCTTAACTGGCTCGGGTGCATGGTTTATTGAATTGTTCGTTATTAGTAGTTGATAGCTGAAGATTACAAAACGATTGCAATAATAAGTTTTTATATTTTAATAAGAATTAGGTATTGATATATTTTTTATCCCAAATATGGCTCTAAATCCGGCGTATGAAGCTATAGGTAAAGGGTTTGTTTCTCAGTACTATGCGTTTTTCGATGATCCAAATGAAAGGAGCAAATTAGCAAACTTATACAATGTGAGTATTTATTACCAAGATATAAGCTTTCTAGTTTTTAATTCTATTTCTAAAGATCTTATGAAATAACCTTAAGGCATTTTTCAGCAAGAAACATCGTTCATGACTTTTGAAGGAATGCAGTTACAAGGTGCTTTAAAAATTATGGAAAAACTAACAGTGAGTCATAATTTAATTCAGTATCTAACAGTTATAATAAAATTGATTTGCAATAAGTTTTCTTTATAAAATTTCCTTCATTGCAGGCTTTAACATTTCAAAAGATAAACAGGATCATTACATCTGTAGATTCACAACCAATGTTTGATGGGGGTGTTTTAATTAGTGTTCTTGGAAGGTTACAGGTATATTAGTAAAATAAATTTTAACCTTAGGGTGTGTTATTTTAACACTAACTTATTTAATAATATCTAACATATATAATGCTAATATATTTTCATCCTTTCTATTTTTGTATTTAGACAGATGAAGATCCGCCACATGCTTATAGCCAAACTTTTGTGCTCAAACCCGTAGGTACAAGTTTCTATATTCAGCACGACATTTTCAGGCTCGCTCTACATGACAGCCTATAAGGTATGTAACATTATGCCAAGAACATCATCTCTAAGTCGTTTTTATAAATCTATATTCTCTATGGCCTTGTTGTATATACAGATTTTTGGAATGATTTTCAATTGTCGGATAATTTTTTGAATTGTTATTTTGCTTATTTTAGTGAATTTAGTATTCAGTGTGTGGTAACTTCTTCATTTAAATACCTAGACATATTATTTGTATTACATTGCCTTTTATTAATGTTATATCATGTCATCCAATGATTCATTTGATTATACAAATTATACCTGTTGGGGGTTCGTTTATCCCTTTAGATCAAGTATAACAAGTGGAAGTTGAAGGCAGTAGTATAATAATACCTAAGTATTGCCCGCATTTTGGCTGAAACGTACTAGTAGTGAGTTACTTGAAGTTGAAAATCTTAGTAGTGAAAGTGATCTTATAAAGGGAGGTTATTTTGTGAACAGGTCAATCCTCTCTTCAGGTTAATCTGCTATTCTTGGAATCTCATTTATATTGCAAACAAGGGGTCTTGGCCCGCTGGAGAACTTAGATTATGATTTGTGCAGTGGTACCGTTGTTATGTAGGAACAGCTATTTATTTAAAAGTCTATTCTATTTCCGATATGTTTTGAGACAGTTATTGATTAATGAATAAATTGGTTGAGAGGTATAATTTTAGTTAATTTCTACATGATTATTTTTTTAAGATGACAGATTTGTTTTCTGTATTGTTTCTTTCCTCATAACACATGTTTCTTCCCGATGGCAAGTCTCGAAATTCAAAAAGACGTTTGTAATATTAAATTTCTCCCTCTCCCCCTCTAATTTGTTTAAAATACTATTTTGAGTCTTGCTGATAGATAATAGCTTTCAAAAATGCATTTAAAACCTTTTTATTTAATTTTGGCCTCGGAATAAATCTACAACTGATAGCTTCCAAAAAAAGGTCAGAAATCGGAACGACGGAACTCTAGAGGACTAATGAATGCCCGGATCAAGCCTTAAGGCTAACGGTGGATGCGAGGTTTACCTTTACTGCTACTAGTGGCAACAGCAGAATCAAAAAAACAGGTATCCCGGTAGTCCCAGGGACGGTTCCCGTCCATAGAGAAGCTCTTAATATTGTAATAATCTTATGCAGATCATGTTTCTTCTTCCCTTTAAAAGTTTTAATTGATTTGATTGACATCATCATTATGTTCTGTAATAATTAAAACTGAAGAGCTTGAGTGAGTTTAAACAATAGTTCTGCAGAAGAATGAGAACTGATTATATTAAATAAATAAACAAAGTGGTTGAAGTTCTTGATACTATGAGCTCACTGGAATGAGGATGAACCGATTGCTATTATGCCAAGACTCCAATATTGTTATTCTATTCTGTTACACTGTAACCCAGCTCACAATCTACTCTAATCCTGTGTTATTTTGTTTTTTCTATGTGGCTTCAACTACATTTCAAATGTGAAGCAAACATTCCCAGAAAAAAAAAAAAAATTATTGCTGAGCAGACTAAAAATTTACAAATATTTGTCACAACTTTTAAAATTCATCTTAATAAAAGAGCTGAGGTGAAATGGTTAGAACACCAAGATATTCATTTATCTAAAATATTGCAATGAGTGCTTGTCATTATAATCTGTGGTACAGACCCCTTTTTGTCAAATTATTAATATTCGGCTGAAACTTAGTAAATAGATTCAGCTCATCGTATCCTGCAAATATTTTATTTACAGCTATGTTGGTGGTTAAAAACAATATTATTTTATTCTAATCATTATCTAACTTGATAGCAGCTGCTTCTGATAAACCAGCCTTGATAATGCTTAGTAAAGAGGCAACAAATTATAGTTTGGGATTAAATGAAGATAATTCAAAGCATGTATCACAGATCAACCAACAAGAACAGAATATCATACTAATAGTCCGTGGTACAGACCCCTTTTTATCAAATTATTAACATACAGCTGAAACTTCACAGATAGCTTCTTATCATCACAATCTACAAATATTTTATTTACGAAAATTCTTGGAATCTGGTCATTTTTAATCTGGTGGTCGGCAAACTTTGTCTATTTAGTTAGGTACTAAAAACTCGTAAATACTTATTTGCTTTCTACTTTAATTGTAAGATAACTTGAGCACAAAGTCGGGAAAAAAGATGGCCATCTAAAATGTTTAGCCGTTTGGCGTGATCTACACACCCAAATTGTCAAAATAAACAGGTTATGTCGTCCAAACGGCCCAATATTTTTGAGGCCCTCTTTTTTATCGATTTTGTGATGAAATTATCTTGCGATCGAAGTGGAAAGCAAATGGGTATTTATGAGTTTTTAATACCTAATTAAATAGACAAAGTTTGCCGACCTCTAGATTGAAAATTCCCCAATTCCGAGAATTTTCGTAAATAAAATATTTGTAGATTGTGATGATAAGAAGCTATCTGTGAAGTTTCAGCTGTATGTTAATAATTTGATAAAAAGGGGTCTGTACCACGGACTATTAGTATGATATTCTGTTCTTGTTGGTTGATCTGTGATACATGCTTTGAATTATCTTCATTTAATCTCAAACTATAATTTGTTGCCTCTTTACTTTGCATTATCAAGGCTGGTTTATCAGAAGCAGCTGCTATCAAGTTAGATAATGATTAGAATAAAATAATATTGTTTTTAACCACCAACATAGCTGTCATTACCGCAGTATACGCAAAAAGAGTAGAAGCTGCTCCTAAAATGGGTAGTACAAGCGAGTCTTTGGACCTCAAATCTTCAGGGCTTGAGCTGAAGGTTCATAAAGTTCTAGCCTTGATGAATTTATCGTTAAAAAAACTTAAATTATTGTACATTTTCATTAAAAATTACATATTTTTACAATATGAATGTCTCGGAAATATAATATGAATATATTATTTTTCTGTTGGTGGTAACAATGTGAACATATTTCCAAAATTTTATTTGAATAAATAGATAAGAAAAAACAAGTACGGCTTGAGCTGCTATTCGTGGCTTTTACTACAGAGAGAACTTGAGCCATGGCTGAGTCGATAAAGCTCAAGTCCTTATAGGCTCCTCACCGAACTCTTTCACAACACCAACCATAGCGCTAGGTTCATTCCCATTACAGTGGCCTCCTAGTATCAAGAATTCCCTTTCACCTATTATTTTTATCATTTAGTGTTGGTTCTTGTGCTTCTGCTGAACTGCAGTTGTTTCTCATCTTTATCTGCCTTTGTAAGTAAAGTGGGAGAATTGTTCTTCAGAAGTGATAGAGACTGGAATAAGTGTCTTGGAACCAGGTCTGGTGAATGGAGCAAAAGGTTCCATGCAAGATTAGTAATTTATTGTGAGTGACCAATGAGATATGGAGCCTTGCGCTTTCTTGGTAGAAAACCAATACCCTTTCGATTTGTCAGGTCTGTGTATTTTTTCAAATCGATTTTAGCGATTTCATTAGTTTCAAGCAGTATAGTGTCAAATCAATTGTTACTCTTTATGGCAATAGCTCATAACTACATTTTTTTATGAGCTTCTGCAGCACACTTATCTTTTTTACTTTCATTTACCTACATATGTAATGTATAGTAAGGGAAAGTATTGTGATCATGAATGTTTCTAATATGAATTTTCAACAGAAGTACATGTTTTGAGGCTGGTCCCCTGTGTCTAAATAACCAAGACTCGCAAAATGGTGTGTGTGTGTGTGTGTGAACAGTCCAGCTCTAAAACGAAAAATCTTATGCTACTGAAATTGATAATTTAAGGTTTGTACATGCCTGGGATGTTACAGAAACTTTTTTGTCAAAATCGGCTAACTGTAAGTGCCACTTTATATTATACATAAATTTTAAAATTTTTTACAATTTTCTCGAATTCATCGTACCAGTATATAATTAAGCAATTTTTTAAATTAAATGTAGGTCTTATTCTCATTGATGTTCTCTAACCGTGTTTAAATGCCTAATTTGCCAAATTTGTTCCTCTAAAGTACCTTTAATTTTAAATAAACATTTTTTATTTAATTAACCATTTCACATTGGTATATGATATAAAAAAATTGTTAAATATAATGAATGGAGAAAATTGATTCGTAACTAAAGGAGAAATAAGGGTTGTAAGCTATACAGAAACAGCTGAGAGCTCCGATCCTCTCCCTTTACAGATACCTGATAGACTCTATCCAAGATAAGTTTGAGGGGGAGAGAGTTGCACAGTGGCAAAACATTTTCTCGCCAACCTTCACTCTTTTGTCTTCTCTTCTCTTTTGTTCTTCTAAATTTTTGCTTAGAAGTTGAAATTTCTTTTATCATTTTTTTTTTTCAATTTCTTTTTCTATTTCCTATATTAATTCACAGAAAGATTAGATGTTTACATACTGCAAGCTAATACAGTATCGTCAAAAATAATACATAACGTGGACAGTTCTCTTTGTTTACATTCAGAAGTAAATGAAAAAGGCTCCTCCCCATTATTGAATTATCCGATAACGTAGTATCGCATTCTTTTCTGTTCTATATTTTCTATCTATTACTTGATTTTTTTACGATCTATTTCTATGGTGCAGCCACATTGTTTTGTGGGAACATTGGATTTTTTTTAAATAAATAGTTACAAGGAACACAGCGATATGGCGCTGAGATCGAAAACTTGGATTTTGCATCCCAGTTACATCCCATACAAGAAAATAAAAAAAAACTTCTTCTACCTCCATTCAATGCAACTTACGATGAACAAGTAAAAATGGGCTCTTGGGAAAATTTATTGAATTTACAGTTAAAATTTGTTGATTTTAAAATTTTTAAAAGTCAATAGTAAAAAGTTTCCAAATTTGATGTTTTCATGACAATCTATCGGCAACATCAATGATTTTTATTCTTTAGTGTATCTATATCATGGCCTGCGGGATATGGTGTAAGTTTTAATGTGGACAACCAACAAAAATGTTTGAAGACCTCTGCTGAGGACTATTCATCACTTGTAGTTTTAAAATATTATTTATGTACTGGTAAATATTTAATTATTATTGTGATGTAGGGTAGCTAATATTATTGTGATGTATTGTCAGGGGTGGCGACTGTGAAACTTGGAACTGCCTGGAGTGGACCAGATTATGTTACACAAATTTTCCTGACGATGGACCACTTCATAGCTTCATCTGCTTTCAAGTCAAATTTCTGTTCATTCATTTATAAATCCTTAATTTATCTGCTTCCTCCTTTATTGTATTTGTACTTTATATGGATTAATATGTTTACTCTAAATTATTTCCTTTTTATTTTATTATATTTTTTTTTAATTCCCCACTCCTTAGCTTTAACGTGTATTGTTTACTGTATATTAAATGGAGCATAAAGGATTGTTACACATTTTACATTCTATGAAATTATAGCATTATGTTTTTTTTTTGTTTTTTTTTTTTCTTTCTTTACTTCGTTCATTTGATATTATTTTATTTAATTGTAGTTGAGGATACTTTTATGAATAATACTGGTTTATTTTCTTTGTAATAGTTTTTATTTCTTTTCTTTTTTTCTACCTATTCAATCCCAAAGTTTTGCTTTAAATATTACATTTATTCACTAAATATTACATTCATATTACACTGTTCATTTGCTAATGATTATACTATTTTGTTTATATTTAAGAATATGATAATGAGAAACATTTGGTCAATTGATAAAAATAAAATATAAGTGATGCTTCTATAAAAATTATTCCTTCTGTTTTATCTTATTTATTTAAACAAAAAGATAGATACTAAATGTTGCGACTGGTTAATTTCTTAGGCCCTATCTAACTACAATGCTTAATAAGTATACAAATTGAAATTTAAATCACGTCAAATAACATTTGTGCTTTAATATTTTACTGATGAATAACTTATTATGATTGTTTATTTTATTTAAGTGAGATCCTTATTTAATGTTTGATAATAATCAGAACAGATTTAAGGTTTACAAAGACGATGATACAACCATTGGCAATATGCAGGAACTACCATTGAACTTGTTAGGATGATTCCGGTTCTATTAAATGTTTTTGGCATACACAGTCCAGTCAAATTGTCCCTAAAACTTGTGAATGATTACAAGAATTAGTTTTGCTGATTTTTTATTATGTTCTCTATAATAATTATTATTATGTTCTCTACGCCAAATCCCATCCAATGAATCCCACCACTGGAAGCGCCAGAGAAAGATCCAACTCCAGAGGCCCCTTTCAGTACATTTCATGCAGTTCCAAAAAATACTGCATGCAGATGCTGGACAGCAGACTACTATTCTTTACATTGCAACGGACAATCTTGTGAAGATAAAGTGTCACTCATTCTGGAAAATGAAGCTGAAGGAGGTTCTCCCACAATTGGAATGATTAATGAACAACTGAAGTATGATGAAAATAATTTAGAAGTAATGGAATGTTGCTGCATTCAAAATTTGAGTCGAAACAATGAAGAATATGGTCCAGACCATTTAAAATGTGAAGTGCTTTTGCTTTTTATGACATGTATAAAAAAAAAGGAAAGCAATTTATCAATTATAAATGAAAAAAAATTGTATTATTCTGAGACTGATTGGTGTTCCTTTAGAAAAAAATTAAATGCAATAGTGGCCATTCAATGAATAAGTGATTACAAAATCGTTAATTAAAAATAAAATTATGAGAGAATATTGTATTTATAAATGTTTTGGGCTCTCCAACCACATGGTTCATTTTCGCCCTATATTACTATTGATATTAAAATTTAAAAAATCAGTATTTATCTTTATCTTCCTAACAGAGTATATATATTCAACTATTTACTTTCATCAGGATTATTTCAAACTTAGTTTCAGGATTCATTATTTAGTTGCAACAAACCAATGACCAACTGAGAATTTGAATTGTCACATATATATAACTTTATTGATCTGATCTTAAAATTCAAGGAGCACAGTTTCTGGAAATAATACAGCTAAAAGTTTCATTTTGCCATAAAAAATTAGTGATTTAAATTAGTTCAACAAATAACTTAGTGTATTGGCCCACCAATTGTTTTCAGGACGCAAATGATAAAAGAAAACAAATCTTTCGGATTTACTTTTAAAAAACATCATCACAGGCACCTGAACTAGAGGACAAGGCACTTTTTGGCACTCCAAAATTCAGGATTGGAGCCCTTCCAATATTTCACAGTCATTTACTTAAAATAACGCTCAATAAACAGTAGAGGTAATAATTATATTAATTTTTTTTCCGTCCTGGCCCTTTAGGCTATACAGGGTTTTCCCGGGCCAGGATGTGGGGTGAGTGATTAGTGGCACAGTTAAAATGTAATTATGTCTAACAATGTTATTGTTTGTGTAATTACATTCAATAGGTCTTCAAGAAGCACTTAAAGACCATTTCATTTAGGTAGTTAGTGTCTTTTTCTTCTAAAGTAATTATCGATATCACTACTGTTAATACAAAAGGTCCTATGTAACAATTTTACATGTTTATTCTATTTGTGCTAACGGTGACTTTTTGTTGTCTGCAACTGTAATAAGTATTCTGCAACAACGGAAAATAGCAGAGAGAAATAAAGTACACTAATGAGTCATAAAGAATTAATCAGTTTTTATGCTCTTCTGAAAGAAAACTGAATTTTTGCTAACTACCTTTTGCACTAACAGTAGCGATATAAATAGACAGAAAAATAACTTTATTCCGGGACAAAGTTCCTTTTGAATAACAAAGTTTTATAATAAGAAAATAATGGTCTAAAAATTTGAAACAATAAATAAAATTAACAAAATTAAAGAAAACCTTAAGTTAAAAAGCTATTTACAAAACACTTAAAATTATTAACAAAATATTTAAAACTATATATAATGGTAGAACAGCATAAGTATACACTTCAATAAAAGAAGAGAAAAATAAAATAAATTCTGATAAAAAAGCTCTGAAGTTTTTATTTAGAAAAATTAAAGTTGCACCTATCAATATAAACCTTATTCTGTAAATGCTGGATAAAATGTAAATATATCATAAGAAGAGCATTTTCATCTGTTTTGGAAGATAAATATAGGGATTGAATTGTATATAAGAAAAAAGTATCAGTGATAATAAAATTAAAAAAAAAAAATAGATGAATAGGAAATAGTATACTATCCCTAACAAAGAACTGTATTATCATATGATGATATGACTGACATGAAATGCATGTATAATGTCAAAAGTTAGCAGGTATCTGACTGTTTTTGGAATAGGAGGTTTTTGAATGTGGATACAGGAGAGGCATGGCGAATTTTGATAGAAAGGGAATTCCAGAAATTGTCAGAGAGGATGACAAATGAGTTTTGGAATGAGGCAGATAATACATATGTATAAATAAAATTTTCAGGCTTCAGCTTCCGAAAATTAAATCCTGGATCCGCTACTAGTCAATAGTATCTTTACAGGCCCTTAAGAAATATCGGAAATATTATATAAGTATTAACTATAAGGTTTGTTCAGCTTTTTTGAGTAATTTGAAAGTAAATGACTGCGAAATCTTAAGAGGATCTGGTCCCTTTTCATAAAATTTTAGAGGGGGGCAGAAAGCCTTATTCTCTGGTACTGACGCCTATAATGAATAGTTTAAAAAAACGATTCACTCTGAATAATATTTATATCATGTGAAAACGGATGCCTGGGATACTCCCCACTCCTATATTTTCCATTTTCCAGCGCCTATGTGAAGGTTAAGGAAATAATATACAAGAGTAAGCAAAATACTTTAATAAACTACTGGATAAATTATAATTATATCTATATGTATAACCAATGATATATAATAATTTATATGTACATTAATAATATATATTTATATAGAATATGACAGTATACATAATTAGAACCATGGAATACATCCAAAATATTAAGTCCTATAAGCAGTAATTAGGAAAGAAGTTTAGGAGATAACAGTACTGATAAGCAAAACAACTACACCGATGCCTGGTAAACTTAAACTTATTTAATTTACTGTGATATGTATGGTCTACTTATTACAAATAGTATTGGTTGTCAAACGTTTTTAAACATTTAAATTATCAAACAACAATTACATCCTTCATTTTCTTAGTAATTATTTTTATAAGTAATTAATTATCCACTGAATTTAAATAGAAACATATAAATATTTCGTTATCCAAATTTTCTGAATACGTATCATAATTTATACTTGGCTATGCAGCGCCCCCGAGTGAAGAAGCTACAAGCGGGCTTATGTATTTGGGTTGACCAGGGTATGTAACGATTTTTGAACGAATGGCTGGAACAATTTTTAACATTGGTGCCTCAAATTATGCAGTAAAATAGTCTGATTTTTTAAAAAATAATTTCATCTCACAACAATGAAAAAATATTAAATTTTTAATTTACTTTATTATTTAAAAATATGACTGTCAAGTACCGTGGCAATCACTCAGAACCATTGATACAAATAAATTTTTATTACGATTTTATTTTTATTTTCCTCAGATGAAGGATATATATATGCTTATGTTTACATACATATATATATATAAAGTGAAAACAGCGATGGAGGAAAAATGGAATGTCGCTTCTACATAATTATGCCTATAAACATATAGTACGCTTGAAAAATTTAGATTTAGCGATTACTTACATATATTTTAAATTTACCTATCATGTTTAACGGAATACTGCACAAATAACTGAAATACCATTTTACAGACAGATATTAAAATAATTAATGTTACAACTCCCAAAAATACGGCTTTGATTATCTTGAATTCATTCATAGCTATGGAAGGTTGGTAACAATTTCCATCCCCACAGTCCTCTGCGTTCATAGTAATATTTGATATGATGTCTGTGAAGTTCCCTGGAACCGTCATATTTAGTGGTGCCATTCTGAAATACAAATGTTATTGGTAAAGAAACGTTTGCTTATTATTTGTACAAAATAATAGTTTTTAATATTTTATGCTCAAATAATTCAAATGTATTAATTCTATTTACTTACATTCAGTTGAAACGATTTTCCAATGAGGTTTATTGTTAACTTTTACAAGTATTTTCAATGTGGTAACAGCACACAAATTGATGTCTGAAACAGTATTTCATCAGAATAAAATGGTCTGCTAACTTTTGAAACTTCATTATTGTTTTGTTATATATTTTTTATTGGATATTTATTAGTTGACGGTATATAAAAATAAAGCATAGGATGATTGAAGTGGAGGTCAAAAATCTAATTTCATATTAGTAATAACGCTACCATCTGCTCGTTGAGCGATTAAGATCTAGACTGTCGAAATGTTAGATTTCAATACTTTTTAAAAATTATTTTGAAATATTTCTTATCCACTGGTACCATATTTATTACCCCTTATGTATTTTTGCTTCCTCATTACCGAAGGTAGAGAAGCATTGTGCTCGTGCGAGAGGTTAACAACCATTTTACGCTCAGAATCAAAAATATCCACTCGCGTTTTACGTTTCAGACATCGAGGATCAAATTTGGTTCGGCGTCTGTCTGTCTGTAGTCAAATCGGTGTAAGGGGCATATTTCGGTTTATCTGATTTTCATGAATTTTTCAGGGATTGTGCGGGTTTATTTTT